CTCTCTCTCTCTCTCTCTCTCTCTCTCTCAAAAGCATACTGGACTTGGATAAATGTTACTGGAGAGTTTACTATTGGTGCTGCGGACTCATCATCGGAGTTGGCAAGGCAAAATTCAGTGCCCGTATACTTACCCCTGTTATCATTACCTCTCTTTGCCTAAGGTACCTCTCGGGAGTCATATACTTTGCGAGGAAAGAGTGTGACGTGATGTTTTGTCTGAGTCTGCTGTGCGAGGATTTTGGGTGAGGAACTTGGGGGGGTTATGTGTAGGGGACGTGTGAACCTGTGGTTCTTTGGGAGGAGGTGGAAGAGGGATCAAAAAAAGGCTGGTTTACGTCTCATCGTCTCGGTGTGCTCTGGATTGCTTTTATTGGCCTACACGCAGGATCGGTTTCGGTGTGGGAGCGTACGAAAGACTCACGACGCCAGACGTTAAAACATCAAGAGTCTTCTCAGAGTAGCGAACTGCCCCCAGTCGACGACTTCTGTATTAAATTTTCAAAGGCATGGCCCCCAAACCAAAACCTCCACACCATGCCCGTCATTAAAGAAACCCCAGTTCCATATTCGAGCAGTTCAAGGAGATTTGGCAGCTTTTCTACTCTTCCTCTCGTGGTATACCGCCAAAGCTTCCTCCCTGTGAAAGACCTTGGCCTCCTTTTTCTCAATGTCATCAACAAAAAGGCCCCATGGGTAACGGCTGTATCGTGCCTCCCAATTTTCATGAATGTGTCTTTGCCCACTCCTTGAACCATTCCAGGGCCTCGGGATTCGCGACGCTGGCGTTTGTCTTGACGCTCATGCCGGAAAGAATCTGCTTCACGGCAACTTCGATCCTGTAGCCGACGTTAGAAAACACAATGAGCTCTCCCTGATGATACTTTTACTCAGCAAAACTAAAGACTTACTTCTTGCCGTTGCCCGTCTTGGGAATGCCCCCTCCGCATTCCTCCACTATGCCCGGGACGTGACGCGGGCTGAGCTCGCTCTTGATCTTCTGCTTGATTCGGTTCCGTAGGTCGTCGTTGAATTCGCGGCCTGGCGTCATGACGACGAACAAGCACACCGTCTCGTCCGTGTCCGTGGGTCTCCTCCGCCCAACGCACACGGCGTCTTCCACCTCGGCAGCAAAGAACCGGATGAGGATGTTGTAAATCTCGGCTGAGCCGAACCGCACGCCAGCCGGCTTCAAGACGCCGTCGGATCTGCCCAGCATGAGGAGCCCGCCCGTCTTGGGGTCGGCGATCTTGACAAAGTCGCCGTGGTGCCACACCGGACCCTTGACGCCGCAGATGCCCTCGAACCGCTCAAAGTAGGCGGCCTTGTACTTGTCGTCGCCCTTGGGGCCGAAAAAGGTCAGGGGCTGGCAGGGGAACGGCTTGACGCAGACCAGGTCGCCGGGCTCTCCCGCGGGAATGTCCTCGCCCGTGACAGAGTCGACGGCCTTGATGGCCATTCCGAGGCCGGCACACTGAATCTCTCCGACGCGGACGGGGAGGAGCGGGCAGGGGGCGCCGAATAGGGAGATGATGTCGGTGCCGCCGGTGATGGAGGCAAGGTTGATGGTCTTGGGGAAGGCTTCGTAGACGAAAGAAAAAGTGGATGGCGGTAGCGGTGACGCCGTGGAGTAAATGGCTTCGAGATGAGACAGATCAATGCTGGAATTGCGGACAGGATAGACGCCGTTGGCCTCCAGGGCTGTGAGGTAGGCTGCCGAGGTGCCGAAATGGGTCACTCTGAGGTCTGACAGCACGCGGGGGATGGACATGTACGAGTTTGGTCGGAAGGGCGATCCCGAGTACAGGATCAGCTTGGCTCCCACGGCAAGCGCGCCGACGCTCCAATGCCACATCATCCAGGACGTAGTCGTGTAGTAGAGCATGCTCGACGAGGAGGTCAGGGAGCAGTGCAGCATGTGCTCCTTCTTGTGCTGGATCAGCGTTCCCAGCGCAGTGTGGACAATGGCCTTGGGGAGGCCCGTGGTGCCGCTGGAGTAGAGGATGTAGAGTGGATGTGACGGCGGCAGCTGCTCGAATCGGAGAGGATCTGGCGATGCGCCGGAAAGGAAGCTTTCGTAGTCGATGGCCTCGACGCCGTGGGCGCGGATGTCGTCCATGGCGAGGTCGCCTTGGATGTTGTTGATGACGATGACCTTTTGCAAGCCCATCTTGCTGAGCTCCGCGACAATATCCGTCGTCTTGGACGTGCTCGACCACTGCTTGCCATTGTACACCGTCCCGTTGTCGGCAAACAGGATGCGCGGCCCGATCTGGCTCAGCCGGTCCAACACGGCCGAGACGCCGCTGTCAGGGCTGATGCCCGTCCATATCGCGCCGAGCGAAGCGGCTGCCAGCATCGCCACCAAGGCCTCGACATGGTTGGATACGTATCCGGCGACAATGTCGTGGGGCTTCAGGCCGCCGGCTCGCAAGGCATTGGCGCACCGGCGGACAGACTCGCGCAGCTCGGCCCAGGTGGTGGAGCGCAGGTCGCCGGGCAGCTCCGTGGTGGTGATGACGGCGGTGGAAGAAGGGTCGAGCGGCTCGGCGGTGGGAGGGAAGAGGAGGTTTTCGGCAAAGTTGAGGCGAGCGTCGGAGAAGAAGTCGGGACGAGGGAACATGGGCGCATCGGGCGGCAGGACCTGGTCCGGCGTGTAAGTCGAGCTCTAACTATCCACTGAACCTGTGGAAAGAGGACGAACCTGTGTATATGGCTGGGACGAGACAATGCCGACAAACTGCCACACCTCGTCCCAGAACTGGGCGACGTTGTCGATGGACCACTTGTACAGGTCGGGATATCCCGTCAGCTGCAGGCCGTGCTTCTGGTTCACCGTCTGCAGGAAGCGCCACATGGGCGTCGAGGCGGGATCTGGGTGTCTCCAAAGCTCCCGTGCCTGTAGCAGGACACCCGTAAAGGCGTTGTCGTAGGCGATAGACTCCCCCATTGCGTCTATCGGCGTCGGCGTCTTACTCGATCGTCTCTGGTGTGCGAAGGAGTCGTCCACTTGGTGAGAGTGAAGAGAGAGTCAGAGGGGGCCAATTGGCGTCTGACGATCGTCTCCCTTGTCCCTATAAATCGACACCATCAAATAGTCTCGTCAGGGACCGGAAATGGTTGGGGATCTCTGGCCCAACTGCCGAATCGGCTGCATTTGCGCTCCCCCTCCATCGTGGCCCGTTGCAACCCGCGCGAACCCTCGGTTCTACATAAGCTGGAATGGGCGAGGCCCGGCCTGAGAGCCGAGAGGCAGTGGCTGGAGAGGGTGGATGACTAAGGTAATGCCAGTTGATGTGTGGCTGGTGTAAGGCTGACCTTGGGAGGGGGAACAGAAGAGGTGAGAAAGGTGAGACGGCCGGTTTTGTTAGCAGATGCACTATCGTTGCTACTGAAAATTTCAATTCAGCTGTATGGACAGCCGAGGCGATGGTTCAGACGCCGGAAGAATTTTTCTTTCATCTTTCTACTTTGCTTTGTCTTGTTCCTTTCTCCGGGGATAGACTCAAGAAAAAGAAACTCGTGTAATAAGAGCTGGCGTCACACAGGCGGGTGAATTGCTTTCCTCAATGAACCAACTTCGACTCTCATAAAGAAAGTGATGCATCGAGGTCAAAGGCGCGTCGGCCAATCTCAAGCCATCTGCTGGAGCTGGAGCTGCGGCCGGCCAGTCAAATACACGTAAGAGAAGCAGAGGCGGGAACAGCTGGAAATACGATAACTAGTAGTACATGCACATGCACGGAGGACCATCTCCGTGTTTGCCTCGAGGTCGTACCACTTCTAGAAGCGCTCCATTGTTCGGGCTCAATTGTCCTCTGCAGCGATGCCAAAAAGCGCTCTGCCTGTTGGACCGGCTTCGTCGGAGAGATTCGCGACCACGAACCGCTAGCAAAAATGACAACCCGGCTGTCAATCCATCGTCCAACAGCTTCGCAGCTCCTGCTTGGGGTAGCACCAGCTCTGCGGCCTTGGTGTCAGCGCCCCTTTTTTGGGCTGCCTCCATGGACGAGAGAAAAGGCGGCAAACTGTCATCGCGCGGCCCCTTGCAGATCGCGAGTCGTCCGCAATGCTACGGAGTACCGGCCACCAGTTTGGACGTAGGCATGTACATCCAGTGGCCAAACAGCTCTCCTTCATCGCGTCGGTACATTTGCGTGACACGGAGCGGTCCTGCAGGTGGCGATAGTCGTGGCACGGCGTAATAATGCCAGGTCGGCAGTAAGACGGCAATCCCCTGGCAACCGCCTCGCCAGCAAGGATCGCAGCCGCTCGCCGTCGCTTGGGAACGACCATCGCTCGAGTGACCTCATCAGCTGCAGAGCTGCAAAGCTGGCCATCGGACGACAAGTCGCTTTTTCTGTCTAGTATAGTAAAAAGCGCAGAACCATCAGGTCGTAGGGCGATGCATCCATACCTCGTAAGCCCGGGCGATCCGACCGGCAACACCAGCATGTCTGCCGGAGCTGCAGTTGATGGCCCTCGATCCATCTCGCCCTCGGCAGACGTGGGACGGGCGAGGGCCAAATTAAAAAAAGGCAACCCATGACAAGCTAGACGCCCACTTTTGCCCTTGTCGTGACGGATCGCTTGGCTGGCTTGGGGCTCCTGAATTCCGGCCTGGGCTGGGCTTTCGACCGACCCGACCCTCCTGGTTGCCGTTCGATTTTTGTTCTTTTGATTTTTTTCGTCCCTCTCGTGCTAATGTTTGGCCGCAGCTCCGTAGCAGCCCGGGGGAAGAGACGGGAACAATCGCGATGGCATCAGACAGAATAGAATAGATAGCGGTAGTAGTTCCCATCACAATAACGACGACAATAATAGCAACAGATCAATGCAGGGCGTCGAGGCGATCCAAAAGGCACTTCCATCTCGGAGGCTGGCCAATGGTGACCGGCGCCCCCCTTCCCTTGCCTAACAGCACTAGGTACCGACTCCGTCCAGTGGCTCCAGCTTGGGTGCCCAGCCGCCATCCCATTGGCCTTGTGGGCTCGTCAAAGAAACGCGGGCCCCTTTCGCCAAATTCATCTGCCCAGCCCAGCCGAACCTCCCCCAGAACCTGTCTTCTTCAACTTGCTTTTTTGCTTGCTCTTTTTGCTCTTCCCGGCCCTGCGATCGCGGTCACTTTCGTCCTTCTGTCGCGTGGTGTCCTTGTGCGGCATCTCCACTGGGAGCTGGGATACGCACGTCTTGCCGTTGGGGCAGCAGTTCGCCTGTTGAGCCTCGCTTGTGCTTAAGCATTGGTTTGCGCAGAGTCTCGAGAACGGCGTCGAGGCCGGCCGGGAAACACTGCAACACCATCACCAGCACCCTCGGTGTTGCTTTCCATCTACTGCCACCGGTAAGTCGCGCAGCCGGCTCTGGCCCGTCTCGCCAGCTCAGCTCCAACTCCAACTTCCTCCCCTGCCCCTCCCTCCGCAGACGCCCCTCGTGGAAGAGCCGGCGATGGGCTGCAGTATCGCCCTGCCAGTGCCAGTGCCAGTGCCAGTGCCATTGCCATGACGCCAGGCTTTCCTCAAAGCTTGATTCGACTCCATCCAGACGCTTGACCGGCTGCGGCCAAGGCCCAGTGGCGCCGCCCGGCGAGGCTTGGAACGTTTGAGTGTGGCCACACACCGCGACTTTTTGAGTTGCTCGGTGCCGGATGGCTTGACCCTCTAGCGAGGCGACGGCTCCGGGGAATGGAAATCGATGTGGAAAGGAAAAGGAAGAATCGGAAAAGAAAAAAAAACTTGACGGCTCTTCAGCTCCCCATTTGACTATTTCATTCTCACACCACGCATACACCATCACCAACACTCTCTAGTCGGCAATTGAAGCTAACTCGACTTGCTTCCCCTCTTTATTAGACAGTATCCCCGGAAAGCCTCGTCTAACTCAAGAGCCGGCTTCTCCCTCGAGTCTGCACAAGGCGTCGGAGAGATCATGCCGCGGCGGCTCGCAAACCCCTTCTCCTCCAGCCAGTCTGCCATGTCAGCGTCCGAAAAGACTGGCGAACGACGTCTCTCGTCCTCCAAGACCAACCGCCTGAGCCAGCTCTTCTCGTCCAGCCCAAAGTCCAAGGATCAGGCCACCATGCATCAAAGCCAGACGAGCGCCATTTCGGCGTCCACGGTGTCGCTGCCCACCATTTCGCTGTCCACCGCGACGGGCGAGGCCAACGCGGTCGAGCCCACGACGACGCTGTTCAAGCCTCAGTCGGCCGAGGAGGTGGAACGGCGGCGACGCACCGAGTCTCAATTCGGTCCCCTGCTCTCCCCCGAGCACCTGTACGTCAGCCAGGCCCAAGGCAAGCCCTTTACGCGCCCGATTGAGGACGAGCCGGCCTACTACTATCTCTTGACCACGTACCTGAGCTACCTGGCCCTCATCCTGTTCGGACACGTCCGCGACTTCTTCGGCAAGCGGTTCGGTGACCGCAAGCGCTACGCGCCCCTCAAGGTGCACAACGGCTTCGCTCCTCTCAATGATGACTTCGACAGCTTCTACAGCAGGCGGCTCAAGCTCCGCCTGGACGATTGCTTTGCCCGCACCACCGTCGGCGTCCCCGGGCGCTACATCACCCTCAAGGACCGCAAGTCGGACGACTACAACTACACCTACAAATACACCGGTACCCACACTGAGACCCTAAACATGAGTTCCTACAACTATCTCGGTTTTGCTCAGTCGGACGGTCCCTGCGCCGATGCCGTCGAGGAATGCGTCAGGAAGTACGGAGCCACCTTTGCCAGCCCTCGAGCTGACAGCGGCACCTCGGATCTGGCCCTCGAGGTCGAGCGCGAAATTGCCTCGTTTGTTGGAAAGCCCGACGCCATGGTCTTCTCCATGGGCTACGTCACCAATGCCAGCACGTTTCCCGCGCTTGTGTCCAAGGGCTGCCTGATCATCTCCGACGAGCTGAACCACGCCTCTATCCGAATTGGTGCCCGTGTCTCCGGTGCCGTCATCCAGTCTTTCAAGCACAACGACGTCGAGGCCCTGGAGCGCGTCCTCCGCGAGGCCATCTCGCAGGGCCAGCCAAGGACTCACCGCCCCTGGAAGAAGATCCTCGTCGTTGTCGAAGGCCTCTACTCCATGGAAGGCAGCATGGTCAACCTGCCCGGCATCCTGGCTCTGAAGCGCAAGTACAAGTTCTACCTGTTCATTGACGAGGCTCACTCCATCGGCGCCCTGGGACCCCGCGGCCGCGGCATCTGTGACTACTATGGCGTTGACCCTTCGGAAGTCGACATCCTCATGGGCACCTTGACCAAGTCTTTTGGCGCCAACGGAGGCTACATCGCCGCTGAGAAGCACATCATCGACAAGCTCCGTGTGACCAACGCCTCCACCATCTTTGGCGAGGCGCCCGCCCCTTCGGTTCTCATGCAGATCCTCACGTCTCTGAAGCTCATCAACGGCGAGATCAGCCCCGGCCAGGGTGAAGAGCGCCTGCAGCGCATTGCCTTCAACTCCCGCTATCTGCGTCTCGGACTCAAGCGTCTCGGCATGATTGTCACTGGCGACGACGATTCACCCATCATTCCCGTCCTGCTTTACCACCCCGGCAAGATGCCCGCTTTCAGCCGTCTGATGCTTGCCCGCAAGATCTCCGTTGTCGTCGTCGGTTACCCGGCCACTCCGCTCATCAGCTCGCGTGCCCGCTTCTGCGTCTCTGCCGCTCACAACAAGGATGACCTCGACCGGATGCTCATTGCCTGCAACGAGGTTGCCGACCTGCTCCAGCTCAAGTACTCGACGGGTATTGCCGGAGGCTTGGAGCCGCTGCCCGAGGGCGTGGCGCCTGAAGACGAGGCCGAGTGGAGGAAGGCCAATGGCATCCCCATCAAGCCTCCCAGGTGGAAGATTGGAGATGTCATTGCGCGAGGCGTTGCTGACTGCAAGCTTCCTCTGCGATGATTGTCTCTTCCATTTCTCTTTCTGCATTTTACTTTTTATCATGAAACTTGTGGGCAAGCCAACATCGTTCCCCCTCCCTTGAAAGAAAAAAGACACTTAGAACGGGCAAAAAAAAAAGAGAAAAACAACAATATGACGGCTCGGTGTTTGGGGCGCAAAGTGTTTCTTTACCAACTGTCCGGTTCCTGGGAGATGTACAAACGGCCTCACTCTTTTCTTTGGCAACACATATTCAGGGAAAGGATGAGATGACTACTACTACCTTTTAATTCAAACCCTTTCGACTTGGCAGATTGCGATGTTCAGAGTCTTGTGATGAGCGGCTCTGGTTTGGCGCGAGCCCTTTTACATATAATTAATGTGACATATGCCCGAGGAAGCGGCCATGATGTGAAGCTGCAGGGAGTTTTTGCGACTGCAGGGCGAATTCTAATAATATCACTGGGACGGGGCTTGGAGCACGACTTGCTGAGGCGGTCGGCTCTTGGCTCGAGGGCGAACCGGTTGGGCCGGTTGGCATTTGCGGGCGAGCAATGCGGGATATATTGGTGGATAAGGGTGTTCTTCTTTTCCGGGGCTGTGTTCGATCATTGTGTACTATCAAAGTGTACAGACGTGTAGAAGGACTAATGCAGTTGAATGTGGAGAGACGATGGCTTGTCAAGTGGGTTGCGATTCTGTCATTTGTGAGTTGTGATGCCATATGGAGGTGAAGTTGATGCCATCTGGCCCGTGATCCATCCAGTCTTTGTTGCTCGTCGCTCATGTCTGAGTTTGCCCCATCTATGGAGTGCACACTACAGAGCTACTAGTACAAGGATACAGATCTTGGTTGGTTAGCAGTACTAGTTCAAGGTTACCTTATCTACAGGGTATCAAAGCTTCTAGGCCAGATATTAATAGAAGCCCCCATTCCGCTTGGAGCAGCCGAGGGGACGAAGAAGACGGGGAAGAAGCGTTTGAAACGCGAAGTTGCGGGTGGTGGGGGGGAGAACGTGTAAGAAGGCTTCTATCGGGGTTTGGTGTTCTGTTTGATACCTGTATGCGGAGGTGGTATATACGAGATTTGTGAGTTTCAGGATGGGGAGGTTGGGGGTTGAAACGCGGTTTGTGCGGTATGGGAGGTGTTTCGGTTTTGGGGGACTCTTTTTCCCTTGAAGGTTCCTTGGTAACGGGCCGGAAGCCTGTGACGGTTTGGGATACACAAGGAAGAGAGGATACTACCTTACTAGTACTACTAGTACTACTAGTCGGAATATTAGGTATACTGGAGTTGGTTTTTGGCTGCTGTAAGGGGAGGGCGGGAAAAGTGACTGAAGTGTGAAGTTGAAGTTAGAGTGAACGGTGCTGTTCCCTTGCATATTGGCATGGGGGTAGTGTGTGGATGGGGGCGAGACGGGGGACGAGACGGGGGACGAGACGAGACGAGACGAGATGAGATGAGACGAATGTGCGGGCGCCCTTTTTGTCCGGGCTTGGGATGTCTTTTCTGGGTTTTTCTTCCTTTTTGTTGAAGTCAGTTGTAAGGGTTCTCGTAGAAGCTAGTGCTAGCGATTTCGAATGTGAATTTGCTTTTTTCTTTCTACTTGCGTAGCGGAGCAGAGGTGTCGTGTGGTTCATGTTTTTTTTCGTTTGGTGTTGTTGGGAGCAGCAGCTCGGTTAGAGTTGGGACGGACGGGACCGGGCTGGAGAAGATCTGGGCCGTTTTGGAGTTGTCGATTTTGCGGAGGAGGGAAGCGGGAAGGGCGAGGGCAGTGTGGGATTGGGGGCAACTTTGGGTTTTGCGGATGGTCTGTGGGCTTGTTTTTTTTTTTTTGCTATTTTGGTGGTTTGGTGTCAAATGTCGGCGGGTTGGGGATCTGATTGATGGGATTTTTGGATGTAGTAATTGGGTTGGTTGATGTGCTGGCGTGTTGGTTACCCTGGAACTACATGTAGGTGAAGATGTATGTCTAATTGTTCGGTTCAGACCGATTTGATGAGATTGGTGCCGGTTTCTCGGCTTGCTGGAGAGTACTCTTGAATCGAATTGCGTAAAGAATCCGATCGCTCAAGTTGTCATGACAATCACAGTAGTCTGTTAAAATATCAAGACTACATATACACTATGCTGGTGGAGTTGAAGTTTGATGGTGTTATTGCGCATTCCACCCTCGTTATGCTTCACGCCACTGCATTGGCAGTCTCTTCCTGGTTTAGAAGTAGCTTTGAAACATCATAAAGAGAATAAGAGAAGAAAGCACCATGATCATCCAGAGCACCTCGTCAACCGTGTCAAAGCACATGCAGTCTCTTCATGTTTTTTCTCGCCCGTCACGTTCGAGGCTCGCTCAGCCACAAAGACAAGGGAGGCTCAACAAGGGTGCCGCGCTTGGCCCGTTGTGGCTAGAGACGCCGCCGGGCGTTCGCTCGTGCCCTGGCAGCAGTCGAAACGGCGTGCAGGTGCTGGTGCAGGTGCTGGTGGAAACGGCCGCTGAGCCGGAGCGAGCGCAGTGGGCGTTAGCGGCTGGCTCCAGGGCTCGTCCCCCGCTGCAGCGTTCGCCTGTAGCGCTCTCACTAACGGCCTCTTCTGGAGGGACGGCGCTGGAGGCCACTGGACGGAGCCTGGCGGACCTGGATGCTCGCGTACCGGTACTTGCGGCTGCACCTAGCGCCTGCTTGCACTGACTGCGGCTGCCGCCTGACGCGGTACCGGTACCTGCTCTCCGCCCGCCCGTGCTTCACTCCAGGCTGTCCCTCGCACTCGTAGTGCCCGCAAGCTTGTGCCTGTGCCTGTGCCTGTCGGCTGGCATTTATTGGCCGAGATTTGACACCTGGGCCTTGTTGCGAAGTTGATTCAACGCGAAAGTCCCGAGTTTCGTCCTGTTCCCTGCCTTGCCTTGCCTTGCCTTGCCTCGCCTTGCCCCTCCTCACGATCGACACGCACGCAGCAGCCAAGCAAGGCTCACGGCCCAACCTTATATCTCGTCGCCCTCGCTCTTGTTTGCCCTCCTCTTTTGCCCTCTGGCTGGGGTCTCTGCGTCCCTCCTGCTGACCCGGCGCCTTGTATCGATCCATTAGCCGCCCGTTGGCGCTCTGCTCGCCTCCGCACGACCTGGTCAACCCCCCCTTCGATCGGGTTGCCTCAATTCCTACCACCAGCCCGCAACTCTCCTGAAGCGAAAGACACGACGCTGCGAGCGAGAGCCAGAATAAAGACCGTCTCGCGAACTGGTCACCTCCCCATCGAAAGAGCGCAGCGGCCAAAAAGGACGGTGGACGAAGAGGAACAGGCGTCCAAATAGGGGACGACATCCCGCGCCTGCGAGGGGGAGAACGAGAGAGAAAGAAGCAGCAGCAGCAGCAGCAGCACAGAGAGAGTAGTCCCGCTGGCCACGGACGGCGGCGCCCACGATGATGAGCTTCGAAGGAGGAACGGGCTACGCCGAGTCGGACGCCGACGATGAGTACGAGCATCACCTGGGCGACCACTCGCCCGTGGGCGACTCCGAGGCCTCGCCCATGGGCTCCGAGCTGTCGACGTCGGCCGAGCACACGCCCACCACGTACGGCCATCGCAGCAGCATGGACCGCCTGCCCGAGACCATCATCACCGAGTGGACGGCCGAGGAGTGCGCCGATTTCATCAGCGCCATCGGGCTGCCGCAGTATGCCGATACGTTTCTAGGTATGTATGGACGGCGTGATGGGGGGCAAGTTGATGATCGGGTTGTGGTTCCTCGTTTGTTTCTCCTGGGGCGCATAGGCTGATCGCTGGAACGTGGCGGTACAGAAAATGACATTGTCGGAGAGGCCCTGGTTGCGTTGCTGCACGACGATCTCAAGAGCATGGGCATCGCCAGTGTGGGCCATCGCCTGACCATCCTCAAGAGCGTCTACGACGTCAAGAAAGCTCAAGACATTCCACTGGAGAGCGATCACTACCTACCACTGTGTAAGGCTCTCTGCATCCCTCACCCATGGGCAGGAAGATGAACCCCTTTGAGTACTGACTTCTGCTGGATTTGTGGAACCACAGCCGCCGATGCCGAAGCCCAATATGCCACGGCAACTCTCAAGGACATTAGACATCTAGTGGAGCAGCTTCGGTTGCGAGACGAGCGAATGAGCCTACTGGAGCAAGACCTGCGGCGGATGAACGAAGACTTCAAGCGCCTCAGGGAGGACATGCTGCCGGCGCTGCGGCTGGTCAAGGATGTTCAGCACCCGCTGCCAAACGTCTCCGGACCTAGCCAGCCATACGGGTACGAGGCCACGCTGTCTCCGCCCGCGCCGACACCGCCGGGAGCCCAGCCCGGCGATCGAGGAGTCAAGCGGCAGTACTCCCAGCGGCGGATCCTGATTGGGGCGACGCCCAAGAGCAGCTCGCCGACGCAAGCGACGCATGATCAGCGCATCATGCCAGAACAGACGCTGGATCCGTCCAGCGCGGCAGAGAGAGCCGTCATGTCGTCGTCGCACCTGGCTGCGATGAACGGAGGCAACCAGCACGCCTCGCCCTCAGGATACCCCTCGCCAGTCATACCATCACCGACCTCCCCCCAGAACCACATGAGCGCAGCGACCCTCGGCTCTCGAACGTACAACTCGACGGCCCCCTCCGTACGGACGACGTTTATCGAAGGAGACCTCGGCTACGGCGGTTCGCGAGACAAGGCCGGGGCCGGGGGGTCGATTCGACGCCGCGAGACGCCCGTACCCGAGACGCCCAATTCCAGCAATTCCGTCGAAATCTTCAAGTCCTTCCGAGTGAGCATGGACGACCCCTGCTACAAGGTGCTGCCGGCTGCGCTTAAGAAGTATCAGATCAACGCGCCTTGGGACCAGTATGCCCTGTACATTGTCTACGGCGACCAGGAGCGCTGCCTCGGCATGGACGAGAAGCCCCTGATTCTGTTTAAGCAGCTGGATAAGGAAGGCAAGAAGCCCATGTTTATGCTGCGGAAGACGAACAGCGCACAGGTGGACGGCGACCTCCCCGGCATGAGCATGAACCCAGCCAGAGGAGCTGCGACGGGCTACGATCCGCCGGGAGGCATCATCTGAGCGCGTTTCCGGTTGATTGGCATGATCCACAGCTGTCTCCGGGTGACGCTGGTAGGGGGAGGGCTTCTTTTGTTCTTTGACGATCCGCCAGGAGGGGCTGTCGAAGCGGGACGGCCGGGCGGTGATTACCTGGAAGGGGGCGCATAGGAGTTGGGAGGGAAAAGGAAAGGAATAAAGTCTTGCCCACCACGAAGAACGAGACGGAGACGACAATCCTGGTTGCTGTATTCTGAGCTTGTGTCGCAGCGCCAGATAAGCTGCAAGCCGTCGCCAAGAGCTGGTACGAGACTGATGCATCAAAGCCAAAAGCGACCTGAATTGGCCTTATAATTTTGGTGAAGCGCTATCACCGTTGATAGACGGGCAAGCACAATGAGCCATGGTGTCGAAGCTTTGACGTGGTCTGATGATGGAAGAACGGGCTATTGCGGGAGCTTGGGCTATTGCTCTCGACTGGGATATTATGATCCCGACCAGCCATCTGCGAAGTCATCTTTGTTGGATATGTCGGGCAGATGCACATCACACATGGAGGAGGGAGCAATGGAAAGGGGGGAACAAACACGGCGGGATATCTTTGGTGTACGGCAATCTGGGCAAAAACTCACGGAGAAGGGGGGAGGGGTTGTGTATTACCTTGTCTTTTTTTCCATCGTTTGCATGTGGATGTCTATTTGGGACGCGTGTAGTATTAGGAGCGAGAACTATGTAATACTCTCATGAGAGCTTTTGTCTTCTTCACTGATGGTGTACTTGTCCGTGCTCGAGTTGGGTGTTGGCGATCAAGGTGTAGGATGTCAAAGCTGCTGTGATGGGATCATGTAAACGCTTGGAGATGATTGGCTTCTGGTAATGTTACAGGCTTTGGCAGGTCGTTTGTATAACGTAGAAGCAAGAAATAAGGCAACGAGCAATGAGACTTACCTACGCAGGTTTTTCACACCCACGATAATGGGGGAGGTGGAATTGAGGAAGCGAGACCAGAACGAAGGGGGGGTTCAGATTTTGGGGGCAGGGCGACTGTGAGATTTGTGAATTGCGGGTTTTCTTGTGATGGTTGATTATTTGTTGCAAGAGGGTAGGCCGTTGGGAGCTGGGGTTAGACTTTTTGAGTTATGGGGTTGTTTTTTGCTATGAGGAGGAGGAGGAGAAGGTGAGGATGGGAAGTTTCACGGCGGGTGGTGGTTTGATGGGTGGATGAGCGTGAAAAGGGAATTAGAACTGCATGCAGATGGCGTTAATGGATTAGACAATAGTAGGAGCTTTTAGTCTATATGAGATTTTGTCAGGAAGGGTTGAGAGTGGACGGCATGGTATTGAGCAGATGGGTATCATTACATTAGGTAGAAGGATTTGCGTCGTAATCAAGAGTTGGTGGTTTACGGTACCCGAGGATTGAAGCTCTGCGTGTTAACGTCGTTGCCTTGCACTTGGCTGGGCTTTCTAGGTTGGCCGACATACACGTGTACACACAACATGCCACGCTCACTCATATGCTAAACCATATCCGATGCGTTGATATGCGGAGAGTCTGATGGGATGCATTTGGATCGCTCAAGTGCGGGCGGATTAGGTGGTTTTTTTTTTTTTTTTTTTTTCCATTTAGTTGTTCGTGTCGAAGTGCTTATGGGTGAAAAGTTAAAAAGTGGGAAGTAATATGCCTAATTCGCGATTCCATGAGGTTAGGGGTTGAGTTTGAAAATGGGGGTTTTTAAGGTGATGTGTGGCTTGGATCAGATGGGCATTTTTTTCCCTGTCTTATTCTTGCGCTGTTATGGTCATTCTTGCGTCTTCTATCACATATAATGTTTTTCTTCAGTTTTGAAATCCTTTGCTTTGTAATAAGGAACAGACCTGTTTGAACGCGTCGGTCATCCTGCTGTCCAGAACCAGGTTCGTGATAGGTTTAGAGTAAGGCACATGTAGTCGAGGCCGGCTCCCGCACCCGAGGGTTGCATTGACAGCCGCGCCGAAGGGGGGCGCGGCTTCGGCTTCGGCTTTGGATGGGGGACCCCACACTGCATACATGTACTTGGATGCAATGCCGTCTCATGGTATTGATCAGGCTGGGCTAGGTAGTAGTAAACATAGTATAGTACTTGTACGGCATAGTATTTGCTGCCTGGCTTGCAGCCCATTATGGTCCCTTGCCGGCTTGAGTCATCGCCGAGGACAGGGGGGTGGTTTATTAGCCATCCAATCGAAGCCGAGCTGGGGGAACCCGACGTGCTGGTTAACCTTGCGTTGACTTTTTCCGTGCATGAATTAGCTTCACAGAGAAATCGACTTTGTGATTGGGGGAGGGCGTGACCGCGCGGACGAAAGTTTGCGTGTTGCTTATGCCGGGGCCGGTGGTGCTAGTCCTTACCAAATAGCAGCACGAACTAATAGATGCTAGGTAGTACTAGTAGTACTGCTATAGGGCTGTACCGAAGAGAGAGAGTCATCAGATGGCGGAGGTGAGTTGATGGGTCATCGCGGTGCTCGGGTGCCGTGGCCTGGATTGGGGAAGGGCGTGTCATTGCTGTCTTGGTTTATAAGGACGAGTGGTTCGTTGCCTGGGATCTTGGGGTTCTCTTTTGTCTGGTTTCTACATCTATTATTATCTGGTCCTTCTATGAACCTTGGGAGTTCAAAATCAAGATAACTGTTGAGCAGTTGGAATATAATCAACATCACTTTTAGTTGTTGTCTCGATACTGGGCATCTACTTATACTTTGTACCTGTTCATACCTTACCTGCGACACTATACAAGTGACGAGAATGGAGGAGAGGATATAGTGTTCAAGCTGATTATACGACAATCTACCAACGAGGTATGGCTATACAACTAATTCATGCCACGATGATGGTCAGGACCATGGTCACAATGGCCATCCAATCGCAACTACGCTGGACTTTGGCTGATGACGCACGCAGATGGTCGTCCTACCACGCCTGGGCATCGAACCCAACCCCGACTTCCCCAAGAACTCGCCTCCCCGTCCCAGTCCAACAACCCCTACTCCCACGCCCACTGCCACCGACACCATCATCGCCAGCATCACAAGCAGCAGCAGCAGCAGCGCAACATCAACATCCTCCTCCCCAGCCCCCACCGACAATGGAAGCAGCAGCAGCGGCGGCGGCGGCGGCTTCATAAAGGTCGTCGCCGAGGACGGCACGAGCGGCGACAAGCTCCTGCGCGGGTTCCTCGTCGGCATGGCCATTGGGACCCTGCTGAGCCTCGTCGTGTGCTGCTGGCTGCCGTGCTTCCGCAAGGGGCGGCGGCGGACGCGGCTGCAGCGGCGCAACGACAATATCAGGCGGAGGTTGGTGATTCTCGAGGACGAGGCGTGGGTGAGCGAGAATTGGCCGAGGAGGAGGCCGTGGGATGTTGGTGAGGATGAGAGCGGGAGTCATGAGAGTCATGGGAGCCATGAGGGGTGAACTGTCTATGAAGGGATTCGTCTCTGTTGTTCTTCTGTCATGTTGGGTTTTCTTCCGGATTGTTGGGATGGATTGCATGCGAAATAATGATCAAAGGGTATGGGCTGGGAGTTTTGAGGCGTTGGGAACATGGACATTGGGATCTGCTTGTCTGTTTGTAGTCTGGATAATCTGGGGACTAATGAGGCTGTCAGGTCCGAAAACAGGCACGAATGCATGCTGGATGCCCACGAATAGAACGGTTATTCAGCGAACCAACACGACCATCCATGTTAAACCTTGAGTGATGTGCACTCTGGCGTCCATCTCGTGTTAAAGACCATTGAAGACAAAACTCGCTGACCCAAAGCGGAACTGCACAGCCACTGTCCGGGGGCCTGTGGGCCAGCAGTCGCGGCTGTGGCGCAGCAGGTGCTGCCATGACGTTGGCAGCCGGTGCGTAATGGCCTGAATAAGCAGCTTCACCTTGGACTTTCAATCCTCTCAAGCAAGATATCTGACACTTTACCCGGATTCCCTAATTCAATCATCCGACTACCTTCTAGATATCATTGCCATCTCGAAACTCAGTCTTTGCATCAGTCCATTGACTCACACCGCTCACAGCAGTCACCACTGTGGGTGTGCAGGATCCCGATCCTTCAGCCTCCACGCATTGGATCGGCCTTGTCGCAGCCTCACTTGTTAGCCGCCCTGGCTCTCGACCCCTCTGGCCAAGGCTCGCGCGCCATGTTCAGCTGATGATCGTCGCGACCTGAAGATATTCGTCCTTCTTCACATATTCTTCTTCAACCTCCACTCTGGGCTTCTCATCTGGCATCCGCAGCCATGCTCGACGAAAGCTTTCCCACGTACCGCCTGCACTCTTCAGAAGACCCCCTCCAGACGGGCCTCTTCTACACCTACAACGGCTCGGATCCCGTCCGCGCCTACAACCTGCAGAGACCACCCCCCTCGTCCTCACCAGGCCAGTATGCCGTCGCTCTGTTCGACGCCCACTACCCGTCCGTCATCTACGGCGAGGTCCTGGTGAAGCCCGAGTGGCAGCAGCCCACGCTGTCGGCCGCCGAGATCCGCAACCAGAACGGCACCCCGCCGGCCCCCGTGCCCATCACGCCGGACGCCTTCTCCGTGCTGCTGTACAACCCCGACCAGAGCATCGCCGTCAAGCGCAACGCCGGCGGCTGGAACCGCGCCGACTCGTGGGGCTTCGAGATGCCCGAGCGCACCTTTAAGCTGCCCAGCGCCAGCCGGCTGGACCAGGAGCTGGGCAGCAACGACGTGTCGGACATGTCGCCCAAGATCATGTTCCACTGGAAGCGCGACGGGCGCCTCAACCGGGACATGACGTGCTACATGTCCGGCAAGAGCGTGGGCGGCAAGAAGAGCAAGGAGCCGGACATTACCGTCGCCATGTATCGCAGCCAGAAGCACGGGGACGCGCTGTGCATATACGAGCCCAACATGGCGCGCGTCGAGGTCGAGGACCGAAAGGGGCTGGAGATTGTGCTGCTGCTGAGCGCCGTCGTGGTCCGAGACTTGCACTTTGCGCCTCGTCAGGATCCCTTCAACGTCTCCGGCGGGGCTGCTGCGGGGGTTGCGAACGGAAAGGGGAGAAGAGGGTCACGGCCACTGGCATCGTCGCCGAGTGACCCGACGCTTGTGTCGGGGGCATTGGGGGAAACTTCATCACCGGTACAGACGCACACGCCTCCGTTGCGGCCATCTCCGGCGAGCAACTCCGCGAAGCAGGCTGACATCGACGCCGAGACGCGCAGGCTGCAGGCGATGGTGGCCGAGGAGGAACGGCAGCGCCGCGCACGGCTCGCTCGAGAGGAGGAGGAGAGAACGCGGAGGATGCTCCGGCAGGAGGAAGAAGCTCGACGGCGGCAGAAGCAGGCCGAGATCGATGCCGAGACGGAGCGACTGCGCCGGCAGTACGGCGTTGCGGCCATACCACCCGCACAGTCCTTTCCCCCCCCTTCACAGCGGCCCTCTGGGGCGACGCCGGCGATGTCTGGAGCGTTGAGCGGCGGCAGATGGTATGGCCCGCCCGTCGTGAACAACCTCCAGCCTCCGCCTGCTCCTCCGCCGCGGCCAAGCAGCGTGGGGCCGCAACCGTCGGGGCCGCAGCAGGGCGGACGCCACAAGCCGGGCCCTTATTCGGGGCTGGCAGGGGCGCGAGCCAGCGCGCTGAATCTTTTCGGGGGAGCCAAGACGGAGGAGGACAAGAGGAAGAAGATGAAGAAGAAGCAGAGCGTGTTTTTCTAGCATGGGCGTTTTGTCAATATGGGCATAGATGGGGTTACATATGGGCTGGCTTATGATGTATGATGTTTTATAACTGTTCAAATCATGGCATTTCTTTTATCAATTATATTTCCTAAACTGATCAAATCATGGCATTCATTATATGAATCACGAAATGAAAGAGTCCTCAAATTCAGCTGGGTTGTTATGTTCACTGCTAGAGATGAAAAGAGTCCCGATGAAATAGTGTATTAAGGTTGTTCCGATGTCTATATCGAACCCCCGCCCTTGCATCACCCCTTTTTTGTTTGTGTCTAAAAGGTATCCTCGAATCAAATGGGTATATATCTAATACTCATGATAAAAAAACTTTTTGTGCTCCCAGCCCGATAAACAAATATCCATGTCCCGTAAATTTCAGTGAAAAAAATAACTTTTTGGTGGTCGTTGTCGTCGTAGAGGTTTTGCTTGAAGCGAACGAATGAAGTTGGTGTTTTTGTGTGTGTGTGTTTGGAACCATTATGCCTTATAGTGAGGCCTTCTCTCGTCACCCCCTTTTTTTCTCGCCGCGCTTAGGAGCACAAACTCAAGAAGAAGAAGAAGAAGAAGAAGAAGTAAAAAGAAGGTTGTCCTTTCAGGAGGGAGTTTAGACAACGTTCATGGGCAGCTTCATGCCGGCGCCGCAGTTGGCAGCCTTGACGGCCGGTGTGGAAGAGGACTTGGAGGAGGACCACCAGTGGCGCTTCTTGGTCTTGTTGTGCTTCTTGTTGTCCTCCTGGGAGGCGATGGAGTTTGCGGCGGTCGAGTTGCGGCGGGAGGCGGCGGGGGTTGTGGCCGCGGAGGGGCAGAGGATCATGTCGTGGGAGACGCCGTTGCTGAGGGCAGCGCGGAAGTGGATGAGGTCGCCGACGAGCATTTTGATTGTTGTGTGTGTTTGTTGTTGTATGTGTGGAGGTGTTTTGAAAGGATGTTTTTGTGTAAGTGGTGATGTGAAGCTTTGCTTTGAAAGCGTTTGTTGCTTGGGTGGGAGCCTTGTTGGTGTAGTTGAGAGTTGTGGATGTGATGTTTGTAGAAGAAGTTGTGGTTTGTAGCTTATAGCTGTTTGAATCTTGTAGATGCTGATGCTGATGATGATGAGATTCTCTTGAACAAACCGTCCGAGATGGCACTCTCTTATATACAACCTCCACCATGCCTCCATCCAGGTACGTACTACATCAAAACAGTTTTTTTCTTTGCTTTTCACGATGCCGTCGATTTCCATACCCCTTGATCTCCTCCTTGACCAATTCTCTTCTTTGTCAACTGTCTCCTATGTAATCACCTGCAGAAAACGAACGGCGGATCCGATTTTTTTCTTGTCATGCCGGCTGTTGTGGTTCCATCTTTTTTGTGCCTGCCGGGATCCACATCCCGATCGTAGCCAGGGGGCGTGTGGGTGTGGAAGAAGAGCTGTTGTCCCTTTTTTTGGGATTGCGCGTAGCTATGACATGGGGATGGTGAAAGGATTTTTTCTGATGGTGCGTGTGTTGTGCTATTGGCATCGTTTGGAAGGAAAATGCGATGTGGAAAGTGGATTGCTGTAGAAGTGGATGGATCATACAGGGGCTAGTTCTCACTTTGCAGGGGGTGTGGCTCAGCTGGGTTGGAGTGAGGCGCTTCGGCAATGAGTCAGCAAGGGGCAGAGAGGAACAGGGGTCAAGGGAAGAATTTTTTCTTTCTTTGGGCTTCTTTTTTTTGCTGGTGTGTGTGTGTATGTGTGTGGTTCCTGGCTTGGGTTCTGCTGCCTTGATTTCAGGTACGAGAGGGAGCGGTAAAGTGCGGGTTAAGGATTGTCTCGGGCCGAAGGGACAGGGGTCTGCTTCGTGTTCCTTCTGGATGCTTTGTGGCTGATGACTTGATGTTTGAACGAGGCTTGACAAGATTGTACGTGTTGATGGGGTCATTTCTCCGCGTGATGGGCGGGTGGTTTGCCTCATTGGCTGTGCTGGTTTTCTTTTTACTCATTGGCTGTCGTGTAAGTTCGACTTGAACAACCTGAAGCATCACCTCCCCATAGTACGATACCGAGTAGGCATCTACCACGAAAGGTGACAAAAGCCCAAGTCGTATTAGTTTATCCTAAAGAATCTCGGCGACTCTGCCAGCATGTTCGACAGCCATTCCCTCAGGCACACACGCCTTTCGCCGACGGCCCGTCCGGCCGATGAAACCCTTTACTGTGCCTGCCCATGCTGCAACCTTGCATGGTTCTTTTCAGCTTAGGCACGGCCAAGTTTTACACGTATTCCCGTTAGCATCGTGACTTAAGCCCTATGGATTTCTTGACCAAATTTGGTACTAGTACTACTACTACATATCCATCAAGGTCCAAGTTTCGACCGGGCCAAAGCCCCGACGACCCGCACCTCCGAGCCGGGATCCGTGAAATCCTGCACCAAGAACCACTAAACAGCTTCGTCTGTGAACGTTCAAGCTCAAGGGAAACCCACATCCTTGATGTCTTGACGCCCGTGATGGAGCCATTGGGCGGGAGAGGCTGAGCTGGCTGATTCTTTTTGGCGCCCCTGTCGTCGTCGTCGTCGTCGTCGTCGTCGTCGTCGTCCGTTGTACCCAGGCCTCGTGGCGAGATTCAGGCAAGTAACTGGGTTCTGTAAGTGGTTCCTTTGCGTAATGATTACTCCCCTAACACACCACGTGTGTACATGTAGTGAGTTTGTTACAGAGTTATGGATTCTTTGATGAAAATTTGCCCGTGAGTGTGACGTCCCTGGTCGCTGTACCTGATGTGTAGAACCCTGATGGATGTGAAAATAACGACACACGTATTCCGTGGACGTGTACGTGCATCGAATGGGCTTCGTTCACGTTGCTTGCAACTTTGAACTCTTGCGGCTCCCTTCGGCAAGGCAAAGGCAAGGCAAACAACCCCCTGCTTTTACATCTCACTTTTAAACTTCGATTCAATCCTCTCAAGTAATATCTTCCCAGCACGTGCGTCTCCCTCTCGTCGATTTCGTCAAAACACATAGTACAACATACAAATACGTACTACAAGAAGTGAAGCCCAATTCAGATATGTGGAGACTCTCACGATGCTTGCCTTTGAAGAAAATTTTGCTGCTAACTCTTCAGGAGAAAGTGGGAAGTGGATTGCGGGAATGTGGGAATAGGGGCGTTTTTTTCCCGTGGAGCTTTCCAACTAAGGGTACGTATGAAAAACGTAGGCGAATCGGGTGATAAACTCGTGAAACACATGATTTGAACGATTTTCTGCAATAAAAATAGAATTTGTTCTTCCGAGGGTAGCCGTTGCCTTGGCTTTACCAACATGTTGTTGTGTCTTTGTATGGAGGCGGGCTGTCTTTGGTGTTGTTACCTTACCCACGGACGCCGGGTCAGTTGATGGCAAACTGTATGCTTGTTGACTGCAACAATGCCCGGGCACATGTTACTCAAAGGTTGCTCGCGGCCGTGCTATTGCCTTCACAAGGGCTTGTCTCCTCCTTTTTGCCTCCTACTTTTGAACACAAGTCTCCCAGAAACGACCATTTACCCTGATCCATCATCATTCGACAACCATGCCTGGTCCCCAATCAAACACACTGCTCGATTCCAAGCCCAACACTCGACCATCCCTGCCTCAGCGCCTAATTCAAGTCTCAATTTTTTCGTAACAGAAACGCCAGAGCGGAAACACGCAGGTTGCCCATCATGCCAAATGGTCACGCTCATCTCCGGAGTTTCAAGCCAAACCGTCGACACCGCCCGCCAACATCAGCTCATTCCCTTCTCGCTCTCAGCAACAGCTTCCCTGGCACCTTCGGCGGTAATGCACAAAGCCAACCGATAACTCGACCAAGCTGAGCCCAGATTCTCGAATGTCCCCTCCCCAATCTCGCAGCGACCCGTACAGCGGCAGGCCCTCATCTCAAAGGGGTCCCCTCCCGCGCACCCCTTCAAGGACCTCTTCACCGCGTGAACCACACATGCAGGCGAGCTATGGGTCTGCACTGATGGAGCATCTTGTTTTTGTGTTGCCTAGTTGCCGTGTTCAATTCCCTGTAGCAACCCAGCCCAGTCTCGGCAACGAGACCTCGTAGATCTTGATGTGCAGCCTGGCCTGCGCCAGCCATGAAGCCACAACACTCGAGACCCCGAACTGTCTTTCACAGCCGTTGACATCGTAGCGTCAAGTGCTGTCGAGGATGCAATCGTCTCCCTAGAAGCATCAGTATCGCCTTCACCAACAAACATCATACCTGTCGCTCTACCGGCACAAGCCCCCTATCTCGTCCAACCCAAGCCGCAATCACTTCACACAAAACACGCAGAGACGCATCGCCGTAAGAAACGTAAATATGACCTTTGACATGCATATGGGCTCGTAAATCACACCATTACACGGTAGCCGGCTTCCCAAAAAACGCCGCTCATGCAACGCCCAACCGCTCTCCTCTTGATCGTCAAGTCCATCCTTGTATTCCAAACTAGGACCCCTCTCCCAAACATTCTTAGCAAAAGATACACATCGCTTTTGATTCAGTTATTATGTTTTTTAAGCTTGGGTGTTAGTTTCCTCGTCAACCTTTTCGAGTCGCAGGTCGTTGACGAGCATATATCGGCTAAAGCCAAGCCACAGGTAGCGGAACCAGACCATCTGGCTCTTGTGCGCCGTGGTCATGGCGTGCCAGGCGGTGCCCAGCTTGGGCTCGGACCCAAACAGGTTGTTGGTGTAGACGAGCCTCTCGGGGTGCTCGGGGTCCTGGTCGCGCGAGAAGAGCGTCGAGGCGATGGTGGTGAAGAGGTCCAGGCCGCCCGAGTACTTGCGCAGCAGGCCGACGGTGCCCAGCGTGTAGACGTCGACGGGGCTCTTCCACTCGGGCTTGCCCTCGGTCAGGGCCCTGGCGAAGCCCCGCGCGCCGTGGTAGAGGGAGATGTGGTTGGGGTGGGACGAGATGCCGTGGCCGTCAAAGGTGATGAGGGCGTCGATGTTGGCCGTGGGCTCGGAGGCGTTTTCCGCTCGCTGGCGCGCGAGCTGCGGCGCAAAGGCCTTGGTGAGGAGGTTGGCGATCTTGGTCTCGTCCCAGTGCGTCGTCATCGAGTCGGGGAAGTCCTTGCTGCAAGCGATTGTGTTAGTACCTAGGAGGCGGAGGGGGCATTCTGGTCATCCTTGAAAGCCTGTAAATTCGATTTCAGAGCTTGAACATCTGTATCATCAAGAGCCTACAAAGCTGTCACGGTGACCAAAAACACCCCCTCCGCCTGCTTGGTAGTCTTGGAGGGAGGATGCGACCATCGGCCAGCACTCACGGGTTATCGACGACAAAGACGTCGGACTCGTCTCGCAGGCCCAGCGCCAGGCCGCTCTGGACGAGCTCCTTCTTTCTGACTTCGCCGAGGCCTTCAGAGTTCCCTAGAGGCAACGCCCCGAGTCAGTCATTGCTGTCCTCTTGGCCCCCTCGGCACGGCGCCATACCTGAGCTCAGACACAGGATCTTGACGTGGTTGCCCGTCTCCGGCCGCGCCAGCGCCAGCACCGTGGGCGCAAAGAACATGGCCTCGTCGTCCGGGTGCGCAATCAGCAGGCACACGCGCTTCTCCAGCAGCTCCGGGAAGCGGTTGCGCACGGCGCCGGCGGTGCACATGTAGATGGCGGGCACGGCGGCGACGAGGGACGCCGTCAGCACCAGCAGGGACCGGGAGTCGAGGTCCAGCCGGAAGGGCAGGTCGAAGGGGAGGCTGAGGGCGTTTGGCATGTCGGCGGCGGGGATGACGACGAGGCTGCGGGAAGAAGCGAGCCCTCGGGTTCGGGGTTGTAGGGATGGATTGTTTGCGGGCTTGCTTCGGGTCGGTTTGCTGCTCGTGCGGCGTTCGGTCTTGGGGTCTCGTTATTCGTTGCTCGTTGCTGGCGCGTGTTGACGGTGGTGTTGCGACTTGTGGGATGTTTTTTGTTGGGGGACAAAGCGGGTTGCCGGCCGGGTCTAAAGTGCGTGCGTGCCTTTTCTGCGGGAAAACAGCCGGCGGGATCAAGTGGGGGAGCTTCACTCTCTCTCTTTTTGGTCTCTACACGTCAGTGAGTAAGTAGTAGTAGAGAGGGCATGTGTACTCGTAGACAAGCCCGCAGCCAGAGTGGCAGCAATGGAACCAGACGGCGCTCAAGGGCTGGGCTCTGGCTCCAAGGGCCGGCGAGCGGCGATTGGCCCGAGGATGGAGGGTGAAACATTGGATGGACGCCGGAGGGATCGCGGACGAGGTGCGGCTGCAAGGGGAGCAATGGAGGCATCACGGGAACACGATGCGGTGAGGGGAAGCCTGCAGATACTCTGTATGCTTTGATCTTGCTGTCCAGTTTGAGTCATCTACTCATTTCAAAGGTCATAGCTAGATCACTTTCAGATATATGCATTACTCTCCAGTCGTCTTCGGGGTACTTGATATCCATGGATTACCATCTCACTTTGATTGATGTCTCATCAACTGCTAGAGAGCGCTTGCAGCGCCACCTTCAGGGGCACGCCGCCCTGGAGCATTATCGATAAAGCACCCGACCACGCTCCCGGCGCCCGCTGATTGGCTGCCTGCGCGGCCTCGGCTGATCTCACCTGGTCTGATGTCATTTGTCAATTGGCAGCACGAGACACGTGTGTGAAATGCCAAAAGTTCGACTATCAGAATATCACCACCACGGCTGGCATCACAAGCGGCAACGGACGACGGCTTTTGAAGACTCAACTTTGCAGGCTACACGAGTGATTGAATCAGTGTTGAAAGAAAAACAGCGAAATGGCCAAGAACCGCAAGGACCCGACCAAGATCAAGCTCCGCCAGCCCGACCGCTCTCCGCCCACCGAAAAGACGCTGCTGGACATTGCCCAGGAGCGATCGCTCTTTGACCAGGCCGCCAGGCGGGAGAGGGAGCTCGCGGGAAAATCCTCCAAAGCCGACGACGACGACGAAGAAGATGGCAAGCTGTCGCCTGGCGCGGAGCGGTTCCTGGATGCGCTGCTGTGGACGACGACGTTGGCCATCCTGCACTCTACGTTTGACGTCTTGGTGATGCATCAGTATGGGACGGTGATTAAATGGGATAAAGTCGTTGCGAATGCGGGCAGGGCGTGGTTTGGTAGGTTCCCAAGACTATATAAACAAAGCAATACGGACCAAGTTGAATTTGTATTGACGGATCCCTTGTGGAAAACAGCCTTCTTCTTCCTCTTCTACGTCCTCCACCCCCACGAAGCCAACCAGACGCTCCTCCCCGGCCTGCCGCGGCGCTTCCAGAAGCCCCTCCGCCAGCTGCTCTTCTTCGCCATGAGCTGCGTCTCGGGCTGCGCGCTCGTCTACATCACCAACTCGAAGGGGTACCTGTACAACATGAAGAGGGCGCCGCCGCTGGGGTGCCTGTGGGTGTGGGCCGTGGTCGAGCTGGACTTGCTGTGGGCGGTGCCGAGCCTGCTTGTGACGGGGCTGTATATGTGGGTGAATGGGTTTTCGATCAAATGAGGAGATGTGTATGTATGATGAGATGGAAAAGCAAAAAGTGCCTCAAGTTGCAGCTCTCCCACTCCAGCGCATTTCCCTCCGCATCTCCGAGCCACGATACCGCCAAGCCCTCTCGTGGAACGCACTCCCGTGGCAGAAGAGGATATTCCGGAAAATCGCGTTAGAGCAAAGTTCTACTGCATGAACTCGGTGATTAGTAGGTATGGGCGTACAGCTCGAGAGCGAGTAACTTTTCACGATTGGTACCACAATCCCAGGTCGTAGTGAGATTCAGGATGTCTAGAGAGTCGGATGATGCGTTTGTCAAGAATATAGAAGCCCCTCGCTCGGAGAGAATCTTATGTTGGACGAGCAGTCAATTCAATTCTAGAACCGTAAAAACATACTCGCATAGATATCATCAACACGATATTGATCAAAACTACCTTATATGGTATCCTAAGATCCACGTCCCAAGATAAGAACTCTCACTCCGTACATACTGCTCAAAATCCTCGTGGTATCTGCATCTGTCCCCCATTTTCGTCGTCATACCTAGATGTGATAGCGAAACCAAGCAATATGACAGAAAACTCAAGTAAGATTAAGGAAACATAAAACAGACAGAACATCGTCTGTCATACCGTCTTTCATACCAGATGACGCTATGCAATCATTTTGTAAAAGAAGACATGGAAATCGCACGCTTCCTTCCCATGATAGTATACATTAGCGTCCTCCTCTTTCGTCAGATTAAATGCCCGTCTCTCGCAGATAGATGAGAAAGCTCGTGGTCTTGATATAGCACAGTGATTAAAGCAAAGAAATGTCCAGATGCCTGCTCCCTAACCCTCAACCGGAAACTGCCGATAAGATAAATGAGAAAGAAATAGCAAATATCATCATCGCTTTTGTCGGCTTGGCTGCTCCGCAAACCGGATGCCTCTTCTCGCCGGTGGCACTCGCGGCGTGCCCTCGTCGTCCGAGTCGCTGTCCTCAGCGGCAGTCGGACCGCCCACGCCCAGGGCCGCCTCTCGCCTTCTTCGCTCGGCCGGCGTCTCACCCGTTGAAAGACTGGTGTCATCCAGCCTCCGTCGGGCGTCAATGACGCTACCGCGGCGCTCGTTTTCGCTGAGCTGGCCTCCCAGCGCGGCAAGGCGACGGTTCCGCTCCACGGCAGTCTCACCATCCAGCTCGGAAGGTTGGGCAGAGGCACTTACGCCGCTGCGGTCTCGGCCTCGGGGTGCATCAGCCTGCCGCCGGGGAGAGACGGACTCGGAGTCCCGGTAGCTGCCGCGGGGAGCGGGAGAGACCGATGTGGATGCCGATGTGGACGCCGAGGTGGAGGCCGGGCCGGAGCTGGATTCGGGCTCGATGATCTCGGGTATGTTCAGGGTGCGGTTCGTGCCCGGAACGTGAAGATCTTGCCGGGCAAAGTCCTTGAGCGCGGTGGAGGCGGAAGAATGGTCCACCACCTCCTTGCGGGTGCGCGCGTCAAGCTTCTGCACCTCGTGGATAAAGTCCTCCTTGGTCATGCGTCGTCCCACGCCTCCTATCGTGAAGCGAATCTTTCGATCATCGTCCGAGTCGTCTTGAGGGGGCACATTCTTCTTGCGGCCCTCACCGCCACCAAGGACACCGAAGCCCGAGGTCCAGCCAGGCTTGAATACTGGCTTGGAAGATGAAGCGGCTGCGCCAGCCGCAGAGGATTCGCCTGCCTTGCCCTCTTCCATGGCGGCCGGGGACTTTTCGGGATGCCGCGCAAGGGCGCCAAGGCCCAGATACTTGAGACTGTTGTTGATGAGGGTGCCCTCTTGGCCGGCGGGTTTCGCCGGAGGCAGTTCGTATGTCTTGACGACTTCACCGTCCTCGTCCTCGACGATGATCTGTTGTGCCAAGTTAGAGACCAATCTCAGATACCTCACGAGGGAGGAAAGCAGTAAGACGAGAACGGAGAAATACATACCGCGTTGCCGAACTGGTAAGCTCGGGCTGGCTCATGTCGTCGACTGGCTTTATCCTTTCCTTTTCGCTTCTCCAATTCAGAGCTGTATACGTCCGTCACTTTCCGACGAATGTTGTTCACAGACCAATGGAACTTCTCTGCCTCGGACTTGGATTTTGCCGCGACGGGCGTGAGTGATGGTCGTTTTGGTGCCTCCTCCTTTCTTCCTCCTCCCTCAACTTCGCCGTGTGTTGATCGGGCATCAACGACCTCACCTTCGTCGTCTTCAATCACCAGATGCTCGCCCTCCTCGTACACATTGACGTGCGGTGCTGAAGGGCTCTGGCTCTCGTCGGCTCGCCCGCGACGGCCGCGAGGCTCTTCCTCATCGGCTGGCTTCTCCAGGTCAACGGCCGGCTTCTCCAGGTCAACCTCCGTAGGGCTCTCTGCAGATGGGGTTGCGTCCCTGACATCGGGCTCTGGAGGCGTCTCCTTTTCAGGGGAGGGCGACGCTGCTGCTGACCGGCTAGGGAAGATGGCCGATTGACTGATGGGGCCTCCAGGGCCGATGCCGTCGTCCCACTTCCTGTGCTTCCTCTTCTTGGCCACCAATGACGACGGACGGCTGCCCGAGCGGCCGTAATCCTCTTCTCGCTGGCGCCGGAGAAACTGTGCAGGCGGGGGGACGCTGCCTGGGGGAAACTCGGGCGTCTTGTAGTCGTCAAAGGATGTCTCTGACATCGTCCGGGCCTGGGACCTGGACTGGGACGAGATCCTGGGCAGCCTGTTCATCCATGACGGTCCGTCCTCGGGCGCGGCGGTGTAGGACATGGTAATGGTCAGAGTGTTGATGCGCTTGCCGAGCGTGAAGACGGCGACAGAGGACCCGTGAACCAGGATGGATGAGATGACGAGGAACGTGACAATGGGCCACACGAGGTAGAGGAGGTTGTAATGAGGCGAGCCCTCGGGCGGCAGGTCCGATAGCGGCACAGGCTCTTCGTGCTCCAGCTCGGCGCGCGCGAGAATGGCGACGAAGATGGCGCCGACACCAATGGGGCCAAAGTGGCCTGCGAAGAGGGCCTCGCGCCAGTTTTTGATGTCTGGTATGACCGGCTTGAGCAGCATCATGACGGGGATGCGGCGGAAGAGGATGACGAAGATGGCGATGACGACAAGGCGCCAGACCTCCATGCCCAAGAAGCCGTTGTTGTACTGCTCCCAGGGGATAATGGTACCAAAAAACACAAAATAGGCCAAGTTAAGAAGCAGATCGATAACGTTGGAAACGTGCGACTCCTCCGTCTTTTCGCCGAACCAGCCGTCGTTAGAGAAACCGACTCCGGCAGCAAAGCCCACAAGGAGATCGTCCACGCCGAGGATACTACCCGAACCGGCGCAGAAGAGTGAAAGGGCAAAGTAAAAGACGAGGAAGCTCTCGCGATCGATCATTTCGTGCTCCTCGGCGTAGCGGATGCCGCGGCGCGCAATGTAGCCGATCATGAAGCCGTAAAAGGCGCCAAAGATGCACTCGTAGAGGATCACGTAGACGACGAAGTGGAAGCTGACGTCGCCGGCGTTGCGGTTGTACTGAATAAGGTACAGCGAGAGGTAGATGAAGGGAAAGGCCATGCCGTCGTTGCAGCCGGACTCGGCGGACAGCAGGTCTCGCAGATGCTTGGGCACGCGCTTGGCGAACTTGCCCTTGCCGACGACGGACGAGGCCAGGACGGGATCGGTGGCGGTGACGCAGGCGGCGACGACGAGCGAGTCGAGCCAGGTGAGGGGCGGGATCATCCACCAGACGAAGAGGCTGACGATGAGCCAGCCAAAGGCCATGACGGGCACGAGCAGGAAGACGACAGAGCGCCAGTGTCTCTCCATGTAAAACTTGGGCAATTCGACGCCGACGGCGAAGCACTGGACGACGAGGACGATGCGCGAGAACTCGACGGTGACGATGTCGACGCTGCCCCAGGACCGGGGATCGATCAGGTTGGCGGCATGAGGCCCGAAGATGACGCCGCAGATGGTCGCAACGGTGGCCTCGCCAATGTACATGCGCTCCTTGATGACGGACGAGCACAGCATGAAAAGCGAGGTGAAGCCGCCGAGGATGATGTAGACCAAGTGCGGCTTGGTGATGTCGAGGTTGTCCCACGCCATGGCGGGCGGTGGTTTCGGTTCGCGGCTTCGCGACGAGGCGGACGTACGGTCTCTTGTCTCTGGATCTGATCAATCGGTTCGCCTCGTGTGGCTTGTTTTTAGAAATTGAGACTCTCTTCTCCTTTTCTCTCTTCCTCCTCCTCTTCTTCTTTTCCTCCTACCAGCTCCTCCTGGTTATCCTTGGTGTCGTTTCTGCCCGACGGATTACGCCCAAGTCGCAACAACGGCCTGATATTCTTGGCCCCTGTTCCTTTACCTTGTCTTTTTCTTTTCTTTTTCTCGCCTTGTTTTTTCTTAGTCTCGTTTCAAGATGCGAGCCGGGTCCTGCTGGCTCAAGGCGCGGGTTGAGGCGCCGACGGAAGCTGACGCCGGGAGAAGCAGCGGCCTACGGGCTGGCACTGCAATCTTGTGGTAACTCCCCAGTCAATGGTAGCCGAGCGAGGAGTATCGCGATGGCGAGACATGCAGGAGAGCAGAATCGAGGATGACGAGAGGAGAGGAAAGCCAAGGTGAAATGTTGGATCCGGCGAAGGGACAGGACAGGACAGGACAGGAATGACAGAAGAAGTGGGCTCGCACGTGGAAATAAAGGCCAGGACGAGGTTCTGATAAGGATTTGGACGCGGATTCCAAGTGCCGCTAAGCCACACTCAAGGCGAGTCCGAATCCCGAGCCAAGCGTTTGGAAGCAGCGAAGATGGAAGGACGAGGTGGAGAATGGAAGTAAGAAGTGCTGGGCACGAGGCTGTCAGTGCGAGCGAGCGAGTGCGTATGTATGTGCATGCGAAAGGTATGTGTGCGTGTTGTGTGCGTGTTGCGTGGGTGATGGGTGGTCACCCACTCGTATTCTGTGTCGTCACTCGATCGGACAGGTCGGTTCCGTGGCGAAGGCACCGATGGGTCCGGGACAAGTTCGTGGCCGGCGCAGGATGGGGGTCGACGCTCCGAGGGCTGGAGGGACGCTACTGTATTTGATCGGACGGGTGATTATCGCCGTCGTTGAATGGCTGTATCGAGGCCGACTGCTAGGTAGATTTCATCAGTCGTGATTCGATGCCATCCAATGTGCTTTCGCCGTCCAATCGACAGCCTTGAACCTCGAGATCTGATGGCGACAATCGCTCGATCCAGACACCGAGCACCGCTGTTGTCCTCGACTGCCTCGTCTCCGTTCCGTGGCCAAACTCCGTGCTCAGAAGAACGAACGAAAAAAAAAATGTCACCATCCAGAAATGATGCCACAACTATGACAGCCAAACCAACCAGCGCGTCCGCCAAGCAACTACCGCTGCAAGCCCCCCCAGTCCAGCGCTGATGCACAGCGCCAGTGCGGGCCTCTCAGGGCGTTTGGCCGTGGGGACTTTGGGGCTGGGGCACCACCTCGCCTAGGCGGCAGCCACTAGAAGCCCTGAGGCCGCTGCTGGCGGAGAGCCGTTGCCTGGGCCGATTCTGCCGCTCCAAAGGCGGTGTTGGCGTGATTTTAGCAGTGTCTTGGCCGGACTGGCGATCCCGTCTTCTTTCTTCCCTTTTCTGCCGTGTTCCGCCATCTTCTGCTATGCTGGGCTCTGCTTTGTTTTTGTCTTGCTCTGCTTTCAGTCAAAATCAAAACAGAGGCTCGAATGGAATTGGCCGTTCCGATTAGCCGGAACCGCTGTCGAAGGCAGCTGCTTCCGTTGCACGACGCTCCCTGTTCTTCCCTTGCCATGTCTCACCCGCCTCGTGACGACTCAGACAGATGCGTCCACTGCAGGCAATCCGGCGAGACGAGACACTAAAACCACGCCAGGTCTCGGCACGGCTCTTCCTTGGCAGCACGACGCCTCGTCTTCCTTTCTCTTCGCCCTCGTCTCCGGTCTATTGTTTGCTATTTTTATGGCTCCCTTGATTCGTCTTTTGTTCCTCCCTTTCTCTTTTTTCGGTGGGGGCTGAACCTGTGTCTCCGTTACTCGGATCCCCGAACCTCTCGTTGGTGCGCCTCGTTGGCCATCTTCCGCCGGCCAATTCGCCGTCTCTCCTGTGATTCGTTCCGACATGCTCCGTGAACATGGTCTCCTGGCGTTTTTCGGCACCGGGCATTGGTGAGATGTGCAGCTACGGAGACGGAGCCAAGACGTTGTGTCCCCAACCGGCCCCCTTTTCCCTTCGAGTTCTCTTCCATCCTTCGTCCCTTTTTTTATGCTTATCTCTCTCGGCCCCTTCCTAGCCAACTAGCAAACGGCTGGGATGGAAGCCTCATCTAGATTGCTGACAGCCCCCAACGCCAAACCCGTCCTTGCCCGGGGTTTTCGAGCAGTGTGCCGGGTGCTTCTCACCGGTGATATTATCGTGGTTTATTGACTTGGCATCATTTTCTCGAAGCCAATGGGAATTGACCATCTGCCACTCGGGAACTTTCTCTTCACGCAGTCTCGATGGACGACTGGCAGGGCTGATCCGTCTTGTTTTTGCTCGCTTCCCCGCGTTCCGTTGGTGATGCATCAGGTGAGGTGCCATGGGCGGAGCTGCTCCATGCAACAATAGACTCGTCTGAAGATCTCCGGTGCAGATCATGGGAATATCCTCTATTGTAACCAATCGCCTTGATGCTGATTTCTCCAGCTGGACCGTTTGTACTGGACCAGTAAGACTCTGCTGCTCTGTGTTTGTTCCAACACTCACACATCTTGTATGCACATACTTTGTACGGGGTCAACACATGCATGTGCGCGGCTTGTGTAGCGACGTCAAAAGCCGGCGAGATCGGCAATTGGCTCTTGTCGCGTGCATTCGGCGCTGTCCAACCACCGCTCATGTTACGTCTGCGGATCATAGACAGCATACGGCTCTGCAAGCACGCGCGCACCCCAAGGAAGTTGGCGGAATGTCCGTTTTTCCCTTCATCGTCTTCTGCCGCCTTCTCCATATAGGTATGTCCAAGGTGTCAACTTGTCAGCGGCAGCAGGGTCTGGCACTACCACCCTATGGCATGTCGTCCGTGTTCAACGACACAGATGTGTAACACATTGCAGACTGCAGATGTGAGGCTATTCCAGAATTATCCCTCATCGGAGGTTTGTGCACACGCATGTGGTACCCAAAGTTCTTCACCACAGCACTGTTGAAGGGGAGTGTATCACGCCACGACGTTGATGTAGGTCGCCAAACTCATGGGGAGCCGCATTCGCATGTATGCAACCAACCCATTTCGAGAATGGAAGCCGGCGGTACGACTTCTAGAATCATGCGTTTTACGTCAATATTTGCGTTTGGCGCCGCCCCTTGCCATGCTTATTCCGACGTCGATGCTACATGCGACGCATGACAGCCGTAAGTCATACGAGGTGATCAAGCGTCCTATTTTGGGTCGGTTGACGATTGAAGCTCTGCCATGAATAGATATTTAGACTACCTGCATATAAGATGGCCTAGGTCGTAAACAAAACTCAGGGAACATGCGGTATTTTTCGTTTGTTGAGCTTTGAATGATGGTCCCTTCAAGCATTGCGGTTCGGATTCCTCGTGCCGTGTGAGTTGTTGCTTGCTATATAGATACATATTCTTGGCGATAACTGTATGATTGCATCTCGACGGATGGACAAGTCTGCTTGCATCTTTCCCATCATGATATATGCCAATCATTAGGCCTACTGGTTCTGGATGCAGTTGTATAACGGTGTGTACTGATCCTGACTGCCCTCTATACCTTGTGATGCAGACAGCGTAGATGTATCCGAAATGCTGAGCGCAACGCTTCGTATCTGTTTCCACCATAATGCGCGTGGTGCCTCATTCCATCTTTTGCGAAAGATGAAGAAAGAGAGTCTTTTTGGAGTTGCAAAGACACCTAGACACTCGTCATAGAAATGACCGGCTATCGTAGTGGCTCTGCCTCCAGGTATGATGCTATGAATAGGAGGTTCCTTCTAGTTTCCTTACCTTTGCTATACCCACAGGTCCTTTAAGGGATTAGAATCTTAGGGTGCGTCTTCACAGTCAAGTTTCGTCTTAGATAGCCGCGAGTTCGGTCACGAGGGAGGCGCTTCGGCCAGCCAGATTCATACTGACCGTCAAATCTACCGACATCGTGAAGCTGATACAGAAATATCGAAAATATGGTTCTTCTGTTTGAACAGATAAGTGTACTCTTTCACGTAAAGGGGGGACTTCGTGTTAGTCGTCTCCAGATGAGTGCTATAAGAATGTGGTTGGATGCCAGCGATGGTCCTTCCATGCCATCCATCTTCTCTGGAAGTCCATATGTGATTTATGCCCGCGGCATAGCACATCACCGTCAACCAATTTGGGTTTTGGTAATTGATCTGTCTTCTTCATTCATCTACCGGGCTTTGTGCTCCTGGCTCCTGTCTTCAGGCATTGATCAAAGAAGTCGTCTCGAAGAGGAAGCGGTTCCTACGATCATCGAGGGTGCAGCGATCCATGCTTCATACTTAGTTACGGTCAAATGCCATGACTTACTAGTGAATTCAATTCTTAAGCTTGTATTAGAGAATAATGAGTATTACTCCATACAACAGGCGCTCCTACACGTCCAACTGACAACGGCTGGGCAGCCAGATGCTCCATGTCGCTGGGAGAAAAGTGTGCGATGCTCCAGTCTTTCACATATGCATCGGATGCTCAAGAACCAAAGGAAAAGCTGAACGGCCGCGGTATAGGTCTCTTCCCCATTCCTACTGCTGTCTCTATCATAGGTTGCACGCTTCTTCGTCTTCAGGTTGGTGGCTTTCAGTGGAGCGATGCCTCGCTTGTGAGGTGAGGTCGGAGGCACTTACACCATCGAATGTGCCGACAGCATCAATCTTCGTAATTTGTCCGTCTTTCTCGCAGCTGCCTTAGCTCTACGTGAATGAAAAATTGGGGGCCAGGCTGGAAAACATATAATCATCAAATTGCATTACCGTAAGTCATTTCATCCTAAAAAAAACATATACTTGCATCATGAGTAGCGTCGTTGTACGGTCTCCCTGCATGTGGTATCTCCTCCCAAGTCAAAGTACCTCCCGTCTGCTTCCAAGTACAACTGGTACATGTTGTTGGTCCACGCCTCGAACCAACAACCGAGCTGCACATGACACGCACCAGTTGGATAATCCCTCTCTTTATTTCAACTTCACCTCCACATTCCTCTCTCCAACTCCAACTTCAACTCCCTCACTGCACGTCCTTCTCATCCAGAGGCTTTTCCTGCCTGTCAAGCTTGCCAATCAGCTTGCCTCCGTCCAGAATGCTGCCAAACATGGCGGCCTCAAACAGGTGATTGACCTGCCAGGCGTGGTGATTCGCATGCGCGATGATCCAGACCATCTCGAGCACCTGGCCGCGAGAGAACAGATCAGCCATCGTCAGCCGCGATCCCTCCGCGAACTCATACTCGCGCGCCTCATCGACCACGCCGCCTCTGACGTACGCGAGAGGCTCGGTGACGAGGAACCGCCAGAGATCCTTCAGCAGTGGCTTGTCTTGGTGGCGACGGAAGAACTGGTGGACGTGATCGCAGGTATCCTCGCCATTGCAGGTGTGCTTGGCATCGAGGGGTCTGCTGAAGCCCGTTGTGCGGTACTGCTTGTCAAAGACCTCGTCAAAGTCGGCCTCGAACTGAGGTCGATTCGGCGTCTTGCGGGCCTTGGGCCAGCCCAGAATGGCACGACGGAAGAACATGTGGCGGTCGTTCTGGATATGCCATGTGTACAGAGCGGCGCACATTCTGGCCACCGGCTCATGCCATCTCTGGGTCAGCATACGGGCACTGGTTGCGGCGAAGGCATCATAGATACGGCGCAGCACCTCCTCGCTGACGATGCCCGTCTCGGTAATGTCCGTCACGTTGAGGAACGAGTTCATGACCTCGGAATTGACCAGATCGCACCCCACGTCGACGACGTCGGTTCCCGGCGAGCTGAAGACCAGATCGGCCATGACGGCCCCCGGATCGCAGCCGCGTGCGATCGCCTCGGCTGCCATGCCCAACAAGCTGCTCTCTGACAGGGAGACGATCTGGGCGGTGCGGCGATTGAGTCGCGCGGATCGATACGACAAGTTCTTCTTGAAGCGATCCTCTAGCGCGATCTTACCCTGGATGTACTGCTTGCCGAGCGAGACGGCGTCTCGCCGCTCGCGACCCCCTGGCGTGCGTAGCGCATGGGGATCTTCTAGGCCTTTCTGCAGCAGCGGTTCCAACGTCGGAAAGACGTAGTTGTAGCCGTGCTCATAGTAAAAGACCATGTCCGTCACATAGTTGGAAAACATGGTGGGCGCATCGGCAGCGCCCATGAGCAGGCTGGCGATGCCGCAGCCAAAGAGGGCGTTGTTTGTCTTTAGGGCGTCGGGCCAGCCCGCGGCTCCGATCTTCTGAAGGGCTCCGGCCGAGGCCTGGCTGAGCCCGGTGCCCTTTGGGGGCAGGATGTTGCCGGCCGCGTGCTGGGATTCTTTCCAGCTCTGCAGATCGGCGGATAGCTTAAGCTGGACTATTCTAGGGCCCGATTCGACAGACGACAACGACTGCTTGTCGCCCACGGACGAGGTTTCCGCCGCATCTCCAACATCTCCAAAGACCTCGGCGACGAACGCGCGGGCCTGGTTCGACAGCATCGCCAGCTCCGGCACAGTGCCATCTCCGACCAAGGCTCTTGCCTCTGCATAGCCACTGTGGATGGCAAAAGAGTGCTTCTTGGGCTTCCGGCCGAGGAGTTTCCTAACCCGATTGCGGAAGCCCTTGGCCCAGAAATATGGGGGGATCTGGTCCGACTCGCCCGGGAAGGCGTCTTTCTTGGGCGACTTGACCTTGATCTTGAGCCCTTTGAGGTCAAACTCGCTCCAGTAACTCTGATGGGACAAGGGTTGGCACCAAAGAAAAGCCATTGTGATGATCGGCTGCCGGGAAGAAACAGCTTGGGTTGATGGCACAGCAAGAGCTCGCTCATGGGATCCCGCCGTCCGTTTATATGTTGCTTCAACGGGCGTCTCTGTCCAGCCGTGGTGGCACAGCTGCAGCTTGGAAAAGGCCGCATCTGCACTTCGATGGAGCCTCTTAAAAAAGCTTGGGGTGAACCAACAACAACTCTACATGTCACATTCTATCACAGGATTTTACTGGGATTGATACGGAAGAGGAGGGGAAGGAAGACCAATATCGAGGTGACCTGACCTCAACTGACCTGGTCTTTACCTGAGCCCACCTGAGCAGCTGAATCCAGCGGGCGAGGGTAAGCTGATGCTTGTTGGTGTTACGAAGCACTGCTCTTCTTGGCAAGATGCGGCTCACGGAAGATCTGGATACCACATGGACGACGGGCAAGCCCAGGTTGACCGAGGTCGAGGAGACGAGAGACCGAGACTAAAACAGAGACGCACATACTCGCACATACAGACACAGACACACCCAGATAAAGACGGTCTGAGGTGGCAAGATAACGAGCCGAACTGGATACCGTTCTTGCATCTCGCTACCGTCAACTGGAGAAGCTAATGGCGCCAGAAATCTTCATCTTGGCACCACGTTGACGACGTGGTTGATCAGGAAGAGATTTCCATTCATCCATGCGAACTCTCTCCGCAAGAACACGCGGAACACGAGGGGTCCCCTGTTGTCCGATTGATGGTTCATACTCCACAATGATATCAAGTTCGTTGGCTTGTCCATGTTTCCCGCCGCGGACACTTGCTGACTTGGGAATAGGCTGTATGTATGTGCTGTCTGCAAGCGTTGAAGCGGTGAGAAACTGGGTTGATGTCACGGTTTCGAGACTGGCGATGGTTGACCTTGACCTTGCAGAGTCGTACTCGAGCGGCCGTGGCCCCCATGAGCTTGTGCGAAGCAAGGCGTTTCGAGGCCTTGGCCGTTCATGCGTTTGGGGGTTCGCCGTGGGTGAGACCGAGGGCAGATCCTCTCGAAATGCGACGTTCGAGGAGGATGGACCGCCGGCCGCGTGACGGGCGTGACCTGCTGGAGAATGGCTGTCTGCACGATACGATACAGGTTCCATCGCTGTGCCTCTGCATTGCATCAGGATCCAGTTGCATTCAGCAATTGACGCTTGCGATTCGCACAACCACGCGGCCGGCATCTGCAGGACCGAACCGCCAAGCCAGGCCCTGCTGGCTGACTACATACGAGTTACCTGCCCGCCGGAGTCGACGGGGACAGAACTGTGGGCTGTGTGGGTTACACAAAAGGTTATGACGGGACGGCGACGGATAATAGTTGTGCTAATCCTGCCACATGTTATCCTAGCACCAAAGTGCGAAGCAGGGGTATGGGGTGGCATGGCTGGGCTGGGGAGGGCCTTGATAACCACTTAGGTAATGGAAGCAAGCAGCATCCCGGCTCGAGTCGAGAGGCCCTGTCATTGCTCTGTCTGTTGCTGAACAAGCGCAAGCACTACGCCATGCCATGCCTGGTCCTGTTTGTCGACCAGGTAAGGAAGTATTCGTAGGACCGCCACGAGTTCACGACGAATATCACTTGTTCTCGCAAACTTCTCCGCACTGGCAACAATGCGAGAGATGGATGGCGAGATAACACCCCGGAGCATGCTACTTGTAGAACGAGTTTCTTCCCGTTGCCCCTCTGTGTCGCGAGTGGTCCGAGGTTTCCTGCGTCTTTGTCCACGCGAATGGGCAGGGCTCAGCTGGTTGCCGAGGAAGTTCTGTCTGGATGGTCGACTGGCTGTGTTCTGTCGAAGAATACTACCTGAGGTTGGCAGTCTTGCCCGACGCGAGCACCAGATCCGGATATGCCGAAGAGTCGGCTCCCAGACCACGGCTGCAGCTTGACGGATTGGTGGTGTTGACCAGGGGTTATGGAGGCGACTTTGGCAGCAGCATCTGAGCACTGCCGTACGGTACGTGTATTCTGTCGCGCCTCGCGGCAATTGGTTAATCTTTGTTGGCTCGCAAGTCGATTCCTTGTGACTACGTACGAGTAGTATTACGTACCGTACCTTGGGGACTGAGGCTGGATGGACGCGAGATGGAGGCTGGATGCCAGGGGATTGGCGCACTGCCTTCATATTTCTCCACACGAAAAAAAAGTCCGTCCCACGGCCAAGAGCAAGACCAATTAATTGATCCCAGCCCGGCAACGAGCGAGGATGCCGAGTGCGGCTGTTGGGTGGACGCCTGCTACGTACGAGTAAGACGGTGTGCTAAAGAGGTTGGTCGTGTTCCCTTCGCATGAGCTCGCATGATACAAGTACGCAGCAGGGCCCCAAGCTCCCGACTGAGCTTCCAGAGAGGAGAGGAGCGCGAGAGTCCCCAAGCTCCCGGCTGCGTCTCCAGCTTCATCTCCCGATGGCCAGAGCTGGCGGGCCAGACGATGCCAACATGCCGGCAAGCTGATGGCCCTCGTCCCCTTCAGCTTATACTAGCGGTGGGCTGCTAACGACGGTTATGGCATCGCCCATACGACCACTCGTCCGACCCCGGCCTGGGGAAGGGCTGCAAGGGCTCACGCTCAAGCCCAATGTTACGGCGGAAATGACACTTGACCCCTTCCACGGCTATTACTTGTATAAGTGCCGCTGCAATCGAGATTGGCCTGGAGGGAAAAGGGCCCTGGGCTGCGGTTCACTGCTGTGATGAGCGACCGACACTCGTCTTCCCGTGCCAACGTCCCGTCCCTACATGTAACCTTCGGTTCCGGCCCCTTCTGAGGACAAGAAGAGCTTCTGATCACGGCCCTTTTTTTTGATTGATTTGCATGCCAATCCCTTCATCCGATCATGGCCCCGCCCGATGCCGCGACGTCGATTCGGTACCGCCCGCTCGACCGGTCCGGCAACGAGATTCGCCTGCTCGAGCTGCAGCCGGCGACGACCAACGACATTGAGGAGCGCGTCGTGTGCCGCCTGGTGCACGAGCGGCTAAGCGACTCGCAGACGTCCGACTTCATCGGCCTGTCGGCCCTGTACGGCGACATTGCCGTCACCGAGACCATCATGGTCAACGGCGCCGCCATCTGCATCCCCGTCCACCTCGCCCAGGCCCTGCGGCACATGCGCGCCGTCTTCCTGGCCGCGTCGCTGCCCACGCCCGACGCCTCCAGGACCGACCTCCAGGACGGCGTCGACGCCCCGAAAAAGGCCCCCGGCTGGCTGCGGTCGCTGCTGAAGAATGTGCGGCACATGCTGGCCGAGCCCGGCGCGTCGCGGGGCACGCCGCCGCTGCGCATCTGGCTGGACCTGCTGTGCATCAACCCGCGCGACAAGCGGGAGGAGGCGGAGCGGCGGGCTCACATGGCGCGGGCCTACCGCCACGCCCGGATGGTGGTCGGCTGGCTGGGCCTCAAGGACGCGACGTCGGACCTGGCCATCGAGATCATCAAGGCATGGGACAAGTGCATGCCCCTGACCTTTGGCGAGCCGGGCGACCGCGAGCTGCACCCGGACGACTACGCCCCCGTGCTGCAGTGGATGGGCCCCGTGGCGCACCTGAGCGACATCCCCGAGGGCATCACCGACCCGCGCGACGTGCCCAGCTACAAGGCCATCTCCGAGTTCCTCAACCGGCCGTACTTTCGCAACTCGTGGATCCTCGACGACATGAGCAAGGCGCGCTTCCCGGCGTTTTTGCTGGGCGACGACATCGTGTCCTGGATGCAGGTGCTGCGCCTCAACCGCGTCAACGAGGACATCAAAGACCACGGCGCCGACATGTTCCCCGACGAGCTGCGGCCGCTGCTCGAGTACATGCCGCTGGGCAGCGTCTACGCCTTCTTGAAGGAGTTTGACAACCGGCAGCGGCAAGAGGGCGGCACGCCGGCCATGCTGACGACGACGAGCTCGGTGCGGAGCTCGTCTTCGATATCCAACATGAGGACCAAGTCACGGCAATGAAGCGATCGTGCTACTATTTCCATGCGTTTTCTTTACTCTTTCGCTCTTTTTTCCTTATACTGCATATGAGAAATCACCTATAAACAAAAACATCATGTGTGATAAGGCGGGACGACCAGGCATTCATTTCCTTGTTTCTGTCATTCTTTATTCTTATTTCTTTATTCATCGGGTGGAAGGGAAAGGGACGTTTACGCCTCGGATCACTACTATAACTTGCGTGGGTGTGTTACGAACTTGGCTCCTTGGGAAACGGGGGGAACGGGATCGTCATCATTTCGTTTTGCGTTTGTGTTTGGACAGCGAGAACTTGTTGGGGATACCTACTTGTGTTTGATCCCTTTCTTTTCTTGTAAGAGAAAAAAACATGAAAGCGGGATATCATATAGTTGTGCTTTTTGTGTTTTGTTTGGATTTTCATGTATGTAGAGAGATACCAAATGAGGACCGTAGATAGATTTCTTTTTTTCACGCGTTTCACTTGTTTGCTATTTTAATACTATGAGGATGACTTGGGGCATAATGTTCACAGAAGTGATGTTTTGGTATTTTCCTTGGTCTGCATGTTTCGCTTTAGCATTCATCTGTTCATGATGATGTCGAGCGGTTCCGCTTCCTGTGTCATGTGCCTCGCAACGCGTAACAGATCATTCGATGTGATTAATATACGGAGTAACAAGGACAGGAAAAGAATCCGGCACGCGAGCAGCAGCAGCACACCATGCCATGCCAACCTTGTCCGCAAATAATAAATAGGCTACTATGCAGTTGAATGCCGAGTCGGCGAATTAAGATTCGAAAAATCTCACACCGACACCCCTTGTAAACGTTGCATAGAGAAGAAGCACGGAGTGAGAACTCCGTGGTTGTAGTAGTGTTACTTTATTTTTGCTGATATTTTTTTTGCCCCCTTTCTCGAATGATGCGTCTTACGGCGGGATGCAATTTGGGTGGAAGGATTACGGAGATGCATGCCAAGACTGTTTCTCCTTACGAGATCTCGGGAGGGAGGGGGTTTTCAGAGGAGATTTTGGGCTTATTATTTTACGGAGGGCGATGCAGGGGGCTGGAAGTTTGGAAGGGATTTGGAAGGGGGGGTGGAATGAGTGGAAGCGTGTGTGTGTGTGTGGGTTGGGTGATGTGAGTTCAACAAGTTGGTTTGCGTGGTTTTGCTCAGGGAGATGGTATCGGAGACAGTTGGGCTTTATGTATGTTGCTTTCTTTTCGTTTTCTAGAAGCTGACATGTTTGAGATGGAGTGGTGTGTCTTGCTTGAGCTGCAGCCTTGTATCCGCATGAGACATACATACACTATCACAAGATACACTTATTTGAAACCTACCAATTGTTGAAGGAGAGTGAGAGTGAGATGCGTGATAGAGAAAGAGAAAGCTGGTTCTTCTCCTTCATTTTCTGTCTACAACAATGAGAAAGGGCTCATCACATCTCGCTTTCGTTTACCGGATATCTGTGGAACTACCCGTAAACTGTGTTGGTCGAGACACCCCTGGGATACCGGCACGGCCGTCTGAGAGCGTCCCGACCCCGAGTGCAGATCAGCAATTACCGAGTGGGATCTGTGCGAGATGGGGGATCGTGGGCTCCGTCATACGATCATGTCATCAGTGTCGCATCGTATCCTTGTTTTTTTTTGGGAAGTGTTGTTGGTCATTGACTAACGCTTTTTTGCCTTGGAGATCTTCATCGCCGATCGTGTATGCTGGGTGCGCTTTGGTGAGTGAGTGTTGGAACGATTCCTTGCATTCTGCTGCTTGTATGGTTTGTTTCTACTGTTATTCTTCTGCGCTCGTAGTTATACTGCATCATAGGGTCACCACGGTCCAAATCCCATGCCGGATGCCCCTCCGTATACCTCAAACTCAAACTTATTCTTCCCCCCAAGCCAGTAGTGAATCGACCCATACTCCTCATGCGTGTTACCCGCCCGAATCAGGAGATCCTTCCTCGCCGCCGACAGCGCCTTCATCGCCGCCTCGAGCCTCTCGTCAATCTCGGACTGGTCTGACAGCTTCAGCTCGACCAGTTTCGGCGCCATGGCCGGGCTGTCTTTCAGCTTGCGAAGAGCAGTCCCCCTGACCTTGCCGGGCGAATTGTCGTTGCCCGAGAGATGAACAAAGACTAGATTTGGGCAATTCGTGAAGAGGGACAGAAGAGACTTGTCTGTGAGTTGAACTGCGCCGTCGAGACTGACGTGAACGAGGTTGGGACACGCTTTGGCAAGACGATCGATGGCGGCGTCCGTCAAGTCATAGCCCTTGCCTGTTTCTGCGTCCCCTGCAGAGAAGCTGCGCAGAGACTGGCAGAAGTCGGCTCCCACAGAGATGAGGGCGTCAATATGAGCGCTTTGGCTTATATCAGAACAGGTGCACTTGTCTCAAAGGACTAAACATTTGTACTGAAAGGCTCACTCTGTGATGGAAAACCTTTCTGAAAAGTACACCCGCTTGGTATTATTCACCAACTTGACGTGGCGTCCCTCCCACGACTCGGGTGTTTCGAAATGCACATTTTCGCTGGGGTGGTATGTCTCCTGGACGTACGGCTGACGCGGGAGGGTGGCGCGCCGGGACTGGTTTCGTGAAGCTGAAGCTTTGGTGGCATTTGCTTGCTTCTTCTGACCGGGTTTATTCTGAACCTTTCGACGAGGTTTGCGGCCCGCCTTGGGCTGAGCATTCGGGTCGAGACCCATTGTGTTGCAGGGGGGACGTTCAGGTGGTTGAATACGATATGAGGGAGACACAACACTGCAACAACGTAAACAAGATGCAGGACAACCAGCTATTACAGATCAAGAAACCATAACTCTTTGCACATCTCAATTTCAAATCCAGCTCTACGGTTTGGATTGCGCGCTAATCAAGATGAAGTGGACATCGCGAGCTTATTGTGGTGGATCGTGAGAAAGCTCGGATTGACCCTTGTCAGGGGCTGTTGGTCCCTTGCTTTTCCACAGATCTCACGGAGTAGCGGTCACTTGTCATGGAATGGATCTGAATGTGAAAGCTAAAATGTATACATGTTTATTCTTTGATGAAGACCCCGTTTTGTGGTTCGAGCCCACTGAATGGAATCCGATGTCGGGCCAGATAGTATGATGCGAGGAATTGACCTTGTAGGCTAGTGCTTTGCATATCCGTGATGCAGCTGTCGATGCCGATCTGTAAATGCACGACGCGGCTGACCAGGTACAAAGTACAATCGGATCCGCCTCTTTCAGGATCGTGTGATGCTGTTGAGTTGAGCTTCACAACAGAAGGGTGTGTATAAGCCCGAAGCTTCTATAACCAGTCCATCTCAGTTCTGCCCACGAACATCCTTAATCTGTCTCGTCCTCTCTGAATCGGTTTCATCCCCGGTATTCACCGTAGACTCGTGCTCTATCAACATGACAGACGCCTCTTTCGCAACAGGCCTGTGTCTGAGGCCCTTTGGAATGACAAACATGTCCCCGACCTGCATCACAACGTCATCGCGGCCCTCGAGCTCAATGGTGAGTTTGCCGGAGAGAAGGTAGAAGAGCTCGTCCGAGTTGGGGTGCGCGTGCCAGATGAATTCGCCGTCGAGCTTGGCTACCTTGACGTGGTGGTCGTTGATTGCGGCGACGAGGCGGGGCGACCATGTTTCGGTGAAGGAGTCGAGGAGTTTGGGGATGGATTCGGAGGTTGACATTTTGTTGTGAGTGTGGTGGATGACTATCTTGTTTGGAAGATGTGAGATAATGATAGGTTTAGTTTGATTAGCAACTAAGCCTTCTGGATTGGCTGAGACTTATAAAGTCTTTTGCAAGTCTCTACTATCTCGTTGACCTTGTCTCGGTGCGTGGGGCAAAAGGCGCGGAAAGGTGTTAGCGCACGCCCTTGTAGTGAGATTGAATGTCAAACAGTAAGCGTAACGTGGAGCAGTAGGGAGTTCATGTCCTTGTCATCTCTTGATCTTTAACCCGATGGACACAGTGAGATAGTGTCTATGTAATCCACAAGCGCCTACCTGTTTGCAAAGATGGTCGATACTGCCTTCATCTTGCTTCTTGGTCTGTGGTTCGGATACACAATCATACGTGCAGTTTTCCTCCATATTGAGGGCAACTGGAACTTGACCGCTGCGAAAGTCCTACCATTGGTCCTTGACAAAACGCCGCATCGTGTTAATCAAGAGAATGTTTGAACACTGATTTATTTCACACAAGGTTTTGAGGCTCTGGCTAATGGAAATGAAGTCACAGACGACTATTTTGAAAGCCATGTCTTCAAATAACCTCAACGCCCACCAGAGCCTACCTTAGTGTCAGTAGATAATACTTTGGTATTATCTAACAGTATCCAGCGCATTCCTCACAGAGGACAAGACTCTGACACTAGAGCAGTTCCACCACCCACCCAAAGCCAACCTTGGGACCAAAAGAACAACAAAAAACATACAACAGCCGGTGTTCGCCAGTGGTCACCCACCTGACTACTAATCTGCCTCTCATTAGCTTGACTCTGGGAGAGCGGACGGGATCCCGTATACTCTAATGGATATGGTCGTATGTGCTTGTGTTCTGCAGCGAACCAGTCTATGTGGTGGTATCGTTTGCGATGGCTTCACCGGAGATGGGTGAGCCATGGCGAGGCGCAGGCAACTTCGACGACAAACCGGAGCTGAAAATATATTGACTGCATGGACTTGAATTAGACCGATGCCGTGCCGGAGAAACAAGGGGCCGCTTCAGCCCAAAGAGTCTGGCGCTCTACCGAATGAGCTGTCGAAGCTGCATATCCGTTCTCTTGCTGCATATCCGTTCTCTTGGGATATGCAGCTTCGACAGCTCATTCGGTAGCGCCAGACTCTTTGGGCTGAAGCGGCTGACTACGTAAATGAGGCTCAAGGGTATATCAGCCTGATGCCCGCTCAAAGGCGTCCATTGGAGCCCCGGGGCAGCCTCTTCGGCTTCGCTTGGGATGAGTTTGCCCAATAAGAGAGCGGGGGTTTAGCGAGGATATGAGCTGACTGCATGTACCTTATGCCTGATTGTTGGCGTTTAGAAGAGAGGGAGGGGTTATTTTTAACTCTCACGTCCGATGTAAAAGGGCGCGAGAGCCAGCGCCCTACTTCCTTCAACTGGAGTAAAGTCCTCGGACGGAGCATTGATATTTCGGCCTCAAATTCAAGCGAATATGTTGAAACACGAAGACTACACTGTCGGGTGGATATGCGGCATCACTACGGAATATGTCGCTGCGCAATCTTTCCTCGATGAACGGCACGATGGACCAGAAGACGTCTCCACGAACGACAGCAATGACTACACACTTGGAACAATGGGAAAACACAATGTTGTCATTGCTGTGTTGCCTGACGGCGAGTACGGTATAGCCTCTGCAGCAGCTGCCGCGAGAGACATGCTACATACGTTTCCAAACGTCAGGATCAGCTTGTTAGTCGGTATCGGCGGCGGCGCGCCAAGCAAGAAGCATGACATCCGCCTGGGTGACGTTGTTGTTAGCATTCCGAGCAGTAAGGCCACTGGCAGCGTGTTACACTACGGCTTTTCCAAGACGATGCAAAACCAGAACTTCGAGACCATTGGATACTTGAATCTTCCGCCCACAGTTCTGCGGTCAGCGGCAAACGGACTCAAGGCAAGCTATGAGTCCGATGGCCATCAAATACAGGAGGCCATTGACAGCATCCTTCACAAGAAGTCCAAGCTGCGGAAGAAGTACTCGCGGCCAGACCCGAGCAGCGATAGGCTCTATCAGAGCGACGTTGTTCATCCGCTCTCTGATGATGATGATATATCCTGTGCTTCAGTCTGCGGAAGTAATCCAGCAAACTGGGTGAGACGGTCCAAGCGAAGTGAAGAGGATGATGATCCGGCAATTCACTACGGGCTTATTGCGTCGGCTAGCCAACTGGTCAGAGACGCCACTATCCGAGACACACTTGCACGAGAAAAGGACATCTTGTGCTTTGAGACAGAAGCCGCGGGCCTCATGAACCGTTTCCCGTGTCTAGTAATACGCGGCATATGCGACTACTCAGACACACATGCAGATACGGCATGGCAAGGGTATGCGGCAATGACAGCCGCAGCTTATACGAAGGATCTGCTCTCTCGGATCCCCGTTAGTAAGGTTCAAGCTGAGAGGAAGATCGGCGAGATTCTCTCTGGTATGTATAGGCGGGATTATCTCTATTTATCTTGCAGTTTCATTAACTCGCAGGTTATAGGTGTCGAAGAAGGTGTCAACAAACTCCTCCATATACAACATGATCGATATGAGGAGGAAATCCTCAACTGGCTTTCCCCAATCAATTACGCCTCTACACAAATTGATCATATCGCGAGACGGCAACCGGGGACTGGCCAATGGTTCCTGGGTTCCGCGGAATACCAGACTTGGTTGAAGGGTGACAGACTGACGCTGTTTTGCCCTGGTATTCCTGGGGCCGGGAAAACAATGATCACAGCAATTGTTATCGACGACATTTACAACCGGTTCCACAATGATACCACTGTGGGAATTGCTTACTTATACTGCGATTATCGCCGACAATACGAACAGACGATAGAAGAGTTACTGTTAAGCTTAGTGAAGCAATTGGCCCAGAGACAGGCTACGGTACTCAACGAAGTGCCTGAGCTTTGTAGCAAGTATCCGACGGAGCCCAAATCACTGTCCCTTGATCATATCCTGATTCTCCTTCACTCAGTCAGCAAGCTCTTTTCCAGAGTCTTTGTGATTGTTGATGCCTTGGATGAATGCCGAGCTGATGGATGTCGTACGAAGCTTCTCGATGCGATCTTCAATCTTCAAGTTACGGAGCGCACAAACATCTTCTTGACAGCAAGGTTCATCCCCGACATCTTGAACATATTCAAAGAAAGCGCTACACTGGAGATTCGAGCTCAAGACGAAGATGTGCAACAATTTATTACGAACCAAATCACAAAACTGCCATCATTCGTCTTGAGTGATGCAGATTTGCAGAATGAGATCAAGACTATCATAGCAAAGGCCGTAGATGGAATGTGAGTCTTTTTGTCATTCATATTGAAGCCTCACATGATGCTTGAACTAGCGCTGACCAATCCCAGGTTCCTTCTCGCTGCATTGCACATGGACGCCCTATGTCAAGAGCCCACAGTCGGCCATATTGAACTGGCACTGAAAAGTCTGCCCCGAGGCTTAGACGAGATGTACACAAGGGCGATGATTCGAGTCAAAAGCCAAGGAGTAGGTGCCCAAGATCTGGCGATGAAGATACTCGCCTGGGTCATACACGCGAGAAGAGCCCTGTCCTTGGCTGAGCTCCAGCACGCGGTCGCAGTTGAACCTGGAAAGCCAGAGTTGAACTGCAAGTTTATTCCAAGCAGCGACGTGATCAGGACTATCTGTGCAGGTCTGATTACCATCGACAATGAAAGCAACGCTGTTCGGTTGGTCCATCATACAACTCAGGAATACTTTGAAAAAGCCCGAGAGATGTGGTCTCTGAACGATCAGTCTATTATCGCCACGGCCTGCATTGCATACTTATCCCTCAGCACATTTGAGAGTGGATGTTGTCCGACAGACGCCGCGTATGCCAGTCGGCTACAGGAAAACCCCCTCTACATGTACGCTGCACGGCACTGGGGGCATCATATCTGCGAATCTTGGGCAGGTTATGACGGTGCCATGGAATTTCTCCAATGTAACGCCAAGATGGAAGCAGCAAGCCAGGCATTGATGGTCGACTGGCCGTTTACAATGCCTTCATATACGAATAGCCAATCCTTCCCAACAGACATGACGGGGCTACACCTAGCAGCATACTTTGGACTCGAAGGGGCAGTCAAGGCTCTGCTTGCAAGCCATGATCCCGATGCTCATAATAGCTACGAACGGACACCACTGTCGTATGCAGCAGAGAGCGGACATACGGCTGTGGCGCAGCTGCTACTCGACACAAGAAGGGTCGACGTGAACAGCATGGATTGCCTTGGAGAGGCTCCTCTACATAGGGCAACGTATGATGGCCATGAGGCGGTGGTTAAGCTGCTGCTAAGGCAGACAGGTATCATCGCAGACCATGAGGGGAAGTATGGCTGGCCCCATGATAGTCGAACACCGCTATCGATTGCTGCAGAGAAGGGCCATGACAAAATAGTCAAGGTGCTGCTTGAAGCGTACAATGTTCACATTGACTCCATATCAAGATACGAAGGGCGGACACCTCTGTCTTTTGCAGCCGGAGAGGGACACGAGGCGGTGGTGGAGTTGCTGCTTGCGAAGGGCGGTCTTGATCCAGACTCAACGTCAAAAGCTCCCGAGGGGTATGGCGGTCGTACACCGCTGTCGTATGCGGCGGAGAATGGCCATGAAGCGGTGGTCAAGCAGCTTCTTGCGCATCCAGGGGTCGAACCTGATTCCCGGGCCAGCGGCCCCATGGAGCTGGGCCGCACGCCTCTGTCGTTTGCGGCGGAGAATGGGCACGTCGGAGTGGTTAAGCTCCTTGTGCAAGCAGGCGCCGACCCATTGTCTCCAGCCATTTGGCAATGGGGTCATTATCCCACCTCCTATCTTGGCACGCCATTAGCGTTCGCAGCAAACTATGGACACGAAGCTGTGATGAGGCTGCTTCTGACGCCAGAAAACGGCAACCACGGCTGCACAGCAGAACATGTCTATGGCAGTGAGCGGATAGCCCCCTTGTTTGCGGCCGCGACCGTTGACGTTCACGTCAGGCCCGGGCTCCTTGACAGGATAAAAAGCGGACGGTCGGCGCTATCGTATGCTGCAGAGAATGGGAATGAGGCGGTAGTAGCATTGCTGCTCGCAGCGGAGAGGGCTTCAAGGAGTGGCTCTACGGTGAACTGCAAGGCAACAGACGACCCGGAATATACTGGTGTTACGGGGCGGACTGCACTATTGTTTGCGGCCAGCAAAGGGCATGAGGCAGTGGTGAGATTATTGCTGGAGGTAGAGGGACTCGACGTCAACTCACAGGATAGCCGCGGACAGACAGCGATTATGCTTGCGGCCAAGAATGGGCATGAGGCAGTGGTGAGACTGTTACGAGCGGCAGAGGGAATTAACGTTAACTCAGAAGATTGCGACGGACACACAGCGTGTATGCTTGCGGCTGAGAAAGGGCATACGGCAGTGGTGAGAGTATTACTGGAGGTAGACGGCATCAAGGCGAACACCGAGGACTGGGTCGAAGGGGACGAGTCTGACGAAGACTACGTAGTCTTGAGAGCACGGAGTCTCCAGAGGATAAGCCACATGTAGTGGTTACGTGTATATAAGGTAGTTATACTTTTGCTGTGGTTGTCGCCTCTATACCTTATGTACTCTAGGTAGGGCCTTTTGTTTCTAACCAGATATACCATGCTACGATAACGATGAGAAGATGAGGGCGGTGTCCCCAATATAAAATTAGCATGTCACCTCCGCGGCACATCTTGCGATATCTGTCAAGAGGTAGCTTGAATGCTCCCGATCATTTAACTCTCCACTGGCTTCTATCCACTTGATTTTTGTATGTGGGGGTATTTAGATACCGCCAATGCCTGCGGCATTGTGGGCATTTGTACATGTAGCCTCCAATACCGCAACGTATACTGTACGGCGTGCACTGGCATGCATGCCAATACCAACAACCATTGCCGACGATGAGGCGTCACCTCGTGCTTTGTTTGTGATTTGGAAAGTCTTGGCAATTTACATTGACATGGAACATCGCTGTGTATGCCAGGATCGGCTGCCTGGCAGGCAGCAATGTTACATTGGAGTGCTCATCGCTTATATGTCCGTCATATCAGCCAAGCCTCCTCGCGCTTTCGAATTGACACGAACCTTGTTCAACCACATCCATCGTTCATGGAAGACGCAGAGAGAGATAGAGAAATCTTTGGTCCACTTTTGAATATTACAGGCGAATCTCTCCTACAGCTCGCATTGAGGATTGCCGTTGATATCTTGAAGACCCCAAGCTCAGGCGGTAAGCTTGTTGCGCGAATCGCCGGATCATACAACATCGTCCATATTGTCGAGTTGGAGAGCATCAAGCTCATGATCCGCGTTCCTTGTACAGGATGGGGCTCTGGCATGACACCAACCGCGGCACAGGCCCTGGAATCGCAGGTTGCTACGTTACGACTCATTCGAGAGAAAACCAGCGCTCCAGTGCCAGAGGTCTATGCCTTTGATACAATCCCAAACAACGAAATCGGGGCGCCCTATCTGTGCATGAATTTTATACCCGGATACACAGTGTCTGAGGTTTGGTTTGACCACTCAGCTCACTTGCCGCTGGAAGAGTTGCGCCTCAACATCTTGACAAGCCTGGCACAAGCCATGGCGCAGCTCTCCTGTTTGGCCTTTGACAGCATGGGATCTATCATGGAGCCTGAATCTAGTTCGACAGCCATTGGACCCATGTATGACTGGGACGAAAAGGAAGATGGCAAGATTCGGGTTACCGCGTCAGACCCAGTTGACTCTGTCTCTGGCTTTCTCCGGGACAGCTACTCGAGGGAGACGCTCCTCGACACCGTATATGGCAAGGCAAAAGCAAAGATAATGGAAGTTATTATGGGCTTCCTGTCAATCTTCGATTCTCCGCCTGGTTTTGTCCTATGTCTTCCCGATTTTGACTCGCAGAACGTCTTAGTGGATGACCAAGGCGCTGTCACTGGACTGATTGATTGGGACCTCGTCCAGACAATGCCACGATGTATGGGCTATGCCAGATACCCAGGATGGATCACGCGCGATTGGGATCCTCTGATGTACGGCTGGCCGCACATGCCCGACTCAGAGGATTCTCCAGAGGCTTTACACCGATACCGAGCACATTATAACGCAGAGATCGGCAAGGCTCTCAAGTGGCAGGGAGACTGGAAGCTGACGGAAAATTCGCACATTGCAGAGGCTATATGGATCTCCATGTTATACCCCATGAATCGCATGGAGATTTGTCGCAAGTTTGTTCAGGTTGCTCTGGGCGATGGCATTCAAGCATTGGATGTTCTCTATGAAGTTGGGGCCGATGAGTATGGAGAAGAGGATTGGAATCTCTTGAGGGCTAGTTTGGAGCGGTTAATCAGATGGTAGTTGGATCTAAGTCTACCTGCTGTTGGTGATTCGAGGAGGTGTTGGTGACTTGAGACTTCCTTTTCGGTGATTGCACCTCGAATGCTAGTAAATGACTGGGAAACAGTTGCTAATTCAAGTAATTTATGGATAATTCTAAGCTGCTCTGTTGGTGACAAAAGGTCAGATACTTCGTACTTGGCTACCATGATATCCAGGCGCTCGAGCATCATGTATGTACCTCGCTATGTCAATACTTCTCTACCGCAAACTTTGTCTCTGGTGCATAGTATGATGAACGCCGAGGCTCTGCGCAAAGCCCTCCCGCAATCTTCTCGGAGAGAGCCTTCAAGATCTTGCTGTGTATATGCTATGCCGGTGCTTTTCCTCCAGCAATGCTAAACACTTACACAAAGTCCTGGCCTGCTTGTAGTCCATGCAATGCTCTCTCGCGACAATGCAGAGTACCTATCTACCGCTGGTCAATAGGCTAATGTTGTTCATTGGGCATTCTTCGATGTCCAGCATTTGTGCCTAATCTTTATGCCCGATCCCAAGCTTTAAGGACGGCCATCACCATGATACCAACCCGTTCTCGATCAATTGGCAAAAACTGTTAAATTGTGCTCTATTCGCGATGAAATTTCGAAATTGGCTTCTCTTCTCAGACTTGAAACGACGGGTCGTTCTGCCTCTTCTTCTGTCACTCAGGGCGAGGTGACTTCTGAGAACGACGGTGACAACAGAAATGACGAGGAACCACATGGTACAGACGAAGGAGTTGGAAGCTTGGAGCCCAACATCTCAAATGGATCAGATCCAAAAGTCGCTCCACCCATCTCTCATGGCCTTTTTGTTTTGTATCCCTCCCCAGGATTACCTCCTTCGGAAGAGTTCAAAGTCGAGTGAGCAGACATCCTGTCCCTAGACATGTCAGATTGACTTACGCGCCTTCATAGTATCATTGCTGTCCATGGCCTGAATGGCACACTGAGAGGAACCTGGACTGATAAGGCTGCCAACACTTTATGGCTCGAGGATTTCCTTTCCAGTGCCATTCCTGATGCGAGGATAATGACGTTTGGATATGATTCCAAGTTGATGCTCAGTCATTCAAGAGACAGTATTGAAGATTTTGCGACCGAGTTGTTGAACCAGATATGGATGCTGAGGCTGTCACAAAAGGTAAAGCCTCCCAAATCTTTGACATTGATCTGAACTGACACGCAGCCTGATAGGATAAATGTCGACTTCTTGTATTTATTGCTCACAGTCTGGGGGGAATAGTTGTGAAGAAGGTAACTAATACTTCCCAAGAGTTCTTAGACATCGAAGTCATCTGATAAATGATTTAGGCAATCATTCTTGCCCATGGAAACAATCACCACTACGGCCACATCGCTTCGTCGACGATCGGAATAGTCTTTCTGGCCACGCCTCACCAAGGAAGTGATCTTACCAGATGGGCGTCACTACTGACCCTTATATCGAAGAATCGACTAATAAGGTCAGACCTTATTGATACACTGAAACCTCAATCTTCGGTGCTATCCCAAATCTCAAAGTCATTCTTGCCCCGATCGTCAGATCTCGCAATCATGTCTTTTGTCGAGAAGCAGGTTGAACCCCGACTTTTGGTATTGGTGAGTCTTCAGCAACGGCGTTTCCCTATCAGTCGCAAAAATGCTCACTGCCACTTCTTTTTTTACAGGTAGTTCCCGAGGAATCTGCTAAGATGGGTGTTCCAAACGAGATGGTATTCCCGGTGCAGGCACACCATCGGAGCATCTGTCGTTACTCTTCACGGGACGACCCCACGTACGTCTTGGTTGTCGCTTCACTCAAGATGATGATGGAAAAGCAGCTCTCCCAAGGTGCGCATGTTGAACTCCTTTTCAACCAGAAACATATGTGTCTCAACTATCATTGTGAAGTGCCAGCCCCGAATCATGTGTTCACGCGGAGCGTATTTGAAGACAGACGGCAGTCAAATGTAGGCTCAGAACATCAACCCTAAGGATGGAGAATTGATGCTGACATTACGACTTAGAATAGAGAGAGATACTGTGAATATGATGAACGGGTTCACAGTCCCATGACTAACTTCAAGAATGAATCCATCGCAGCGTTGAGCTCTTCTGATAAGGCTTTGCAGGCCTTTTCGGGCAAAGAGAATGCCCAGCTGAAACTTGCGAGTAGTTACGGGGACTCTCATACGCTGAATATTCGGGTCAATGGGCTGAAAGGAAAAATAACCGCAACGGAGAGAGGTTGGATTCCGAGATGTCGAGTCCTTACAATACCTGGTACGATGGAATACGAACATATCATGGATACTTTGCAGAGAGCAGACCCAGGTGAGTTGCCCGAGTTACCCTTCTCAGACGCGGCTTTTGTCAGAGGTATGAAGGAGCTTATCTGAGACTTCCAACTTACCTGACAATATAGATATTGTTATCCCAAACAAACTCAGGTTTTGCGGCCGCCCTTCCGATATATCTTCAATATGGCATGACTGTTTCACGATCTCTGCGCAAGTCACGAAAAACCAACCATGCTACAAAGTAGAAATGGGACGTCAAATTAGCATGAAACAGACCATTGCTTCGTTCTTCAGCAAAGTTTTCCCAGACCCCATTACTGCGAGACTTAAGATACACCAGATTCAGACGGAGAGTGGAACTGGCGAGTCTCATTGCATCTCAGTGGGACAGAACAACATTCCTGCTATCGAAATCTCAATCATGCGCACTTCCCTGGTAGAGGGAGATATCAGATTGCAGCCGCCAAAAGGTCTTAGGACATTCCCGCTGTTCAATACTCAAGCATATAAAGATAAACTACCTATTAAAGCGGCTACACGAGGAGGACTCTTCCTACCGATGCACGATCACGAAGCTATGTTCATCTCCCTCAATTCTCGAGAGAATTATAACTACAGGCACTCGGAGAGTCGCTCTCTAGCTGTCCATCCCTTCATTGGTAGAATGAATATAATCACCGGCCAGCAGCTGTTTTCGGATAATCCTAGGTCGACAGATATGCAAGACTACATCATAGCGCCTAAACAGCATCGCTTAGACGGCATAGCGGTTCGGCGCGGCATGGTCAAGCAGTTTGTTACATCAAATCTAAAACCAAGCACCCTCAGCCACCATACAGCTGCTCTAAATGCTCCTTCTCTAGTCAACAGCCTTCCAGAGGTCAACTCAAGCAAAAAAACCGTCAAATGGCAAATGAGTGGCAAGGACGAATATAGCAGCATGCAGCTACAGGTCATCCCTCAGTTTAAGCTTGAACATATTTTCGCTAGAAACATCAAAGATGTCTGCTCTGTGTCAAGCGACGGCCATCTCGAGTCATATCGGCCTATTCCAGATAATGCGACTCGGTTCAACGTTCTGAAGACGCCCGAGGAACTCGGGCTTTGTGTTGGCGATGTCATATATATCAAAAATTTGAGCCAGAGACATCGACCCCGTGGCAGAGTAGTAAGAGATTTATTTTCCGAAGCGCCGAAACAGTCGGATATACTGGATATGAAAGCCGTATACGATTTATCCGATGAGATAACCCTCTCAATAAGATGTCCTGGGTCGGAGCATGGACCTATTATTCTCTTCAAGGTACAATACAACCCTGAACCGCTCTCATGCTTTGGAACGTCTATTGATACTAAATCTGCGTATACGCCCACCAGATCCTATCATCATGGGGGTCGGTGCCGGAGGAATTATCGCCCAAGAAATCATGGTCGGTAGAACAGACCCCCGGATGTGGGATGTGAGCAACTCTCAGATCCTTTATATCCACATTCTAAAGGCAGAGAAGTTTCAGGACGTCACCGGACTACCACCTCCGGCCTTCTCATCCGGAAATTGCCAACAAGGGGAAACAAGTGACAGCATTTCTCAAAATGAGCATGAAGAGCCATCTGCCCCTGGAGGTGCCAATCTGATACCTCCTGATTCCCGAAAGCTGGCAGGGAAACGAGGGTTCTATGCACGCACTGGCCCATACGAAGGAGGCAGCGCAGAAGCACAGGCTACCAGTAGTTTACCTTTGCACACACTAGAGGTCAATCAGACAGTGCCATGGTTCAAGGGAAGAGGTGGCTAGTCTCGAGGGAAAATGAAAAGATACAGGAGGAAAGCATGTCGTATCTGCCTGAAAAGGCACTTGAGGCAAGTCTGATTAGGAGAGAAGTACGGCCTAGTTCCCTTTTACGTCCCCGTCAGTAGCAGGACTGGGCTATAGTTGACTAGTAAACGGAAGTCAATGTAACACTCATATAAACTGGATTTCACGAAAGACCTCTGGGTCTTGCCTCTTTCTTCGGGAATGCTTGGTTTTCCATCAATATTCTCAGGCATATACAATCCCCTGCTTTAAGATGCTTGGTGGTCATAAAAGATCATGTAAGTCTACCTCGTCCTGTATGCTGCCATCTTCAAGTCGGAAACAGCTTGTTCGATAACCAGAAGATCATTATGCTAATCAAGGAACTTACGTTACGAAAACATCGCCACACATGTCTTTTGGCCATATTATACTCGGTAGGCGAATCACAAACCTTTTGAAGCCACCCACGGCAATGTCTCAGCTTTCAGCCAGCCAGCATCTGAAACCTGCATACACTGACAGACGTGGCGGAACCGGCTGGAGGTTCAGGCAGCTTCTATTGGGTAGGCGAGCGGCCAAAAGTGCGATCATCTCCGTCATTAAACAGCAGGGTGCTGCTGTCGAGTCTCCTCCTGTGTCAAATAATAGAGGTTAATGGGTTGGCAGACACTGGACTCGATGGCATTGGCTACTGGAGGGATTCGATACTACTGAGCTGAGAAGCATATGTGCAAATGATATGCAAGCCACGACGGCCCCGACTCGAATATTCTCAGTTCAACCGTCATTCGGCCTCATCCCTACATATATTGTGTTGTCGATCTTTCATCTCTTAGACACTCAGCTGAATGCGAGGACTTTTGACCAGCCTGAGGTATGTCAGAGTGGTGTATTTAATCTGTCCTCAACCTCTTTCTGTAATCTTGTTCTTCGTCGGACCATAGCAACTCCTCGTATCGCTCTGCTGTCCTGTCTATCTACTTCTGCTTTTTAAGCCAGGTGCGTTTAGACCTTTCCATAGACCGTTGCTCTAATGGCCGTTATCGAGTAACAGTGACCATAGCATACTGATCAACACAGATCCCAACATGTCTGTCAACTTCACCATCACCAACAACTCCAAGGAGACTACCCCTGGCGTTCAGCCGACTATCAAAATTGTCGGCACTGTCCAACATGACCTTACTCCGGTCTTGGTAGTTCTTGAGACCGGCCAGTCTTACACTTCTCCAGGCGGTGTGCAGGGCACTTGGGACGTCTCTAGCATCGAGACAGGAGAGCCTGTTCTTCTCTTCAACGTTGTCAACTCTCCTGTTGGCAGCTTCAGGGTGGATTACAACTCAGACTTTGTCCCGGGAATCTATGACGTCCCGCTCTTGTTCAATGTTCCTGTAAGAGCACTGTCTGCATCACTCGTGAATAATCTCTGACATTTCATCTACAGCGTGGGGACTAGTCCAAGTCCGGGATATGATCAGATGGAAAGCTAAAATGTCGGATTGATGGCGGGTATTGGATTGTCGGCGAAGGGGATATTGATCTAGTAACTTCTATTGATCAAAGAAGCATTCTTTAAGAATCCCTGGTCATGTATTGCCTGCTTTATTTGTAGGTTTAATACGCTGCACTGCTATTATAACTTCCAGACATCCATGATGTTCTATTCTAGCTAGACAAAGGCAAAAAGTCAGATGTCGTGCTTGCCGTAGAACAATCTTGGAAGTTGACAACTGCAGCAGTGGTTACCTCCTGGTATAACTAGAGAGAGCGAGTGCGTAACTGCCCGTCGAGACTGTTGGCGTAGTAACAATAACCGCTTGTGATTGAAGAGAACAAGACGCGACTTGGCTACTTTCTTACCATTCACGTAATATGCATCGCCAACTGGCGTGCTTCCGTCGCCATGTCCAATCCAGCGGACTTTGAGCTCGTCAAAGGCATTTCTATCACAGACGAGCTGAAGCTGGTCCACGCCTCGTTCAACATCATGTGTAACAGCCAGTACTTGCCACCTCTGCCCCCATCGCTCCACCTGTTTCAATCAAGGCGTAAGGCAGATTGTTCCGTTGCTAATCACAAACAACACACTCTAACCAAAACTCTCAGAGATACAGCTTCTTGCGAGCACATTGCTCAACGCGCTTTTTCTGGCTATGCCTTCAACCAGCCCGGCGAGGGCTTGTCTGAGTGTTCTTGCGACTTTGATTATCTCCAACTCCGACGCCGTCGACCGCATGAGGCCCCTCGTCGAGGCAGCGATTCCATATAGGCCGGATACAACACTCGTCTGGAACCTCGTATTTCAACAGGTCACCGAGATCTCGAAGCCTACTCCTTCCCAACCAGTTGACACTTTGCTTGAGGCGCCAGAACGCGCCCCGACTGTGCCTCACGGCCCACCTAATACAAAACATGGCGAATCGGAGCAAGACACCCAGCGGCTGCGAGACCATTTTCAGAACGAGACCTTCAAAGAGATCCAGGGATGCACATATTCGGATGTAGAAGGGTTCTTTGAGAGATTCTTTGAGGGAAAAGACTGGACGGATCGTGCCCTGGATCTCTACGAAAAGCTGAAGGTCCTACATATCAACAACGTGTGGGTTCGCCTCGGCGTATCGCCTGGCGTAGCTCGGATGAAGAGATGGTTGGACTCAATGCAAGGCCATCTTCACGAAGAGGAACACAGTCGATACTGGGAGGTAACTCTCCCGAACGAGCTTACTGAAGGCGTCGAAAGAAACCGGTTCGATCTGTGCGTCAAACGAAAGTGTGGAGAGCCGTCGGTTGCGACGATTGAGTGGAAAGATCTCACGGTGATTGGCCAACTTACTGCTGAGGGAGCTTTCAAGAAGCGGTTGGTGCAGCTCGCCTGCTATGCCAAACATCTATTTGACTTTCAACCGACGCGCCGCTACCTTCACGCATTCACCATCTGTGGGAGTACGATGGAGACGTGGGTCTTTGACCGCTCGGGATGCTATGGCCCAGGCGCATTCGATATCCACCAACACCCGGAACGATTCATTCGGGTGATGGCAGGGTACATCATGATGAGTGCCGAAGATCTGGGCCTCGACACGTTTATACAGCAAGATGGAGATACCCGCTTCATAAACATCGAGGGGCATGGAGGTGAAGAGAAGAGGCTGGACTTATGTCCGACGCCCCTCAACCGTCGGCTAGCCATTGTATCCCGCGCGACATCGTGCGTTCTTGCGAAGCATGCAGACTCGGATGACTATGACCATGTCGTCAAGTTTTCTTGGCCCTTGAGTGAACAGAAAGAAGTCCATCTTCTCCAAAAAGCTGGGCAAAGGGGTGTCGAAGGCATAATCAGACTGGTAGCTCACTACGAAATCACGGACATCGACGACATGCGCAGAGGCATGACGTTCGGGAAACGTTACACATTTGACGATACTGCCAGCGGCATGCCTTTCTTCTCACAAGCACCTCCACCAAAACGGTGTCGGCGTAGCAAGCGCAATAGAACATCAGATGCTCCAGCTAGTCAGCCGCAGAAGCTCGAGCATAAGTTATAGGATAACCGCATTTTCCGCTGCCTCGTCATCTCTCCCCCAGGCCGACCACTCCAGCGATACCAGTCGCCTTTTGAGATGTTGACGGCGATTCGGGATGCGATCAAGGCGCATCAATCGCTATACTGCAAGGGAAAGATGCTCCACCGCGATATATCGGAAAACAACATCATCATAACCGACGCAAAGAAGACTGGCTTCTCGGGCATGTTGATTGACTTTGATCTTGTCGAGGAGCTTGACAAGGGGCCGGTCAACCCCGAAGTTCGTACGGGTACCATACAGTTTATGGCCATTCGGGTGCTTCGTAGTATCGAGCACACTTACCGGCAGGATCTGGAGTCGTTCTTCTACGTTTTACTCTGGCAGTGCATCGTGCGCGGGTGGGAGTTTGTGGGCAGAAGGAACCCTGCTGTCGTCAGTGAGCTTCATGGTTGGCGCGCCGCCAAGTCTTTTGGGCATATGGCGAGGAACAAGCAATCCAACATGGACAAGGAGTGTTTTGACGATGTCTTGGGAGAATTTCCGGCCGAGTTTGAGGGTCTCAAGCCGCTCTGTCGGACTCTGCGATCGATCTTGTTCCCGATCAAGAATGGTGCCCTGTTTACTGGGACGCCGTCGGATCCGAATACTTTGTACGGATCAATCCTCGAGGCTTTTGATGAGGTTATTGCGAATGGGCAAAAGGGGAGGGAGAAGGAGAGAGGTAAACGACAACGAAGGACATAAGGGGGCTGCACTGTCAAGTGTATTGGATTGGAGTTGTTTGCTGTTAGTCTTACCCAATTTCGGATTGCGAGTATGTGCTTCAGTCAAATTATGCGATGGAACATGGTATAATTAGCAATCAATTGATAGCTCGCTCTTTGGTGAATGGACACCTTCGAACTGGGCCTTCATATGCAGTAATATTGCTCAGAGAGGCCACTCTTGACCTTTGAGTGTATCTGCTCTGCAGGCACACGGAGCCTGGCACATAATCAAGCGGCACAGTTGGAGAGCAAATAGAAGATATTAGTTCAAGAGACGTTGAAGCAGTCAAGCTTCCTCTTCTATAGGTTCGCGATATGTTGGGACGATTGCAACTCGAAGGTGGTCGGAAGCGGGACTTGGAGAACAGTTTATATAGTCCAATTATTCGATCTTTTTCAACGAGCCGCCTGAGCTCAATCGGTGTTTCTGATTGGTCGATGACTACCAAGTCACGTGACCAAAAACTGCCCGGTTAGCTCAATCGGTAGAGCGTGAGACTCTTATTCGAGAACACGTTCTGATGCAATCTCAAGGTTGCGGGTTCGACCCCCGCATCGGGCTTTTCCTATACATTAAACACCTGGTTCGAGATATGACGGCGGTTATTTTTTGCTCTTTTCATCTTTTGGTGCGGTAACCCTTTCTCTTGTATTTTCTTTCTTCTTTTCCTTTTTCTCTTTTTTGCCCTTTTTACTGCTATCATTGCTCCCGTATGGAGGGTTTCTGGGTCAGAGGCAATGCTGGAACTTGTATAGCGTGGGGTAGGTGAAGACAACCCCGGAAGATGAGAGCTGTCATCGAGATGCACTGGCACTATTCTTGTCGGTATATCCTTGTCATCATCAAGGATCGAGTGTGTAGCTGTTGAGAAACAGTGGTTAGTATCGAGGCAACTACACGAATTACATCTCTCTCCCTACCATGTCCTCAACTAGCATCATAAACCGCCTGCCGGGTTCCCGGTTTCCCGGTGCTACTATTTGACAATAATCCCGTCAACTCACCGAGACTGGGGGAGAAGCCCCGAATAGTCTCGGGCTAAACGCACGTCGCGGGCCGAATGTCCCTTGTCCACTTCGTACAATCCTGCCATAAGTTCCTTGTTCTACGATCGTGTCGACGCGCCCCGCGTGAAGGCTGAGAATTGAGGGATGCATCTCAGGGCGGTGACGGATTCGCGGGGATGGCAGGGCAGGCAGTTATATAGTGTCGTGTGTGCGTGAGACTATGACTGGGTCGTGTTTCTCTCCAGGAGTCCTCATATGAGACTCCAGTACTAAGGTAGAGCGTCGATATTGGACATTATGAGACTTTCGGAATCGTCCACGGCCACTGCGCTGGCAGCGGCTGCTGCTGTCTCTGGAGCTTCACTCGACACATGTGTAAGGCCAACCTCTCTTCATCTCGCTCGCATCACCATCTGGTAACACAACGCTGACCCGCCGCAGTGCGCTCGTCTCGCCTCCGCGCTCGGCGACGTCGTCACCACCACGCCGTTCACAGCGAGTGACTACTTCTCATTACAGGAGTCGACCCTCGTGCCGGCCTGCATCGTCCGGCCGCGTTCCGCACAGGATGTCAGCGCGGCGGTGGCGATCCTCTCCACGTCGCGGACGCCGGGGTGCCAGTTCGCCGTCAAGGGCGGCGGGCACACGCCGGCCGGGGGCTCGGCCAACATCCAGGGCGGCGTGACCATTGACATGACGAGCCTGAACGCGACGGTGCTGAGCGGCGACGGGACCTCGGTCGGCGTCGGGGCGGGCGCCGTCTGGAACGATGTGTACGGCTACCTGGGCGAGTTCGGTCTTGCTGCCGCTGGTGGGAGGAACGGTCTTGTGGGTGTTGGTGGGCTGCTCCTCGGCGGTGGCATCTCGCATTTCTCGCCGCGGGTTGGGTGGGCGTGTGATGGTGTTGTTGAGCACGAGGTATGTAAGACTTCAGCTGCTGCTCCCTCTCCTTTGCTGTGCTTTATCCTCTCATCTTCAGATTTCTGACTTCTCATTCAGGTCGTCCTCGGAAATGGCACACTCGTCAACGTCTCCGCGACCAGCCATCCCGACTTGTACCGTGCGCTCAAGGGCGGCGGAAACAACTTTGGCGTCGTGACGCGCTATGAGCTGAAGACGTTTCCGCAAGGCAACATGTCGGTGAGCACCCTCACGTACGACCTATCCGAGATTGGTGCCGTGTTTGACGCCTTCACCGGCGTCGCCGCCGACCCGAACTTTGATCCCTATGTGTCCCTCCAGACGGGTCTTTTGTATGCCTCGGCGGCGAAGACGTGGTCGCTGAGCAGTTCGGCTGGATATACGAAGCCCGTGCTTCATCCGGAGGTGTACAGCGAGCTTGAAGCCGTGCCGAGCCTCTCTAATTCCTCTGAGATTATTGCTGTGGCTCCGCTTGCTGCGGAGAATCCCACTCCGCCACTGTGAGTTCGCCATACCCACTCAACTTACATGCCTCCGAGGACTCTCTACGGGAGAGAATGGGTGAGGCTAATGCGGATTTTGGCGGATAGGAACTGGCTCTTCGCCACGTTAACGTTCGGTCCCTCGAGCGAGGCTATGCTGGACATCTTCAACGCCCTGAATGGATCCTTGTACGACTTCAATCCCGTCGGCGGTGTCACATGGAACTTTGCCTTTGAGCCCCTTCCTTCTGTGATGCTTTCACATGCCGACGCCACGGGTGGGAACGTCCTTGGGCTAAAACCTGAGGACGGCAACAGCGTCGGTAAGTTACTCTGGTTCCTAGGTCTTCTCGTGCGATGTACTTGTGCATGCACGAGGTACATTTGTCCATAGGTTCTGACTCTGACATGCAATAGTCCTCCTCTTCTCTGCCCTCTGGCCGAACTCGAGCTCCAACGATGCCATTTATCAGAAAGGCAGAGACACATTTACGGCTGTCAAATGGGCCGCTGAGCGAAAGGGTGTGCTGCGGAAGTTTGAGTATCTCAACTATGCTGGCCCGCACCAGTCACCGCTGGCTTCGTATGGGGCGGACAACCTCAACTTCCTGCGCCGGGTTAGCAAGAAGTATGACCCGACTGGAGTGTTCCAGAGCAAGGTGCCTGGTGGCTTCAAGTTGTGGTGAGAGTATACATGAGGAAACGGTCGCGCGGGGTGCTCATCCATCGAGGTATGCACTGTTGATGATACACGCTTGTAATTGGGCAGGTTCATTTATTTCAGATGGTGTACCATCTTCTACCTATCTATCGTGAATACTACAATACATTCTCCTCCAGCAGCTTCCTTGCTGGACATTTGACCCCCCGCTTCCTTCGGCCAACCATGCATTGCTCCAGTCTTCATAGACTGCGCTCGAGTGGCAAACCTTCCCGCAGAAAACACAACAATTCCAACATTTCCCGTTCCTCATAGTACATGTATACTCCTGGTCTCCCGTCAAGGCTCCCTTGGCCATTATGCCGGCTGGTCCATACCAGCCTCTGTTCCTCATCGTACACCCTTGTATCCCAGCTGTTTTCGTTAGTTAGACATTAAAGATTCGTAAAATTGCAGCGTCCAGGCTGTTCAAAGGCGAAAAAGACGCATTTCGTATCATAAGAGCATTGAGGTTGTGGATGCAATGGCCATAGCAATTGCAAGAGAGCCCCCAGCAAGCCCGAGTTTCGCTGCTCTGCTGGCGGGGACAAAGTCGAATGGACTTCCACCACCGCTGCCTGGCTGCGAATTGGGCGGGCGTGTTGGCTTTGGCTTCGTTGTTGATGATGAAGATGATGAAGAGGAGGCTTGGCTATTATTCGAAGGCTGAGGGGTCTCGCTGCTGGGGGCGTCGGTTGTAGAGGCGATGCTTGAGCTGGGTGCGGCCTCTGAGGTGGTGCTGGCCTGGGTTTCGGTCGAGGTGGATGATGCTGCACTTGTCGTGGTACTCGTACTTGTTTCGGGAAGGGGAGACGATGATGTGGATTGAGTGGACACCGTTGATGTCGACAACGTTGAGAATATCGGGCGCGGTGCCATGTTGGTAGTGGTAACCGGACTCGGTGGTGGTGCCGGTGCTGGGTTTGGCGGCGTTTGCTTCGGCGGAGTCGCTGGTGTTGTTGGAGTTGGAGTTGGAGTTGGAGCCTTTCCCGCGTCGCAGAGAACGTCTAGGATGTGCCCTTCCAAGATCTCCTTGAGCAGAGAATTGGCGGGAGCGTTGACGCCGGAGCACAGCCCTCGTACGGTGAATTGTGATGCTTGGAGCCCGGACCTACAGGACTGGGAGCATGAGCCGCCTCCGATGAAGTCGGCGGGAGTGCATCGCTGAATGGGCATATTGTAGGCGTAGAGGCATTGGACAGGCACTGAGGTGGTGAGGACCTGGAAGCTGGATAGGGACAGATGAGCTCCCGCGGCCGCGCTGGCTGTGAGGGCGAAGTGGGCGAGACTGGCCATCGGGGTGATGCCGTCCTGCCGTGCTGGTGATTGGAGTATCTGTATCTGATATGTATCGCTTCAGTCTCTCGTCTCTGTGCAGGGCCAAGTATGAAGGAGATGGAATCGATAAAGAACGATGGCTAAGCCGACAGGCCGTAGTATCTGGGGAAGACGACGAGATAAATTGTCCGCATTCCAGTATGACGCTTTTTGCTGCCACGGGAACGACCGGATTGCTGTGACAGATGGATGCGAAACAGGGCGTGTCTCAGACGCCTCCCACTATGACGGCGCGCAAGAGCGATTGGCGGCTCCTGAGGGCCAGCGGTCGGATGAGCTTCCCGCATGCGTCAGCAGCGATGTTTCTCGAGGGCGGTTTTGACATGTTTCAATCAGGGGCTGGAGAAGTTGGGGAGGCGCGTGGCAGAGGAGATGGACGACTGGGGGAAGGGAGGATGATTGTCTGTGGTGATGCTTGGGGAGCGTGGGTTTACTGGGTGGAGGGAGATAAGGGAACATGTAAGTTGAAACATCGGGGAGAGTCTGCAATTGATATTGTCACTATAGACACGATCGATCCTATTCATTTGACTGATGAAGTAGGTACTACATGAAAACTCAGCTGTACTGCTTTTTTGCATGTTTCTGCTCTCTTTGGTGCTGCCTTGGAGATGAAAGCCATCTGGTGCGTGTAAGACAGAAGGATCTCTGGTACAACTGCTAGAAGTAAGTAAGCAGCAAAAATAGCACCTCACGTGGGACAGACCGGCGGATTGCTGCAAGTGCCCTTTCGTTTCGTACCTACCCGAGGTTGTATCATTCTGAACGTGGCACTGCTCCCTTATCAAGACGAACCTCTCCAACACTCTCCTCTGCTCATCCCAATCCGGATCAACGATCAATGCGAAACAGCATCTCGACGCGCGAGGCTCCATGAAACAAGCTACAGCCCTTCCCCTGCCCGCCTTGCCCAAGCGAGCATAGGCCAGGCACCCCCACAAGCCTATTCACACGATGCCTCCCTCCCTTACCACCAGCTGAGCTCGCCCTCAGGCCACGCGCCCGCTACAGCGCCTGTTGTGCCAATGAGAGCCCTGCCCGGCCGTGCAGAAACCGGCACTGGGGTTATGCTGCATCTCGCAGGAACACACCAAGGATGCGAATCCCGGGCGCGGCACGGCAGAGGAGGGACACAAGGCAGCAAGCCTTTAAACGAAGAGAAGATGGGGAAAATGAGTCTGCACGTTGGTGCCAATCACTGTCATGCCACCGGACAAAGACAAATGTGTCCCTCCTTCTTTTCTATCCCTCTCCACCCTCCATGAAACTTCATCCACGCCTCTTCGGCACCGACCATCATGTCCCACTCCGGCGGCCGGCTCACAGACTCGGGGGAGCTGCCGCACCTGGGCGCGTATCACCAAATCGTGTCCACGAGGAGGAAGCCCGTCCCCGTCCCGGCGCGAGCGGGGCCATATCACCAAGGTGCGTCTGCGTCTCCTTCTGCAGAACGACGCTTGGACAAGGCAGAGAGGACTTGCTGACCAGCTTCAGCCGCGCAAAACGATGATCTAGCAGGAATTGATGTCGAAGAGGAAGAGTATCCATCAGTACCAAGGCTCTACGAGTCTCACGAAGGCGGGGTTGCAGACAGCGCAGATTCTGGCCACCGCTCAAAGACACCTCCCAAATGGCCGCGAAACTCCCATCCAGCTCTATGGGCGCCGATATGGCTCAGTCGAGTAGCTCTCGTAGCCTTTGCCAGCACGTTTCTGCTGATGCTGCTGGCCACCGCCCTGCTTTACCACTTTTCCGAGGAGAACAGCGGACTTAGCGTTCAGGAGGAGGCAAACCACTACGCCTGGAAATATGGCCCTACCGCAGGTAAGACACAGATTCCTGGACAAAGTGTTTCTTTCCAGCTGCTGATTCGATGCTCTTCTAGTTCTTGTCGTTGTTGGGGCCCTCTGGCGGCAGGTAGACTTTGCAAACAAGATCCTGATGCCCTGGGAAGAGCTGAGAACCGGGCCTTCGTCGGCAGACAAGACCTTGCTCCTCGACTACATCTCTCCCTTGCTGCCCGTTGGCCTCTGGATGGCCATCAGAAACAGGCACTGGGCGGTGGTGATGTCTATATTCGGCCAATTACTGATACTGGGCACCGTTTGTCTCTCTTAGAGCCCCTTGCTTACCGCTCCCGTGGCTGCGTGCTAATACGTGGTGCTAGACGGTCTTCTCAACCGGTTTGCTCATCCTAGAGCCAACTCAGATGGCGAAGAGCAACCAAAAGTTCCAGCTCTCGTCAAAGTTCCAGCTGAATCAATCTGTCGATCCCACATTTGCCTGGGCAGTCGGTCCTGGTCCCGCGCAGACTTACTATGGAATAAACTTCTATGGACTGCGGTATCCTCCCGGCACGGCAGAGGACTTCATCGTACCTGACTTCAAAGTCCCCTCAATGGCGGCCAGCAATATTGAATACTCGATGAGTACCGACGGCGCCAAAGTCGGCTATGACTGCGAACTGCTCCCCATCACCAACGGCACGAAAGCTTACATGCCCTGGCGAAGCATCCTCGCGTCTTACATTGTTGCCAACGTCACCACCAAGGACTGCGACATCAAAGGAGTCACTCTAGCTGCTGGACCTGACCATTACTTTTATCATGATAAGAACGCGACGCAGAACTACCAGGCTCAGTTCGTCGTCTACCCCTGCAACTTCGACTTCGATTTCAGCAGACAGTACATACAGCAAGGCAATCTTTCGATGGATATGAAGGTATACAACACTAGCCGAGATCTACGACTTTTCATGTCCGTGGTTGATCTTCGTATTTCACCCTGGAATGCTTCCTCCAGCGGTCCCCGGTACATGTACCTCCATAATGTCACAGCTGCTCTGTGCAAGCCATCCTACGAGCTCGGCCGCTTCGAGGTGGGTGTCCCAAATGCCGACAACGGCTCTGCTCGTGCTCTCTTCTCAGCATCAGCAAAGCAAAGTGCTCTCAAACAGTTTCCCCACGGGTCCCTGACCATGGCCGTCGATACCACAGTCGGCAACTGGATTCTGGGCAACGGAGGAGTCGACTATGTCCTGACAGCAACCGTGCCGACATTTTTCCAACTTATGTCGAAGAAGGCTGGCGTAGAATCCATCAGGAGCTTCATGGATCCAGAGCTTCTCATAAAGACTGGAACTGATGTATTCAAGGGAATCGCAGCTCAAGTGTTGCACTCAATCATCGTCCAGCCGGCCAATCGAACGACCATGGGAAGCATTAGGTATGAGGAGCAGAGGCTGCGTGTCAAGGCTCTTTCCACCGGCTTCATGTGCAGCTTCCTTGGTCTTCTGGTCCTGATTTCTGTGGCAATGATATTCACTAGGCCTGGCTTTGCGGCTCCAGATCGACCAGGAGCAGCGCTCTCGATGGCTACTCTGCTAGCCTCTAGCCCCCCTCTCAACGAAATCCTGTCATATATGGGGTCTCTGAGCAACGAAAAGCTACAACAGAACCTCGGTGCATACTATTTCAGAACAGCTAACGCTTCCGATCCCGGTACGGGCGTCTCGATCGAGCCAGTCCAACGAAACGAAGCTCAGACCGTGAGCCATCCCACCGGACAAGCACAAAGCCAAGTGCCGTCATGGAAGCCAATGGCAAGCACCACTTGGTTTCTTGTTCTTGCAATATGTCTGCCACTCGCCATGATTGCGTCTCTAGAAGTTGTTCAGCATTTCTCAGACGTAGGGGAAGGTTTTGTGAGCATTAACCACTCGAGCTCTATTGTGCTCGCGACGTATATCCCGTCAGCGGTTGCTCTTGGAGTGGCTAGTCTCTATGCTGCAATGCAGATGATGGCCGCAACCTTTGCGCCGTTTGCGCCTCTGAAGCGTGGGAAAGCCGGTGCGGAGACGACAATCTCGCTCAGCCTTGTTGGCCAGCTGTTTCCTCGAGCCTTCTATCTATCTCTAAGATCGAAGAACTTCGCAGTGGCCTTTGCCCTATTCGGCACCTTTCTCGGGAGTTTCCTGTCCATCATAGTGTCAGGTCTCTACAGCAGCATCAGCGTCCCCATCGTCAAGAACATGACGCTCTACCAAAGCGACCGATTCAACTTTGACGATGCGAATATCTCCCTGGACGATAACGAGGCGGCCGCCATTGACAACTTGATTGAGTACTTGGGACTGAATAGCACAAGATGGATATCGGACGATCTCGTTTTCAACACATTCAACCAGGACGCCGTCATCTCAACCAACTCAAGTGAGAACGTGCCGCTGCAGGTCAACATACCTGCGGTGCGGGCGTCGCTGAACTGCACCTCAATACCCAACGAAGGTCGGCAAGTGACAATCTTCAATCAGGAAGCCTCTTCGGCAATTGAGTTTGTCCTGCCAGGACAAAGCGAGATCGTGACTCCTCAACCAGGCTATGTTTGGGTTGGCGTGAACACGACAATGAGACCTGCTGACTGGTGCGAGGCTGTTCCCCAGGGCATGCAGAGGGAGGAACCGTGGATGCAGTACTTTCTTCTTCCCAACGACACCAGCATGGCGTATGTCGGCAAAGGCTCGATTATGACATGGAGTGGCGGCATTGTAGGTGGCGATGGGGCGCTGAGCACCAATCCCTCCGAGGGAATCTTGGGCGACGCAATCACGGAGACGGACAATGGGTGTCCGACGTTCACCGTCACGTTGGGCCGCATGAGGTTGAAGAAGTCGGGCAAAGGCTCCAAGGCCAAGATTTCGGGATTCGAGCAAGACCTCGCCACCATTGTGTGTTATCAGAACATTGAGCAGGTCATGGCCAATGTCACATGGCAGCTCCCTCAATTCAGTCTCGATCCCGCCCAGCCCCCAGAGACAGACGAGCGCACAGCGAAATTCTTAAGGTCGAAACGCGGCAGCGAGAGATTTCCATTTCTGCCAAACGCCTGGCTGAATGGCTTGACCAATCCGCTGTTTAACCAGACGGTTGCTGGCCCGAACAACTCTGACCCGGCGCATAATCACATAGACAACTTCATCGAAGCTCTAGTCTTCTCCAAAGGGGGCAGGCCGGTGACTGAGCTTGCCGGCGCCAAGAATGTCGCGAACCTCAAGAATGCTACCCAGCAGCTGTACGGGGTGTACATGGCCCAGGCCATATCCCTCAACATGCGCGACAACAGCACGGATGGCGACGGCGCCTCTCTGCCTACATACGAAGGCGTTGTGACCACGTCTGGCCATCAGCGGCTGCAGCAGAATCGCGGGCCCAAGATCGCGCTCCAGGTTGTTCTAGCCGTCATGGTCGCGTGTGGCATTGCCACGAGGTTGCTTCTCCCGGTGCGAGATGTTCTGCCTCATGACCCTTGCTCGATTGCCGGGACAGCCACTTTGATGGCAGGCGGAGAATTGGTGGCTCGACTGGCCTCGTCCATGGCTGAGTGGGATGGGCAGACGAGTGCGGAAGTCCTGCTTGCGAATGGGCTGTTTAGCTTGAAGTGGTGGCGAGATGAGAAGGGCATGGAGCGATATGGCATTGATTTGGAGCCATCATGATGGCAGCTGTAATCTAAATGTATAATGATGTAGCAATATGAAGGCATTGTCTGTTTTGAGCACAGGGGTAAAGGATGGGGAGAATGGGGTCATGGGCAGGTGAGCATGTATAAAGCCTGATGACTTGGCGAGTATGAGATGCAGATGGAGGAATTATGCTTCTTTTAGCTCATGCGGCATCTTGAGGCGAATTAGGCGCGATGTCAGCAACCGATTGGTCGCTGCGTGGTGTTTCATTTCGCTGACGGGCGCTTAAACTCGAGGCATGCAGACAAATCAACCGCTGAGAGGGAATAGGCGCGATGAGACAGGGGCAAACGAAGGTCTCTTTAAATAGATGAGCTGCTGGCTGACAATTGTTCAACATCGTCTTTACTTTGTTTAGCGTTTCGTTCTTTGCTGTTTCTTTGTTGAAGTGTTTGCTGTGTTCTGAGCCCTCAGATGTGCTTATTGTAACTTATCCGGCTCTTCTGTCTCCGAGCGCTTACACGACACATCACATACAATTATTGTCTACATCAATATCATCATGAGGCTTATTCTTCTCCTATGCACGCTCGTTTCTTTCATCGAATTCTCCACATCAACCACCATCGTCACCATCACCGCCGCCCCAGCAATCCCCTCCAACGAACCCTCCTACGCCAACCCATCACAATTCACCTCCGCCATCCTCAACTCAACAAACACCTACCGCAAGGACTACAACGCCTCCTCCGTCCACTGGAACACGACGCTCGAAAAGTTTGCGTCCGAATACCTCCAAAACGACACTTCCTGCAAGTTCGCCCACTCAGGCGGTCCCTACGGCGAAAACATTGCGATAGGATACCCGAATGCGACGGCCGCGGTGGAGGCGTGGGGGAATGAAGATAGGGAGTATGACTTTGCGAAGCCGGGGTTCACGGAGGAGACGGGGCACTTTTCGCAGCTTGTGTGGAGGGATACGAGGGCTGTTGGGTGTGGGAGGAAGCTTTGTGGGGAGAGGGGGTGGTTTGTTGTTTGTGAGTATTGGCCGAGGGGGAATGTTGGGGGGGAGTATGGGGTTGAGGTTGGGAGGAGGGTTGATGGTGGTGGAGGGGAGGGAGAGGGAGGATTGAGGGGGGGTGTTGTTGCGGGGGTTGCGGTGGTGGTTAGTTTTGTGCAGTGCGGGTTGGTGGTTCTGGGGGTTTGGGGGTTTGGTGGGAAGGGGAGGGGGGAGAAGTGAGGTGTTTGTGAGATGGATGTTTGGGGTGTTTGGGTTTTGTGTGTTGGAGTTTATTGGGGTGGTTATGGAGTTGTGTCTTTGGGTCCGAGGTAGAACACTCAGTGCATAATATGATGTATGGAACTTTTTTGGAGAAATCTATGATTTTAAGGCTACGAATGGAATCATCTAGGACTTGAGTGAAGACACAAATATCTTCTTGGACCACCCTGGAGATGATGCCACATGGTGTTGACGCCCGCTGGTTTCGCTTCCAGAGGGCTAAGATCATCGCTTCTAGAGGGCTAAGATCATAAGACAAGTTGAGTCGCCGCTATCCAATCAAGATCCTCTGTGGCGCAATTGGCTAGCGCGTCTGACTGTTAATCAGGAGGTTGGAAGTTCGAGCCTTCCCGGAGGAGACGGGTTTAGTTTTTGTCCTTTTTGATACCTGTGAGACGTTTCTTTTTTTATCTTTTCTTTATTTTTTTCCTCTCTGTTTGATTGCAGCTTTGAGGTTTGAGGTTGGGGAAGAATTGAGAGTTTTGTTCTTGAGATATGTAGTGGCCTTGGGATAAAGTAAGGGAGTGAGGATTTTTGGATACCTTTCTAGTCGAACGGCCAGATTTAGCTGATTGAAGCTGCTGGTAGCTCACTTCGGCGAGATATGTGCCCGTATATATTAGAACATATTATGGCAATTACTGATAGAAGAAAGGGGGGGAAATGCGATAAAACTGTGAAAATAATCAGCATAATTCGTGGCTGAGGAGTTGGTTTATTCAGAGACTAATTCCCAACGTAGTAGTGCTCACCGGACAGCACTCATATCTAACTGCCGAGTTGCGTCGTGCTGAGAGGCTTGCTGTAAGTCAATGCCGCTCGGAAAGATGCCCAACATCAGTTAATCGGACGCATTGATATTCTAGGAATTACGTCAAACATTACTCCTTAATGTATGGACTGCTTAGCCAAGAACAATCCCATAGTTTGTATGAACTAGTTTCATGAAGCATTCGTATCTTGTCGTGGTGCTCCCATCAACAAACAGTACATGAACGAGGCTTCCAGACTCTTGGAGCGACTTGTGTGAACTTTTTGCTTACTGAAAACTTGACCAAATATACCTATTGACACACCATCTGTCTACTAGCATATCTCGCAACCTCAGTATGTATGATCGATGGCCTTGTCTCTGATGTTGGCAAACATAGATTCATGATGGGTATTCTGCGGCCTCGGTTTCTTAGGACCTCATCTCCACCATCGCCCTTATACAGACATGAATTGCCAAGCAAAACTTTTTCCTCTAAAATGCGTACCGAGTCCTCTTTCTAATGCTCGCACCAAACCTAAAGAGCACCCACGGAATTGGAATCAGGGCAATGGCGATGAAGCCAAGGAGACTGGCGGCCCATTTCGTCGTCAAGTTATTGTACACTAGTAAATCGCAGAATTAGAGCCCATATGTCCTTTGTTATCACGCCCTGTGGGATCAACGTACTCTGAATAACAAACAGCGGAAAAGCAGCCGCAAAGACGTAGCGCGTAAAGGCGTTTGCCGAAAGCGCCGAAGCGCCGTATCGAGAACCGTAGCAGTCAATCATATAAGTAATGCTGCATGCCTGGACCAAGAGAAATTGTTACCAAACATGGAGGCTATGAAGAGACTGGAACGTGTCAACTCACGAATATACATAGGTTACCCCAGTTGAAAGGAATGAGAGCCAGCACCGGGCTTATCCAGTGTATATCAGGCCGAGCAGTCCAGGCAAACCAGAACAGACCAACGGCAACACCCAGACTACCCATCATGGCCGGGTAAAGTCGTTGCTCGGGCGGTAAATGGCCTGTGTCGCCCCTCTCCTGCGCCTCCTTGGCCTTCTTTCGGTAGATAAGGCGGTCAGAGAGAAGATTGGTCGCCGTTGCGAGCAGCGCGCCGATGCCTAGGGAGATGAAGACGAGTCCGTTCTGGTGAGAATTAAAGCCATATGTCTTTTGAAACACCAGCGGTATGGAAGCAAAGAAGGCGTACAGGACGGCAAAGTCGAAGCCGACGTAGAGGCTTAGGAAGAGGACAATGGGCTCGGTGAAGAGCAAGTGCATGGGTCTTATCAGCGACTCAGTTGCCCACGTGTGTATCGCGGTCCAGCTCAATGTGGGAATCTTCATCGTGGAGGACAGCTTTTCCTTGATGGTTTTCTTGTTGCCTCGTGCGAGCAAGATCTTCTTGTATGTCTCTTGCATACCAATTGCGAAGACGCATGTCGCGACGCCCCAGAAGATGGAGACCCATTCGAGCCATCGCCAGTTGAGCCTTTCCACGACAAAGCCACCTATAATTGGGGCTGCATCACAATAAGTATGTTGACATCACAAGGGCAAAGTATGGGCAGGCTCACCAATGCAAGGCCCCATAAAGGGGGCCATGACAAACAGCGCCATCGAGGGCCCGCGACGGGCAGGAGGCCACAGGTCCGCCATTGTCCCTCCGCCGACGCTCAAAGCCGGGCTTCCAAAAACTCCAGCAAAGAAGCGGCAGACGACAACGCCGCCAATGTTATCCGATGTCGCGGCGCCGATGAGAAAGAGGATGCAGATGGGAAGCCCTAGGCGGTACACGATCAGTCGACCTGCTGTTTCGCTGAGCGGTGCGCCAATGACGGGCCCGAATGCCAGGCCGAGACAGAAGAGGGAGATGCCGAGGAGGGACACTGTTTCCGAGACGTGAAGGGCTTGGCTGGTTGCTTTGGCGCCGGGGGCGTAGGCTGAGGACATGTAGGTGCTGGTAAAAGGGATAGGTTAGCCATGTTGTTGTTGTGTGCGTATTCGAAGCTTGTTGTGAGAGCTTCAGATGTATACTTACACAGTGAATGCGTAGAGAGAAACGCAGACGGTATGGTAGAGCCGCTTTCCATCGCTCCAGTTGTAAGGGTTGCGAGGGTCGTTCTCCCAGTCTAGTTCGTGGCTGCTCTCGGGTGCGCTTTCATGGTCGCTTGTTGGGGGCGAGCTCTCTTCCTTGTCATCAGGGGCCATGTTGTCACTTCTGTTCTCCTCAACATCCATCTTGGCTCTAATGTAGCCCGAAACAGATATATAGGGACGACCAGATGATCGAGTAGCACCAAGAAGAGAGTCAAGACGGCAGGTCTATATACTCGCATCAAAGAGTCAGAGCAAGATGGAAAACAAGGCGGACAACCAGATTGGGCTCCTATATTACCCCATCCGCATTAGTAAGGAGGAAGCAAGGGATACTGCGTTGTTGATAAACCGTGCGGACCGAAGGCAAGCCGGTATAGAAGGACGGCAACGTCTGAGAGATGGGGGTCAGATTATTCCCACAGTATTTCCTCGATGATCGTGAACTCTCAGTTCTTATTACAAATCACTACCCCTTTTGGGTTAATGGAGGAAGTGCGGAGTAATGGTATCGAGCTGGTGAGATGGGTTGTTATGCTTAGCATAACTCGTCCAACTCATAGCAGCGGTTCACAAGGCTTGATAACAGTAGAAGACTCATTGGGGCTTGGATCGCTGTGAAGAAGGTATATGAGAAGTATCAGATGCTATCCACATTATCCAGTATCTCGAAAGAGCCCGTAGCACATGTCCTGATCCTTCAGAGCCGAGGAATTGTTCCGACACAATTGGGATATCTGCGGTTACATGCCATTTCTGGCTAAAAGTGCTTGGTAATCAGTTACCGAATTGGGGTAGCCGAGTCAACCCATCATCATCGGCTGTCAATGGCGGCTAAACAGCGCATCAGAGAGGAATCTCTAGTAACCAAAGTGGCGTCTGCAAGAGTGTCTTGGCCGGTCAGATGCATAAGCCGTAAGCGCTCACAAGCTATGCGAATGAGGAATCACGATGTAAGCAGGAAATTACTCCAGCTGTAGCGTGCTTTTGAAGAAGTATTTCAAAGAGTAATCCGTACTACCTAAACGGGGCCAGAGTTACAGAAGCGGCTGGGATTGCTAACGACCAGAAATGGAGCTGCGAGGAGGAGCAGTCTCATATAAAGACGCATCCCAGATGCACAAATCCTTACGAGAACCAACAAAGGCATCCCTGCGCAGACCGAGGCATCTCATTGGGCGGACAGGGTTCGGTGATCGCAAATCAAAATGCCGTTGGCGCGAGAATTCAGCCCCCGGAGGACAAATCATTTCCAACAGCCCCCCGGTGGGATTCGCCGGCTGAAGAGCAAACTAACACCGATTTGTACGGGACATGGAATCTTGCCCTTCTTGCAGGATCCATCGCCGAGGAGGGAACCCGATCCGCCGGCGATCGATGCAATACTTAAGGCGAATGGACACGCTGCCCCCTTGCTTCCGCTTCCGCACGCAATCCGGATACTATATTACTTATCACGATTATTATTCTGCTAGAGGCAGCACGTGACGTGGAAACATCCGGCCTTTTGGTTCGTTATTAATAATCATCTCTCACAACTGGTGTCGCGCCTGGTGGCACAATCATATAATCCTGCCACCCCTGGCGGCTCGCGACGAGGAGCTTCGCTCATACAGCTTGTTCACTGTGCAGTTGTTAGAACTGGCTGATAGCGGTTCACAAAAAGCTTGACCATTGAAGCTCGTATCTGGCCTCAGGACACTGCCATATCATGTCGCCAACGCCGCCGAGAGGGAAGAGACGACGGACTGAAGAGTCCGATACTGAGGGCAGCGGAACTGTGGCGGATGCTGGACGAGATGCCGGTAACACCAAGGCAAACACAAGCATTCCGCGGCCGCAGCCGATGAGTGAGGATGTGAATGGCAACCCTGAGTCCATGGATGAAGCCGGTGAGTCGACCTGCTTCAACACCCTTGGAGGATTATCAAAGCAATACTGATGGCATCGCCCGCTTACAGAAAAGAGATATCGAGCCTGGCGCAGTGAGTTTCACCCGCTTTCATCATGCACCCAAACAACTCTCACCAGCTCAGCACTGACCAAGACACAACTCCAGAGAAAGGGTCTCCTCATGATCCCTTTTGCTTCATCTGCAAACAGGAAACGGACCTGCTGGACTGTTACACCTGCAGGAGATCATATCATCAGCGCTGTCTAGACCGGCCACTTGAACACTTTAATCGAAGCAACAACTTCTTCTGCCGGGTTTGCGTTAACCGGCAATGGCATGAGCACCTCCCGCCGCCCAGCCCGCCGCCATCTCCACCGTTGGAGAGACAGAGAGTTGCCCTGCCCAGCCACAGGCCGAGCGTGCAACCAGGCGCCGAAGTTCGACTACCGTCAATCTCGCCCGCCCCTGCTGCAACAACCAGCCAGAATGCTCAGTCTTCGGGACAGACGTCTTTCACGTGGTTGTCGCAGAACCAGTTCACGGCTCCTCTTACGCGCTCGAGTACGACTGCGAGTCCACGAACGGCAACGCCGCTTTCAGGCGTCATTAATCTTAGCGGCCCTGGTCGGAGCATCGTGTCTGGACCGCGCGGTCCCCGGTCGCGGTTCTCTACCCTGTCTGCGGAAGTCGATGATGCCGTCTCTTTGCTTCTCAGGGAGCTAGAGTATCTCGGAGACGCCAGGCAAAAGATCTCACAGCTCGAGGACGTCATCGTGAGGCTACAGCAAGACGTGCGAATCAATGAGAATGCCCTCATCCTGGCGCAGCGTAACGCCGCGTCTTCGAGCCAGCGCGGCTCGGAAGCTCTACGGATGGAGAACGAACGGCTGAAGAAGGAAATGGACGACTTGAATCGTCTTTTAGCAGACGAGAAGTCTCGGTCACAGTTCTACAAGGCGGACGCCGAGCACTGGAGGTCACAGGCGTCAAGTAAGCAGGCCGAGTTGGAAGAGCTTAGGGGGAAGTTGAAAGGCTTGCTCGGCGGATAAGCCTGCGTGAAGGAGTTGCACTTTTGCTTTGTTATGTGTATTGAACGATTAAGCTGGAGTCGGCATGTTGCATGGAGTACGTGGGTCAGGAATACCCGTTTGGATTATGGTCACATAGTATGGTGTATTTGGTTTCGAGTTGATGATTCTTTCGGTTACATGTGTTTCTTTTTCGTCTATAGACAGCACATAATGGGCTCCGTGGCCTGTGGTTCGCTTATTTGTCGGCGTTCTCGTCCGTTTCGCGATCATGATATCCAGCCAGTCGTCGTTACCTGTTATGCTTGGACAGCATATTCAACTATTGTCAACTCTGTCAAATGTTACTTACAAGGGCTTCGTAGATGCTCAGTTGTATGTTGGGAAACGCCGGGTACACAGGAAACCCTGTTTAGCCAATCTCCGTGTATCTCAAGTTGCAGTCGATCTTTGCTGGGACATGCTCAATAGCTCGGCATCGTCCACTCACGGGCGCCTCTTTTACAGTAAATTATTAGAGTGCTGCGCTATTGTTGTGGTCTACCTAGCTGATGGCGGACAAGCACATATATGTACATGTACTCACATGCAAGTAGGAACCAGACGGTTCGGATTTTGAGTCTTCACGTCAACACCTCCGCGTTCTCAAACTGGCCGTCAGCTCTGACTGAGGGTTTCAACTCTCACTTATGCTGCTTCCTGGGTGTAAACTTTGAATGAAGTACATGTAACCGAGAACGATCTTCTCGCCCCTAAATCCGATCATTGGACCCCTTCTAAGCATTACCAACCTTCACCTTCAGTTTCCTCATCTTCCTCACCGCCCTCGTCGTCATCATCGTCCCCCTCGCCATCATCGCCATCATCGCCATCATCGCCGTCATCGCCGTCATTGCCATCTTCTCCGACTGTCTCTTCTTTGACACCGTCACCCTCCATGTCCTGCGAAGCTTCTCCGCTTGGCGCAGCAGATCCCTCAGTAATTTCTGTCTCCTCTCCTGATGCAGAGAGGACGTGCGAGGAACCAGGGTGCAGCAACTCTTGACTCAAAGCGCATTTCCAGCACATGTAGAAGCCAGCAACGACACACTCGACCTCGCAGCACAGATAGTTTACTCCGATTGAGGCCTAAGTTTGGTTCAGAATGAGGGAAGAAAAAAGTCAGCAAGGTATATAATATATTGCGAGAACAGATAGGATGTGACAGCTTTGTCTTACCGTTAAACAAATATCACAGTATCCATCAGTTTCGAGCTTGCCGCGACGATTGGCGGCCTCGGTCCATATATCCCTGTCGTCCCCTTTACACTGTCGTAGCTCCTCTTCGCTCGGTCTCACCAAGTCCAGCACGTCTGTATTCAGGTTACAGTAGCTTGCTAGTCTCACTGGTGTCCAGACCTCATCGTCAGCACCATCTCCCTTGACAAACTTGCTCGCGCCTTTGCCAAGCAGCAGCTTTAATACGTCCCTGCGCTGATCTTCGGTTGTCAAATTACCGAAAGGCGGAGGTGGTCGCAACGCCCAGAGCAATGGTGTCCACCCGTGAATGTCTGGCTCATTGACGAGAAGTGGCCGCTCACGGAGGACAAACTCGACTACATCTGGCCTCTGGCTTTGCACTGCGAAATGGAGAGCATGTCGGCCCAGATTATCTTTGCTGTCCAAAGTGACACCCTTCTCTCGTAGCAGCGACTGAGCCATTTCCACTGACTGCAGCAGCGCAAAATGAATCGGCTCCCGGCCCAGATGGTCGACATCGTTGGCGGTGACGCCCATCTTCAAGAGCCGCGTGACAATGGCCAGCTGGCAATTCATGGCGGCGACGTTGAGCACCGAACCCCACGAATGGCTCTTAATTTGCACGTCGATGCCGTTCATGTCTAGGAGATAGTCGAGTATCTGTGCCTTCCTCATCGCATCTTCACTATCGTCCTCGGACCGTAGCAAAGCAGCGTGCAGGGCCGTGCCAGGGTTTGCGTAGCAGACTGCATTGACGTCGGCGCCCTCATCAACCAGGAACTTGACGAACTCGGGCGATGCGCTTTTGCAAGCCGCACCGAGTGCAAGTGGTTGGTTTTCGGACCCGTTGACTTTTGCTTCCCGTCGAACAAGACATCGTGCCACGCTGATGTTGTCTGCTTCGGCCGCACAACAGAGGGGGGTTTCATTGTGCCAGTCCGCGACGTTGACGTCGGCGCCTCTGGTTATGAGCGTGCGGACGATAGACGGCTCCGTGCTGTGGTCGATACAATGGAGAGCTGCCGTTGACCATCTGTTGCCGCTCACATAGTTAATGTTTAGGCGTCTACAGCAATCGAGTATCAAGTGGACAAGAGCGGCATTGGACGCCCATACGGCGTTTGCCAACCACTCTACGGCATCCGATGACTCAACCGTCAGGTCAGCGTCATGTCCAGTGAGGACCTTAGCAACTTCTGTTTGGCTGTTGCCGAGCGCGCTGCCCAGGGCCTGCTCCAGCGTGTCCCTGCTCGGCTTCTTCTCCAGTATAGCGCTCACGACCCCAACATTCCCCCATTTCGAAGCAAAGTACAGGGCCGACCGCTTTGCACTATCCCTGATATCGACATCCGCGCCATTTTCGAGGAGCAGAGCGGTGATATCAGAGTTGTCATATGCGCAATGCAGCGGTGTCCAGTCGTCTCCTCCCGCGTCGACCTTGGCACCAGCAGCAAGGAGAGCCCGCACGGCATCGATCTTGCCCTTATAAGCTGCATATCCCAACATGGACCGTTCAAGGCTTGGTATTTCCATGTTTGGATCCAACTTATACTCCAAAAGAGCGGCAATGGAGCCGCTGTTTATGGAGTTTTGTATAAAGTTGTCGGCGAGGATCCTTTCATGCACTGCCGGGTGACTCATGTCAATATCTGACCGCGCACCTACACTGCAGATAAGCCTGATCAGCTGCTCACTCGCTTCCTCATCGGCAGTGCCCAGTAAAGCACAGAAGATCTCCTCGTTCACTGTCATGGGCGGCCGAAGCAATTCCTGCGCAGCCTCAATTGCCCCCGTACTGAAAAAGGCCAAAACTGCCTTTCCAAACAGCGTGTCGCTTTGGTCAAAGTGTTTTGGCTGCGTCAGATGAGAAAGCAAGAGCTTCGCATTCTCTACGTTGGACCAAAAGGACGCTGATAGTTGGAAAATGCTTTCGTTGAGTAGGTTGAGCGAATTCCGCGATGCCCAGTTCAGGATGGAGGAAGCCACGGCACTATGGCCATACTCGTCCGCCTCCCTCAATGAATCTAGACACATAGAGATCCATAACCCCTTATCTAGGGGGTGTGCAGACTTGAGGTGCTCCAAGAATGGCTCCACAAGGGCACCCCCCCCCCGAAGCGACAGATGGTCCTCATGGGCCGCCACCAGCCTTCCCTATCACCAGCGGTTGGGCCAATGCCGAGTCCAAGCAGTCTTAGTAGCATGTCTTGCTTCCTCTTGTAACATGCAAGATTCAATGGGAAAGAAGACTTGGAAAGCTCATCGAGGGGTTTGTGTTTGAGGATCCTATCTTGGATAAGTCGCACCGCGGCCAAGTTATTGAGTGAAGCAGCCCGGGCTAAGTATTTTGAAGGGTCACCAAATTTTAGTCCGAGTTGTTCGGCATGGATAATGACTTCGACAAGAATGTCTTCGACTCCGGATTCAATCGCTGCCAAGACAGCTTGGCTAGCGTCAAACCATCGAAACTCGGGTTGTTGAGCCAAGACACGGATAGTCTCCAGATGGCCACTGCTTGCGGCGGCGATGAAGGCATCTGCCAACTCATTACCCAAGGCATTCTGTCTCCTGGTCATTTCCACTACAATCTCGACTGCGGACTGAAGGCCGTGCTGTGCCAGGATGGGGAGCGCTGTGCGCGGACCGGCCGCGAGAGAGGGCAGAGCGGGCTGCTGTTTAGATTTGGCCACAGCCCATGAATTCAGCCGTTCCCCCTCGTGTCCGAGTAAATTCTGGAAGCTTTTCCATTCAGGTCTCCAGCAGCCTTTGCTTCGGCGGGCGTGCTCAGCCCAGTGGTCAACTGCATACCAGAGAAGACCGTGTCTGGCATCACGACCTGATGCTCCATCACTTTCTTCGATCTTAGTGAGGATATCCTGATTTTCCGGCAATTGAAGATAATCCAGGCACCAATCTGCCAGATCTGAATGAGACTGAGTTTCCTCCCTACACCATTTGACGCCCGTGGCAACGCCATGTGGCTGTAAGGCTTCCCTTACCATGTCATTAGCCAACAACACCCGGCCTCGCAGTACGATTACAAGGCCATAAAATAGTGACTCAACTTCCTCATAAGTGACTTTGTCGAGATTGGCGGGTGATGCCATTGCAACGTCGAGAAGTAGCTCAAACTCCGCCTTTTTCAGGGGTTGCATACACCATAGGATTATCGTTATTGCTGATCTTGCCAGGGGTTGATTCACAGACAACGAGTTGAGAATGGCTCGGATAGCCGACTGCTCCGTGGGACAAGACAGGATCTCATCTATCATGCCTCTTATATGAGTATGATTGGCATCGTCATGTAGCCATCGATGGATAACGCTTCTGAGCCAAGGGGTGAAGCTAGTGACTGCCGATCGCATTCTCTGAATGGGAGGGTGATACTTTTCAGCGATATGCCATACGACGCTGTCAGCGGACTCCAATTCCGTTATCTTGAAATCGACTCCGCTGGACTCCGGCGTCGCCAAGGATTCTTCCTGAGAACTTGAGGCCTGTTTTGCCCCGTGATGGGAGCGTTGAGGCGCAATACCGAGGGAAGTTCTGACCACGTCTATGTTCGGGCTCGTTATCAGTACTTTGAGGCGTAGCTGGCCGCCTTGAAATACATCGAGTAGCTTCTTGGCTAGCGAAGCATGCCACTCAATGTTTGGGTCAACATTATCGAGAACCAACAAGGTTGGGGAAACTCCGTCCATTCGTATGCTCTCCTTGAATGCACACACACACATGAGGAAGAGATCATCGTCTTTGAGGCTGTATGCCTCGCCCACCACGTCGAGATGTTGGCTCAATTCTTCGGGAGTGATGATGGTAGAATTTTGGGAACGACTGAGCCGTAACTTGAACCGGAAGAGAAGTTGGGAAAGCCATGTCCACAGAAACCCACTCATTGAGCCGTATTGAGCTGCACTCGGAGACAAATCAAAGGCAAACCCGGAAAGATTCCTGACGTGTGGATTCAATCCAGATTTATTATCATCAAGACCTATTATTTTGCCGGCTGCGTTGTTCCTTCTTGCGAGTTTGAAGCTTGTCCCTCCACTTCTTGTCCATGTAATCCAGCTTTGACCGGAATCGTCGTCTAGGGATTCATCAGTGAACTGAGGATATGGATGTTGTGGAGCCGCGTAACCAAGAGCAGCGGAGAGATATTGATCAAACTTCTGTGTAGCTGCATCGAATGGGCAAGTTAGCCGTGCACCAAAAGTATATGTATGTATAATCACAGGGTAGCATATGTCATACTTGGACTGTCGCCAACGGGCGGGGTGGTTTCCAGCAAGTAGCCTCCTAAACCACTGAGAATTTTGTTATACGGGCGGGAGGTTACTACAATATTTTCGAGAGGATGCCATATGCATCCCATGCGTCTGTAAATAGTCGCCTACTTGTACGTTAAGTCCCATGACTTGCAGTAGCTATGATGCCTGTTGGACATACCTCAGGAAAAGCGGACGCCCTTGGTACTATGCTAGTGAAACTGCACATGAACATGGCATTCGACTCATAAAATGTAGAGTTGACGTCTGTGACCACCTTGGAGAGTGTCTGAGAATGATCGAGTGCTGTCGCATTGTCTACTGCATGTTGGGCCGTCAAAATCTGGCTTATAGCAGATTTTAAGGCCTGCTCATCTTCCCATCGATGGATCGAGCAGATGAAAGCCTATAATGTACCTGAATCAGCTCAATGAGAAGACGAAAAGAAAGGGCGGTGGATGTTCATATATCTCCATTGTGTGAATCCTGTCGTAGGTGCTTACCGCTGCTTGTATACGTTTGAATAAGTCATTTCGTTCTTCAATACTTTCTGAAATAAGAGACAAAGCCTGGTTCCCGTTAGGAACCATCTCCCAGTGTTGCAGAACTCAAAAAGATCTGTAGCCATACAGCAGTAGTGTGACTTACTTGCTTGAGTATGATACCCCCAAAACCTTGCGCGTAAAATACAATCGGTGGCTTCTAGGTGCGAATGTTGTGGATTAGCCTTATTTCCCTCTTTTGTCTTGCTTAGCTGATATTGAGGAACTGCCGTATGTCGACTGAGCGTCACGCACATCTGTGTTATTCTGCCGAAGGTCTCGAGTATCATTCAGCAAAGCTTCGGCCTCGGCCTGGACTCCCTCCAGCGTGAAAGGGCCCCCGTTGGTATCGTCCATTCGCAAAAAGAATTGTGAAATGCGAGACTTTTTGGACTTGTTAGAATTAAATTCTTCCGCAACATGATCGCTGTCACAATCTGCTGCGGACCACGCCTCGATGATGAGGATGATGCTGGGAATAAAGCGATGTTAGAAAGGAATGGGTATCTTTTTTTGATATTATAGCCTGCCCACAGAGTTACTCACTCTTCCTCGGGCATGTTCGACTCGCTGAATGAGTCCGGCTGAAATACTTTTAGCCTCGCCATGGCTGTGTTTTGCCTCTAGTCCTCCGAAGAGGGGGCGTCGTCAGAGGACAAGATGCGGCGTTCTGGTTGATAAAGCACTGAAATGTTCCTGACTGAACGGGTTAGCAGCTTTCAATCTTGAAGGCTTGAGCAACGGGAGGCGTTGTAGACCCTTCAGCTTGAAGTCATTTGCCAATCGAGAGAATAACTGTCGTCGGGGAAGACAGGATTACTACCTCATGCCTTTCCTGTAGTATTTACGTTTTCTTATCAAATAATAAAAGTATGGGACTGTTGTTGTCTACTCTTATAAGCATAGAAATAGACGTTATGGCGGAAGAATTTATTTTGTAGAATAACGGCCAGATGATACCATCCATCCAATTTACTGCTCACTTCTAAGTCATGAAATCGAGACCACGTCAGTCACTCACTCTCTTGTAACCCATGTCATGCATTGTTATTCGGCAACTAAAAGCAGTATCATTCGTTCAGACACGCAACTCCGAGGCTACATGTACCAATAGCAACAAGCGAGTCCTTCTTTGTACCATACACGTATAGAAGAGGGGTCGAGATGTGTGGGTTGCAATATTGCAATATCTTCACATCATGTCTGTTTATCCGCTGCATTCCATACGTTGCGCAGGGTGATATCGGTCAGGCTCGGGTCGTCGAGCTTGATAGTGCCCAACGCTGCCCGTGTCTTATCGTCGTATACACGCAGCCTATTAGTGGGAGGGCGCTTGGGATCGAAGAGGATAGGATCAACCTTGCGAGGCTGGCTGAAGACCCCGCGAATCCATTCTCGCGCAGCGGTTGGACGGCCAGCGTGCACTGTGATTTGCACCGTAGCAGCGAATGGCTCCTCCAAGACACGGCGTCTCACGAGGACAGCACACTGCATGGCAGCCGCAACGCCACTGTGGGTGTCTGGATTCTCCATGAGCGTCCACGAGGCACTATTATGCAGGCCGAAGTTGCGGCCTTGGGTGTCCGCAGAGCCTCGTACAATGCCCACGCTCTGGAGCTCCCGCTGCACCGTCTTGGTCCTTTCGCAGGACAGTTCGGCCCCGACTTCGGCTCCAACCGACAAGGAGCCTCTTGCTCCAGTGCAGACTGTTTCGGAACGAGTCGTCGGGAAGATGGAATAGGTTTTGTCTGGCCACAGGCGCGCCACTTCTGGGTCTGGATGGTCAGGCGACGACCCCGAGAAGGTCAGCTTGATGCGGGCCAGCTTGATGCGGCGGCCGAGGTCATCCGCGTCGAAGCGGAAGAGCAGCACCAGTAGTGTCGCCTCGTCGTCGTTCTCTTCGCTCCATTGGCCGTGTACAATGTCCCTGACTGTGCACCGAACGTGCAACAAGCCTCGCCTCTCAATGATATTTGTACGCTCGTAGGGATTCGCTGGATCATTTTCGAAGCGAAAGTTGGCACCATCATTTGTGGTGCCGGACAGGTCATAAACGAAGCAAGGAAGCTCATCATCGTCCATGCTTTGGTCCATGCCTAGGTAGGCTGGGAATAGAGACAAAGGGTCCTTCGTCCCTAGATAGATGTATCACGATGGGGGCAAGAAGCACGCACCTTTCACATCCCAACATGTAATCAAAGTGGTGCCAGGCTGCTAGTCGGTCTACTTATAGACATTCCTGCATGAGCTAACAATGAGATTGGTCTCTGTACGTATAGCAGTAGTAGAAAAGTATACCATATGTACATGTATTTTGCCCTGGCCCCTGGAACCCGGACCCTGGTTCCCAGAACCCCCCCCCCCTCCCCTTTTTTTTTCTACTGGAGAGTGCTGCTACACAGTGCAATCGCCTGCTCAATTACGTATAACTCGGCTGGATGGATTGAGCGCTGGAAGCTTTCGAGCCTGCCGAGGAGCATGGGCGCCTTGCGCGCCTTGCAAGGGGCCCATGAATCGCCAGAGCCTCATGTTGTTAGGCAGTCATGTATTAGTTGTACTTTAAACTGTAGGTCGTAGGCTATTATCTCACTCGTCTCGTTATAGGTCGTGGTTTCCATACACAATCCTGGTCAGTACTTAGGTCAACAAACCTGGATGCATCCATCAGACAGCCGGACATGTAGCTGACGAGCCACCAGTGACCACTCACTCTCGCAATTGAGCCTAAAGAGGCATTAGTACCCAGTTGATACTGAGACCTCTACAACTCACATAGCTGCTATCCCTCTTCGCGGAAATTTTCCATTACTTCCACTTCTTTCTATAGGAATATCTTCCTACCACCGGTATTATCATCAATTCATAGCTCAATCCATCATTTAGCCATGGACATGCCATTGACCGAATCCAGAAATGACCCAATCCAAAACCTCTATGGCTCAGCTAATGGAACGGTCGAGGATCCCTTGGAGGAGGCTAACCAAGAAGAAGAAGATGGTCATGAACATGACGATGACGAAGATGATGATGAGTACGATGAGGATTCTGACGGCGAGGGTGGGGATGATGACGAGGGGTATGGAGGCGAAGAAGACGGCCAGATAGATGGACATTTCAGTACCGAGAGTGCTGAGGAACGGATGGAGCGAGAAGAAAGAGAAAAGGCAGAAGAGCTCGCAGAGTGGAAAGAGCAGAAGCTGGCCGTCATCGAGAACGAAATAAAGAAGGCAGCTGCGAACGAGAAGCAGCTGGACAAAGACGATTTTCTCGCCACATACGGAGATGCCCTGGACCATATAATGCAAGAGTCACCCAACAAAACAAACGTACTACACATGCTGGCGAGAAACGCCTTTAAGTCTCCCAGCCAATTTCCCGGTTGGATTATCGACTATCTTCATCACAACACCATCAAAGACCCTCACGGCAAGACGAGTGACAGTCTGTCGAAGTTACTCGCCGACAAGGCACAAACCAACCCCAGTCTCGCGCTGGCATTTGCTATACGGTGGGATAATGAGCCGTTTATTCAAGCCATTCTGTCCATAGAGATGCAGCAAGGCGACGAGAGCCTCAGAGACAGCCTCAGAAATAATCTCCGAGAGCCGGTCGATGGGCCGCGCAACTGCATTCACTGGTCCATTGAAAATCTTCCCTCGAAGCTGACAGTACAGCTGATTGAAAGGGCTACCGGTGATGAGTGTCTGCTGGCTAGAGATGGCGGAGGTTATACGCCTCTGCATTTAGCTGTCGAATATCCCAAGTGCTTGGGGCGGCTAGAGGTAATCAAGGCTCTCCTCAAGCATGGGGAGAGAGCCCTTGATCAAAGGTGCAAAGAGGGTTTATCAGTATACAGGTACTATCAGAAGACCAAGGCCGACTACCGAGCGAAGATCCAAAAGGAGGCGTCCAGGAAGGCCGCTGAGCCATCCAAGACCAAGTCGTTACCTGGGCGGACTGGCTCACACTTGAAGCAGGCTAAGGAGAAACAGCAAACTATCAGGGAAGACTGGAGAGAAAAGGAAAAACGGAACGATGTGGCAAAGCCTCTGCTTGATGATAAAGACAAGAGCCGAAACGGAATGCGAAACGGATTCACAGCCGATGTGGAACTTCGCAACCAAGGAGAGAGCGAAGAGCCGATCAAGCCCCTCCAGCGAACTCTGACTGGATCTCAAGAAATATCCACGGTCCCCAAGGCAGCAGTGCCAGCAAATAAGAGAAGGTCATCCGCCAAAAAGTTGACCAACGGCAAGAAGGTGGCAATGTCATCTAAGTCAGCCAAGGAGAAGGAGAGGGTAGAAGAGGAGATCGAGGACGAGATAAAGCTCCAGTATTTTCGATCTACCTTCAAGCTTCCAAAGGCGGATCGAGACGTCAAGTCAGCCAACGAATTTTTATACGCTCAAGGAAAAGGTGGGTTGACCCTCTTCGTTATCCTTTCCTTTTTTTTTTTCCCTACTCTCTTTTCTCAATCTATGTCTCTGCATTCTTTGTCTATTTTCTCCTACCTCAGTTTCACGTGTCGAACTGACTCATCTGTTTAGAGAGACCCTTCTCTTTGACAATGCTTCAAGGTCCTTCTTTTCTGGAACAACATGTTTTCACGACTGTCTACGGCCCCAAAGAATTCGACCAAACGCTCCATCACGTGGCAGTAGATCGCATTATCCTCAAACAGACGAAGAACAAGGAGGCTGGGAGAACAGACATGGAGATTATCTTCAAGTTACTCAAGGACAAGGGTGTACGCCACATCGTCAAAGTGATTGTATTCGATTCCGAAATGCCGCCCCATAGCGACGAGTCGATCGAAAGATGTCTTCTTGGATTCAAGTCGATTGAGATACTCGACTGGCGAAAGGTCGATCTGTGCCCCGAGACAATATTGAAAGCTTGCCCCAAGGTCGTGGAGCTACACCTTTGGTGGAGTGGTAATAATGCCATTCTAATAGCTTGGAGTGCTCCGGGTGGCCTGGCCAAGCTTCCGCGCTTAAGAGAAATTCATTTACATCAAACTAAGGTAAGACTCAAGCCACATGGTGACGGATACTCAAATGAACCATCGATCCCCAGACAGGTCTCATTTCTAACGGAGAAGCACAGTGCATCGAATCGGCCGAGCGGGACAAACAGAACCTACAGCGTTTCAAAGAGAGGATCCAAAGAGATCGCATAGCGCAACGACCCAAAGAGTATGGGCCAGAAGAAAGGAAAACCTTGCCACTCTCAGGCCAGAGTTCGACAGTAACTGTCCTGGATATGTGGCCCGATATAACCGTGGACGAGTCGGACACCAACAACGCGGTCCACGGCCGCTCTACGGTATCCCATGGCCAGCAACCGAGCCAAACAGCCGCACGGTATCGGAGGCGGCGGCATGATTGGTTGGACGTTATGGACAAATTTGCGGCCGGTATCGATCTCATCGACATGGAGCGGACTCACCCACCGGATATCTTCGGCGAAGATGTGAGGGTAGCTTTGATCGATGACGGCGTCGAGATAACAAACAAGAAGCTCACAGATCGCATCTACAACGGCTGGACGTGCGACACTGGGTACGAGGGCGACGGGCTGGAGGGCATTCCGAGGCCCTACACCAGCTCCGAGACGCAGCACGGCACCTTCATGGCATCGACCATTTGTCGCATCTGCCCAAGAGCCAAGATCTTCGTGTTCCGTCTCGACGTGGTGTCGACACCTGGGGAACGGGCCCATTTTACTGCCAAGAGTGCGGCAGATGTAAGTACAGTCTTGTCAAATGCTATGACCAAATATCTCGGCTACAGAAATCTCTAATATTCATTCGCCCAGGCCCTCGAGTTAGCCATCGATCCCAGTCGAAAGTTTGACATCATCTCTATGTCGTGGACTATTGTTAAAAACGAGACGAACGCGCATGACATCGAAAGGCTCGATAGAGCTCTGAGAAAAGCGGATGACAGGAAATCCTTGCTACTTTTCTGCGCATCTCCGGACAACGGCGAAATGGCCGACGCAAAAGCCGAGACTTTCTATCCTTTTGGCTGCGAGAACGTCAACAGCCTCTTCAAGATGGCGGCCGCAACTGTTGACGGCAATCGCGTCTCAATGGCAGGATCACGCTTCGATTACTCCCTCCCGGGCCACGAGGTCGAAGACAGCAGCCAGGGAATCGGCGAAATTGCCAGAGAGGCGCTTCAGAAGAATCGGCAGGCCTCTGAAACCGAGCACAGCGGTCTGAAAACGGGGTCTTCCATTGCCACGGCTCTTGGAGCTGGCCTGGCGGCGCTTATCATTTATTGCGTCCGGCTCGGCGCCGCGTATACGCACCGAGTCGACCGTTCTTCGGGCAACCCTGTAAACGCCGATGCCGATGCGGGCGTGCTGGGGCGCAAGTCTTTGGAGCTCATCAAACAGCCAAAACACATGCGGGAAGTTTTCAAACGCATGTTGAACAAGAGCAGCTCTAGTGATCGCTATGTTGAGGTGTATGACTATTTCGGAATTTTGGCAAACGAGCTCAAGACCCTGGGTCAGCAGATCGAGGAGCTCAAAGACAGGATTCAAAACGAAATGCTTGAAGGAACTGCAGAAAGGGAAATGGCAGAAAAGGAGCTACAGCAGAAGAATGACGAACGGATGGCGAAGATTACCAAGTTGGCAACGAGATTCGTCAGCACATGATTGTTGGACGAGAGACACTCAAATCTCTCGTTAATGTTAAGCATGGATATATAGCAACGAGATTCGTCAGCACCTGATTGTTAAATGAGAGACACTCAAATCTCTCGTTAATGTTAAGCATGGATATATGCGACTTCTCGTAGCGACAGGAACGACTTGCTACATTGAAAGTCAATTTCTATTAACAACAGTCTATATACAAAGAACAACAGTGGATAAATAGCGCAAATGGTCTAAAACACAGTACATAATTGACTCTGACCTTGTGGAAGCATGAGAAAGAAAAAAAAGCATTTCACGCCTCATCAGAAGGCTCGCTCGTCGCCCTGTTCCACGACGTCCGGATAGCGCCCCAGTACTCCTCGTTGAACATCTGCATGTGGCGCACATGGCCACTGCCCTTGAACATGTGGTTGTCAGACTTGTACCCCCTTTTCCTCGCCTCCGCAATGTGCTCCTCGATATCCTGATACGGGATAATGTCGTCGTCCTCGCTGTAGATGTACAAGTGCCGCGTGTCCTTGGTCTCATAGTACGGGTTAATCACCGCCTTGACGCTGAAAGCCGGCGCAGGCTCCTTGCCGATAACCCATTCGAGGAAGCGGTTCCCGCACAGGAATCCCGCCCAGAGGGTCTGCGTCACGCCGAACGGCCAGGGGAACCAGTTCGCCGTGCCCAGCGCCATTGCGCGCGACCAACGAGCCAGGTTCTCACGGGTCATGATGACGCTTCCCGGCGTGGAATCGAGCACCAGCAGATGATGCGGCATGGGCCTGTCATGGACGAGACGGTAGGCGTTGAGCGTCGCGGCGTAGTTGATGCCGCCGGTGTTGGACATGACGTGAGCCAGCACGCGGTCCTCCGTCCTCTGCGCATCCTTGTCGTCTTCCGACTCCCGGGGGAAGATGGCGTCGATGAGGGGCCGCATGGACTGCGTGCGCTGGTCGAGGCCGGACCACATGGCCTTGGAGATGGGCGCCAGGACGACGATCTGCGTCGAGCAGGGGAAGAGGGCGCGGTATCCGTCGGCGTACTTGATGAGGTTCTTGGGCTGGCCGTCGCCCCAGGAGTAGATGAGCACGGCCCGGGGGTCGGTCGGGCGCGGGACGGCGTCGGTTTGGGGGTCCGGGTGGCGGATGAAGACTTGGTCGGACAGGGGGCTGAAGCCCGGGAAGAAGTCCTTCTTTTGCTCAATCATGGTTGAAGATGGTTGACACTGAGCGTATGAGTTGTAATTTGAGGTTGAGGTCGAAGAGGTTGAATCTTCTGGTTGTTGGCTTGTCACTCGATTTGCATCTTCATCAGCGACACGGACTTTTCGAGAATATGTACGGAGTATTCGATTGGCTTTGTTGGGATGCGGTGCCCTTGTTGGGCACGTTTCTGACCCGCCCGTTCGGCGAAATGAACATATTTGTTAATGCTTCTCCGTGCCTCGGTTCAGCTCCTTTGCGGCGATCTGGACACTATTTGCGGCAAGGCTGTTGTGTAATTAACGCGAGAAACTACCAAAGGCTCAAATTGAGAAGTTGAAAGAAGATATGCCGGGAATAATGAGCTAGAGAATCGACTTTACCAACTGCCCGTCAGAGCAACAGGTGGCGCTCAGACCTTGACATCAAAAAGCAACCCCAGATCGATCTGAAATTGATCGCTTTCACATGCTTTTGACGTCTGGCGGCCTGGTCCACTCTGTAAGGCAAAGGTCCACTAAATGACAGGGCCTTGTCTAGTTTCTCACGAGGGAACGGAGGCTGTCAGTTTGCCGTTGCTCCGTGGGTCCGGGAATGATAAAAGAATTCGGTGACATGTCGTCTTCCGTATCGACGTGATGGCTTGATTCGGCAAATGGTGGATCTGGCTTGACCGAGGTGCTGGATGAAATACCCAACATTTGGTTGTTTGGTTGCGTCTTATCATTAAACATGAGGGTCTCTTATCTTCATCACTATACGCAGACGAGTCTCGAAAGTAAACAATCACAAGACAGAAGCTTACTGATAGGGTACCATGTGATGCATGAAGTCGAATTGCTATACAACGACCCCTTGGGCAGCTCGTGTCTCGACGGAACTTCTTTAACACAGAACACAAGCCATCCGGTAGAGAGTTGCGTAGTCATCACGATTAGGCAGGTGTCCAATAAGAAGATGCAAACGAGACTGATGTCGAGACAGAATGACACGGACAATGGCTGCGAGTGGGCTGAGATGGAATAGGAGACACAGTGCTCCGAGATGATATACTATCTTCCAATTGAGGCACGGCCATAACAAGAGATGTGATTCCACCGACATTTGAGCCTCTTCCTAACCTCCAGGGTTGGTAGAGACAATTATTGATGCAACCATGCCACTACAGATGACCAAGCACTTTGTTTTACTTCTGAAACTCAGGCCTGACTTTAATCTCCTCGACAACTTGCTGCGCATCGGGGTCACCCTCTTCAGCCATACGCTTAAACTCATCCGTGTTGTCCTTGACCCACTGCTCGAAATGGCCAGGCTGCCATATGTCAGTAATTTAGTCCGCCATATACATACAGTCGGACTTACCATAGGCAGATGAAACCCTGCTTCCTTTGCAACGTCAATCTCTCCCATAACAAAGACCCCCTTGAGCTGCTTCGCAATCGAGTCATTTCCCACAGTCTCGTTCCAGAACCCCTCCAGCTTGTCGGCTATGCCTTCCAGCTGCTCCTGAGTGCGGCCACCACCACTTCGAAGGCTGACAAACAGGCGATTGATGTTTCTCTGCACGCCGCCGACGTAGGAATCTGACAAGAGGCCCTGGGTCACGTCGATGAAGCGGACGTTGACGATGAACCGCGGCGCCCTGAATGTGGTTGCGTGCCAGTCGGTGATTCGGCGGGCCAGAGCCATTTTCTGGGCTTGGCTCAGCTTGATGGCGAGTTCGAAGTTGTACATGGGCATCTTGAAGGATGTTTGGATTGTTGCTTCGTACAATGCGATTGTGATATGATTTGATATGAGAAGTTTGGACAATTCTTTGTGTTATTTTATCAGTCAAGCAGCTTTCCCACAACTGCCTAAATGCCCCTCGAAGCGATCAACCGGCCGATATCGGCTCTCTCCGCATTCTGCCGTCTACTATGTGGAATCAAGTTGGTGATAGTTGTCGAAATGAAGGAAAGATGATTGGTAATCAACACAAAAGAGGACAAGCCAACTAATATGCGGGTACGATTGTTGATCCTTCGCGGATATCGTCGGATAGAGAAAAAGACTGGACAAGGGCTGGTTGACAAGCAAACATCGGAACAGCAGAGGACACGATAACATTTCTTGATGATTAATCACTCTTACATAAGTGCTGCCTATTTGGGTAGCTCATACAGATTGAGAGGGCAGTCGTCCAATGAGGGAGACAGGCTACTCCGTACACACTCACGCGATAGGTTATGCGAAAAGATCATACAGCACATTTCCTTGTCAAATCAAATTTTCCATGTCTTCCCTAAAATGAATATTTTCTTTAGTATGTGACAGCCATGAATAGCGTGAATCTACCTGCTTCGTAGCACAGCTGACAAAAGTAATTCACGCCACTCAGTAAACGCCGTGGCCGCAGGTCCCACACAAGAAAAGGTCCAGTCATCGCCGGAAAGAAAGGACGTTCACTGCTTACAACTCATTAGGAGTCGTAATCCATCATTTCCCTCTATTTGCATTGAATTGGCCTGCAAGTATGATAATTCTGGAGTACAAACGATCTCAACTTGCAAGCTCAAGGCACTGCCCCGTCGTACAGATCGTTCCACCATAAGATATCTCGAAGCCTCTCTTCGCTCAGATAGGCTCTGGCAAAGTCTTTTCTTCGAGGACACCTGATCTGGCAATGAACTTCTCCCGCTGCCTTCCAGCCAAAGAATCCAGCCATTTCCCAGTCAATGAGTCCTACAATCCTGTCGTTGTCAACGATGCAGTTGGATGGTGTAAAGTCATTGTGCATGAAGCCCAGATCTTGGTCAATGTCCTTTGAGAAGAGGATCTGTGCCTCCTCGGAATTCAAGGGGCCATTAGTCATGATATTTGGGTCTGGAACAATATGGTCTCGGGTCTGGCGATTGCTCGGGGGTTTGACAGCATGCATCTGTAGGAGAATCTCGCGCGCTTGCCGTTTGAAGGCTGCTTTTTGAGCTTCCGACAGATAGGGCCGTGCAACTTCTAGGCTGACGCCCGGGAGTCTCTCTTGGACCAACACCGGGCGACCATTGATCTTGAGGATTGTTAGTGAATGTCCTAACATAAGCAGGATACTGAGTCAGCGCACCTTGCCAGAGAAATAGATATTGGGCAATCTGACACCCTCGAGGACACGCTTGGCGATTGCAATTGCCTCTATTTCATTGGCGTCGGCGTATGTGTGGTCAATCTTGGGACTTTGGTGTCGGTGGCTTGACTTGACGATGACGCTGCCAAGAGCAAAGACGTCGCGTCCCTCATTCGCGTCCGCTGGATAGATCATATTTGATTCCGTACAGAGTCCAACGACTCCAGCCCAATACTGTAAAGACTCCTGAGAGCTAGAGTTGACGTGCTGAATATCCACACGAAAGTCATCAGGCTTCGGAGAATATCTGCCATAGTGTGGTACATCTGCATACAGATCGCTTTTCGGAATGTGGTCGGGGTCGGCGATGTATGGGTTCATGACGATATTCGTTCTGCGAACAGGGAAGTCTGAGTTGCATCTGCATTGTGCGTCTTGAGAAACTGGAGGCTACAAGGAAGAAGATCAGAGTTGAGGCCTGAGGCATTGAAGGAGGTAAAATCTGATCACAAGGAGTCTTCTCTGGTTCACGATCAATGGACCAATAGATCTTCGCCACGAGGTGCCAAGTTTATTGTTGGTGTTAGTCGGGCGATCAACGCATTTATGTAAAGCAGAGCAACGTCTTTTACCACCAACCACGCCTGGGTACCAGATCGGTTGCATGCCTTAGGTGCATACTCTCCACCCTTACCCAAGTCAGATATTATTGTCTATCATGTTGATAACTTGTATTTTGAAACTTGCACAAACTCAGGCATATCTATACTGAAGCACCCTCTTGTCGAAGCCAACATGGCCAAGAAGTAGTCCGTCTCCGCACAACAGACGAAGACTACGGGAGGAAATCATCACTGTCCAGCTGCTCTAGCCACGCAACCAGCTCAATGGTGCTTGACGAAGGTCACGGTGTGATTTTAGATCTTCAATGCATTACGAAGTTATATGTAAATACATGAGTCTGGGGATCTCGGTATTTCGGTATGTTTGCAGTGGCTAAAGGTTGAGTTCCGACTACGACCGTTTCGACGGCTGACAAATTTAGAGCTGAGAGTATACTCATTCGAATGCTTTATAATCTAATTGCGAGAAGTTGAGAAGGATATTTCTTGAAGATGTATAATACCAAGACTGTGTGCTATATTTCGCCGCGCATGAATTCGGACTTAGTGCTGGCCGTCGGGGAAACCTTTAGTTGAGTTGAGTTGTAGTTTGCTATTTGTGTGAGAATAACCACGGACTACCACATTCGACTGCTGTTTGATGGGATACGCCGAGTGAACAGTTACTTGAAATATTAAAGAAGGTTTAGTCGCATTGGACCTTATCGTATGACAATGTCAGCTCAGCATTCTGAAGTTGAGAACATGACGTGAATACTCGTAAATGATGGTGGAGGTCTCCTAAGCCCCGCAACACCGCAATACCGCAATACCGCAAATAACACCGAAGCCCTCAATTATAACACCGCACTATAACACCGCAACACCGCAACGGCGCCCGGCTTGTGAGAACATACGGAAAACGGCATTGAGGATCTGACAAATGACGGTGACAAAGCCATGACTGCGCAGTTACAGGTTTCGATGAAACCTCGGCTACGTCGATACCGTCTAGCTTGTTCGAAGTTGATTATCCAATCCGTCTCTTTGGGGAAAAGAGCTCCGGTCGGGTAGACGGGAGTGTGTTGCTTGTCGTAAGAAAGGTTAATTCTCAACTCTCCGCCCCTCATCATCCATAAGTATATAAACTCTGTTCAACTTCAGACATGATTCAACAATTCATCTCAGACAAGTTCATCGCATCAGTAATTACTTAGCTCAAACAACAACAAAAACCAATCTCAACGCTTCAATCGGAATCACTCCCAAAATGCAGGAAAAGACCGCCGTTCTGCTCATCGACCCTCTCAACGAGTTCTTGCACCCAGAGGGCAAGATCTACCCTACTCTCCAGGCGAGCATTGAGGCCACCGACACGGTGACCAACCTCCAGAGATTCGTCAAAATCGCCCGGAGCAACACACTTCCGATCCTCTACTGCCAGCACCAACTGTTCGAAGAGGGCGTGTATGACGACTGGAAGCACATGTCCAAGAGCCAGCTCACCATCCAGCAAACCAAGGCCTTTACGGTGGGCAGCTTTGGAGCCGAGATTATGAAGGGACTTGAGCCGGATAAGAGCAATGGGGATGCGATTGTCTCGCGCCACTGGAACAGCAGGTAATTGTTGGACTGCTGATGCACTAGCTCTCACAAAGACTAACTAGGGTGCAGCTCGTTTGCCAACACCGACCTCGACTATCAGCTTCGTCAACGAGACATTACGCATGTAGTCGTTGCCGGAATGGTCGCTAACACGTGCCTCGAATCTACTGCTCGCTATGCTGTCGAGATGTGAGTGTTGAACTTTCGATTGTAACAAAGCGATGGCTAACATAGTATCGACTCAGGGGCTACCACGTCACAATCATGTACGTATATTCGATGACGTAGTAAACTCAGGACGATAAAATGCTAACCCCCTCATAGAGCCGATGCAACTGCCGGATTCTCGATTCAGCTCAAAGAGGCCGCAGAGAAAATCATCTGGCCCACCATTGTGGACGAAGTTTTGCATGTGGACGAGTGGGCTGCGAAATTGAACAAGAAGGCCTAAGCGACGAAACCAAGTGTTTAAGGTACAAGAGGGATGTTTAGCACTTTGACCCATATATAGCTATCATATACATTATCTTTACTAAACTCATGCTCGATAAAAGAAGTGCCTTGGCAATCATGACTTGAACCTCATTCTAGGACATATTCCTTGTTCGCAACTTTCTCACACAGCTCTTTCAGCGCCTTAGCGCCGTACTCAAAGTCTTGTAGCTCCAGATATATCTGAGCAGAAAAGCGTGCCCACAGAGATCCGGAAATGAAGGCAATATTGACAAACGTGTTGTAATCACGAGCAAGACGCCGTAACATGAAGTCGACAACTCGCGGAACATCTGCCAGAGGAACCGAACCTCCCCTTTCCTCAGAACCATGCGAAGCAATCTCAAGAGGAAGCTGAACATTGGCGAAAGCAACCCGCTTCGACTCTGGTATAGGTAACGTTCGCGTCTGCAGTATTTCAACGGCAAGATTTTCGCCTTCTCGGGCTAGCGAGCGGCAGTACTCTCGAATCGCTTCTTCTCCTCCACATATCTCCTTTCTGAACTTGATTGCCGCCGATATGCAGAGAGGAGGCCCATTGTCGATTGTTCCAGTATAGCTGAACTGAAAGACGAATGGATTTATGGAGTCTGGAGGTTCGTATGGGCTGATGTACTGCTTCTTCTGTAGGATCTCGGGTAGTGGCTGGAAGCCGTGAGATGTCGGAATGGATGACCGCATGAGGTGCTGGTTCTTCAAAGCGACGTACAGAACAGCGCACGTATGGGGCACAAAAAGCCATCTATAAGAATAGTCAGTATAAGAGAGCTTTACAGCTTGATGAGCAATAACATTCTTACTTGTGGCAATTTGTAGTCAGGAAATCAGCCCCCAACTTCTCCAGATCCAAGTCAATCAAGCCAATGCCATGCGCTCCATCAATGGCACTGAGTACCCCAAACTCTCGACAAGTTTGTGCCAGACGCTCGAATGGCATCCGGAGCCCAGGCATGCTCATGACGGTGTCAAAGATAGCCACCCGGACACGTCCACTATGTTCCTGCAACACAGATCGAAACGACTCAACAAGCGTATCATCATCGTCCGTGATGGGATCGAACGGAACACGAACGCTCTCGACAGGTGTAGTTTCGACAAGATAATCCACAGTCTTCTCGATTGCTCCATATGTCCCTTGTACGTATGCAATCACGTCTCCCGGCTGATACTTCAAATTGCGAAGCACCGTGTTGAGCGCCGTTGTCGCATTCGGGACCAGGACAATCTCATCTCTGTCTGCAGCGTGTAAATGGTCTGCAAGTAGAGCACGGGTTTCGTCTAGTTTCGAGGGATAGGTGTATCGGACAAAGTTATCTGGCTCGGCTTGGACTGCGTCTTGGACAGAGCGTAGAGCATCTCGCACTGGACGAGGGTATCCTCCGTAGGATCCTAAGGTATGACGACTAGTTAGATCATCAACATTGCCATTGCCATCAGGCGTAGTGTAATATCACCTTGATTCAAATGGATGAAGCCCGGTTTGAACATGAAGTGCTTCTCCCCAAACGCACGCCCAAACTTTGGAGGGCTAACAACATCCATCGGCTCGGTCATGTTGGCCATCAAAGGAGACGGGAATCGGAGTAACTGTACGGACTATGAGACGTCTGCTTCAACGGAAATGGAGTATCTTACCGAGAAGACTGTGATGACCGGTTGAGAAGGGGTTGGCGACTCTGTATTCCAACTTCGTCCAGCTCGAGTCTCTTAGCTAATATGGCTGACTGTTCTGCATATGCCCCCAGCCTGGTCAATACCATAGCAAATCCATCTCCTCGCCGCAATCGGCTGCCTCTCAGCAAGTCCCATCACACCGTCGCACGTGTAGCGCCATCAGGAGACGCCATTCATGGCTATTCGCGGCATTGCTGATTCAGCTAAATGACAAAGAGCCCTGGATCGGTATCATCGGAGCCAATCAACGTCTCAAAGTGTTCGATCTGATGACAAATTGCGCCCGATTAGGGCGAGGGGTATCTTGAGCATGTTCCAAGATATGGCAATGGATGGAATCAATGGCGCTACTACGCCCTTTGGGGTGGGGTTGACGATGAGATTGGCTTCTCTACGGCGGCACATCAAAAGCAACACAGAAACCTGTCTTGTGTCGTTATCAGACATAAAGTATGGACCATGTAGACTCAGAGAACCGTGTCATATTAGCCTCCATCGACTCCCGCGAGTTACAGCTGTGATCACAATACTCAACCAAAAGGAATAGTACACCATTATCAAGATGCCTTCTCCTCAGCCGGTCCAGACAGACGCCGCCCCGGCACCCATCTCCCTCTTCTCGCAGGCCCAAGTCTACAACGGCCTCGTCTACTGTTCCGGAAACATTGGCATCGACCCAAAGACGGGCAAACTCGTCGAAGGCACAGTAACGGACCGCACGGTAAGAAAGAAGAAACCATCATAGATATCCTAGCAGCAGTAGACATGAATGAAGCTACTGGGTGGTCGCTAAACCCCCGATGCACAGGAGCAAACCATCCGCAACATTTCCGCCCTCCTGGAAGCCGCCAATTCGTCTCTCAAGCGCATCATCAAGGTCAACGTCTACTTGACCACGATGGACAACTTTGGTCCCATGAATGAGGGATACGCAAAGTTCTTTTCCGCTCCTTTCCCCGTAAGTTATGTAATCTCGTCGTTGGTCGAGAGGGTAGATTCATTAACGCGGATTCAGGCTCGGACGTGTGTCAGCGTCGCTGGGTTGCCGATGGGCTCGGATGTAGAGATTGAATGCGTGGCGGCGTTGAACGAATAGATGGAATCAAGCTTCCGTTTTCGTATCCGCGGCATTGATTGAAGCCATGAGCTTCCCAAATGTTCATGTTGCAACGTTTATCGGCATTTGGTGCACCGGCCTTGGGGCAAGTTGTACAATGACATTCGCTTTCGGTTCCATAGAAGCAAATTTATATGCTGCATATGCGCACAGATAAACTGCGGCCAGCCCTGTCGGAAGGAAGTCCCGCATCGCCGCAAAGTAAATGAGGAGAAACGCCATGGTAATCAATCGGGCGAGATTTTAAGTCAATCAAGTGAATCTAATCGCAGATGATGCCGTGTAAGAAAAACTTGGGAGCATTTGAGGTTTACGGAGTAGGCGGAGAGAAGGAAAGGAGAAAATCTCATATGTAAATACAACTGTGACCAAGCCTCCCCCTTACGATAGCAATCTGTCCCCGATCCGCGCGGAGTTTGTACAAAATGTGATACGAACGGTGATGCGTTCAAGCCATCGAGATTTCTCCAACGCTTGGCGTGGAAATCGGCACGGGATTTGGCTACCCTTGCTCCGCGGTAGCACTTCAAATCGATTCTCATCAGAGGAAAAGGCTCTATCAGATCGAAAACCATCCCCTTTATGCTGCTGCCTATGGAGCAGGGAGACGAAATGGGATTGGCGGCTCAGAGGATTGCATGATTGCCGTCGACAAAACTCCGCTCGGCACTTGAAAAGGCGGTAAACTGCGGAGTGCCGTATGCAGGATAAAGTGCTTCGGACAGAGAACCCATCGGCTTGAAGTCGTCATATGCAGCGGGCAACTATGGGTACGAAACCGCTCGGAGGATCTTCAGAATAGTTCCTTTTAGTCTCTTCGAGATCTAACATCTAGGTGAGCATGATGAGAGTCTATTACAAGCCAGACACGTCCTTGAATTCCCCTGGGCAGTGAGAGATTTGGCATGTACAGGCCTCTCATATGTGATAGTGATGGCGTCACATAACAGCGGCCACCATTTAGCCTAAAGAAGAGCAATGCAACCTCGATATTCCGACGTACGCGGCACTGAACAATTTCGATTCGGAATATGAAGTAATTGATCGCAGCTTGAGTCCTAGGGTTCCGAAATGTCAATGTCTGTTCTTCAGGCAAGGTAAATGCCTGCTCAATCACGCAGGAAGCGCGAACAGGGAAGCCATCAGGAGTATCGAAGGCATGCACAGGTAGTCCTTAGTGATCCTTCTAACCCCCGCTTAGGAATCACAGTCAGCGATGTTACATGTGCTCGAATACTCCATTACACTCGTAAAGCAATTTACAACTTCTACTCGCATTACAGATGAGTACTAATACCTAGCATGCGCGTTTGTGATCTCTACTGCCTACAGATAGCTCAAAGGGTTGTCGAGCGCTTGCTCTGAGCGCTTGCTCAGCGTACGGGCATGTCCTATCTGACCCTGAGTCTCGAAATGCTGAGTGACCTTCCGTCTCTTTTGTCACATTCTTAAAGAAGGACATTCAGATAAGCCACTCGTTCGCATGCGAGCATACTTGGACTTGTAAAGTCATCTCGTAATGCTCTCAAAGTCATGTTGAGAGAGTTCCCCCTCACCAACGTGCTTGGCAGAGAAGCAGTACCGTCATCCTGGAAGGAGGTCATTGGCCGCTGTTCCGTACCCCTGCGGAAGCCCTGGTCGTCACATATGCATCGCCTTGTATGGTTGCTTGCACTTGTACGCTTCCACATGCCCGTAGGTTGGACAGCTGCTGGAATTTCATGCGAACCATCCAAGAGTCACATAAGCACCGAGAGCTTGAGGGCATGCTTTTCAGAACCAAGATTGGCCTTTACGGTTAGCATTACTTTCAGCACGGAATGTTGCGTACATCGTGGTTATGTGATGCTTGATAGCTTCAGGATGAACCCATAGACTCAACAAGAATAAGCATATATAACAACTGGACGTCCTCTTATTTACACTGAAAAAGATTCATCTCAGTGCTTCTCAACCCCTCTCTCCTTCTTCACTAGTTCATTATGTTTCTTCAAGAGGGAAAAGTGCTTCTCGCATTGGCGAGCTTCATCGCTCCGGCACTTGGTGCTGGCTCATTCACCTGTCAGCCAGGGCAGGCCTGCTGGCCCAGTCTTCAAGAATGGAACGCCTTCAACAAGACCGTTTCTGGACGTCTGAAGATCCCAGTCATGCTCTCGAGCCCCTGTTTCCCCAGTTCACCAAACTTTGATGCCAACATCTGTGCCAGCGTCCTGGACAACTACGAAAACGGCACCTTTCGAGAGTCGACATACGGCGCTCAGCAGATCACCCAATGGGAGGCTTGCGGCAGTGCAAACTGCTATCCCGGCATCGTGCCACCTCAAGGACCGACATGCTCTCTTGGAAGGATATCGCCTCTCTACGTTGACGCCGAGACGCCTGCCGACATTACAGCCACCCTCGGCTTTACCAAACGGCACGGTATTCGCATTGTGGTCAAGAACACCGGACATGACTATCTCGGCCGAAGCGCTGCCGCGAATACTCTAGGCCTACGAACCCACAACATGAAGAACATGACCTTTGCATCCTCTTTCAAAGCCCACAACTGCACAGTCTCTAACAGACAAAACATCGGCATCATCGGTGCAGGCGTCAACGCAGAGGAGGCTCTTGCCTTCTTCGAAAAGCACGGCGTGATGGTCACGGTTGGAGGCTGTCCTACCGTTGGCATCGCCGGCGGCTTCGGCCAGGGCGGTGGCCACGGTCCGCTTGGTCCAACCCACGGCCTGATGGTGGACCAAGCCGTTGAGTTTGACGTTGTCACGACCGACGGCGTCTTCAGAACCATCAATGCTTGCAACGAGCCTGACCTCTTCTGGGCGATGCGTGGCGGCGGAGGCCAGTCGTACGCTATTCTCGTCAACTACAAGTTCCAGCTCTATCCGCAGACGCAGTGGGCGACATGGAGACTCGAGGCCACTCTGACGCCCGGCAGCTCCAACACCACACATGACACTGTCCTCGGGGATATTCTCAAGTCGTTGTCCAAGGAGCAGCCGAAATGGTCGCAGAACCGTGTTGCCGGCTACGACATGATCTCGCCCACCGCCATCACTTTTCTCGAGGTGCTTCCCGCCGGCGGCAATCCTCTGCCAACACTCAAGAATCTCACCGCCAACTTCAACTCTTTCCTGACCAAGCATCCAAGCATCAACATCTCCGTGAACTCGTACCAAGTCTACCAGACGCAGCAAGCGTTTTACACCGGTCAGGCAGATTACATCGCCCGCGGCGGCACGGTTGGCGCTTCCATCCTGGTCCCAAGCCGACTCATCACCACCGACAACTTTGAAAGCTCTTCCAAGATTGACGCGCTGGTGTCCGGCATCTTGCGAGCTTTGCAACTCGCCAAAGAGGGACTTGGCGAGGCCCTCGCGCCTCAGGTAGCGTTCCTCCTTCTGAAAACAGGAGCACCCAACACGCCCGACACAGAGCGAGCGACCAGCGTCAATCCTGCCTGGAGAAAGACCCTGTGGCATCTGTTAGCGCCTGCTGCCTGGCTTCCTGGTACTCCAGACAATATCAGCAGCCGTATCGCATCGGCTTCTCGAGCTGCCATGGATGCGATCAAGGCGCCCCTGAGCGTGCAGGCTGCCTATCTGAACGAGGCTGATCCGGATGAGCCTGATTGGCAGAAGGTGTTTTTTGGCGACAACTACGACAGGTTACTCGCTATCAAGAGGAAGTGGGATCCGGATACCGCGCTCAATTGTAAGAAGTGCGTTGGCTATTTGGGGGATAAGGATCCAATGTACTCGTGCTACAGCGCGAACCCCGTCCCTTCGGTCCCGTATCCGTTTAACTGAGCGGACGCTGCCATTGGCGATGATAAGTTCGCGGCCCTGGTAGATAAAGTTTAACAGCTTGACGGGAATGTCGAATATCTCTCAAGTGTCTCTAATGGTCGTTCATTGCCTACATCTCGCATCTCAAAAGCACTCACATATCAGCTGGGGAGAGGTTAGAGCAATGCTCATGGCATGGGATCTCCCGTTTAGAAGGGTATGTGAAGTACTGGTCGGGAATGTGATGAGTAGGTAGATGTGGCTGGGCTTCAGGCGTAACACTTACCATACAAGTATGGCCTGTATCACTCACTTCTCTAACCGTTGTTTAAAACATTGACTGCAAATCAAAAGACGTAAGAAGCACCAAAGCCAGATTGCCTTATCCTAAGATACTTCAGAAGCGTGTATCACATGCACCGCGTTCGGGACGAGTTTCGCTCAATCTGTATATCCGCGTTCACGGCTTTTCACTTCGATGCTTCATACAAGTGGCATGACCTCGTTGTTTCATTCATGCATTATCAGCATTGAGCCCTACATCTCGATATGTGCAGTGAAAAGTTCCACCATGTAGAAAAGTATATACATCAGAATCCCCATCATCCCTTCTCCGCTTAAACAGCAGGGAGAACCCAGGTGGTAACCGACTGAGAGGGAACGTTGCCACTCCACTCCTGGCCACTCTGGGTAGTGAGGTGAATGTAGATGTCGTTGGTGAAGGTGTTCTCAATGACGACCGTGCGGGTTCCGTCAGGGTTCAGCGAAGCAACAGACTGGACACCACCGCCAGAGGAGTAAGTGTAGCTGCCGGTGCCGCTCAGGACCGTGGCGCCGACGGGCATGAACTTGCTGAACTGGGCAATCATGTAGTAGGCAGTCTGGAAGGTGTACTGGCCGTTGTTGATGGTGACGAGGCCCGTGCAGGTGCCGCAGCCACCGCTGGACAGGTGAGGGCCGTCCTGCGCAGTCGTCCCCAGAGTCCAGGCGGCAACACCAGAGGCCCAGTTCTGCAGGGGTCCCATGGTGAAGTCGGCGGCCTGGTTCCAGGCGCCGGTGGCCGGGGTCCAGCACTCGGTCATGTACTGCTCCACGTTGGGGAACTGGTTCCTGAACGAGCTCAGGACGGTCCAGTCGACGTTGCTGGCGTAGCAGTGCCACGCGACGGCCGAGACGTAGTCGGCGGCAATGCCCAGGACCTGCTCGGGGAAGTCAGGTACGTCTGCAGCAGCTGTGTTAGCCATCTTTATACACTCAAATGCCAATGTAATTAAAAGAAGAAAAAAAAGCCTTACCAGTGTTGTGGTCATAAGTCCAGATCTGGGTGCTGAGGCCAGCGGCCTTGAGGGCAGGGCCGACATAGTTCTGGATGAGGTCACCCTGCTCGTACGAGAACATGTACATGGTGGGATAGCCCGCCTGGCTGTTGAGCGGCTCGTTCTGCAGAGTAATGGCGTCGATGGTGGCGCCGTGCGACTCGAAGGCCTGGATGTACTTGACAAAGTACTGGGCGAAGGCGCTGGAGTACTGAGGGCCGTTGTTGGTGAGGTAGCCGTCGTTGAGGTTGTTGTTGTTGGTGTTGCCGTCGATGGCGTTGTTAAGCTTCATCCAGCCGGGGGCGCTCCAGGGAGATCCAAAGATCTTGAGGTTGGAGTTGAGACCCTTCATCTTGGCCAGCATTTGGGCCATGGCAGTGCCACGGTCACCAAGGTTGAAGCCGGTGAGGTTGGGGTCGGCGTTGCCTCCATTGTCATCGTACGTGTAAGCCGGGTCGCCAGACAAGTCGGACGCACCAATGGTGTGTCTCATGAGGGCGAAGTCTGCACCGGCCGAGGTCATCAGCTCGTTGAGCAGGTCGTTGAGCGTGTCGGCAGACAGCTCGTTGAAGGAAGTGACGGTGGCATCAGTCACGGCGGCACCAAAGCCAGTAATCTTCTGCTTGTAGCCAGAGCTCGTGTCGTCGATGGTCAGGTCCCAGGTAGTATCGCCAGGGCTTCCATTGCCTTGGACAGGAGCGGGAATGGAGCTGAGCTTGTAGTTGCCGCCCGCGTTGGACGCATAGGCTTGGGCACCGGCCTGGCGAGGGCTAACAGCGGGCTCCGAAGGATGGGCAACGATGAGGGCGGCCTGGCCGACCAGAGAGGCGAGAAGGAGACCACGCATTTTGCTGGTGTTGTTGTTTTTGTAGACTTGTTGCTGACTTGTAATTTCCACCCTTTGGAGAGCTTGAGCTGCCGATCACAAGAGCTCCCTCCGTTGGTACTCAACGTCGTCTTTTATACGATCGTCTCGGAAAAGCCCACGAGTCCTTCATCGCCCTCAACAGAGCTCCGTTCCTTGCACAGAATGTCATTTGCGACTCATGATTATTTTATCACCATCCTTCTTCGTCCTAGTATTGTCAACGAAGCAGACAAGGACCAGCTCATGAACAAGGAAATTCATCAGCAGTGGAGGAGGCGGAAGTGTCGTAGCAAATCAATGACCAAGAATATCCGCAACTAAAACAGGGCCATTTCCGATCTCATCAATAAGTGACACTGCCGACTTGCTATCTGAACAAAGACCTGCCGTTTAGATCTTGGGATCAAGGGGTAAAGTCTATGCTGCTTCAAGGGGCACGCAATGGCGAGTGCCGAGATACCCGTCCACATGGGTGCCGAACTTCCGCGATGGACCGTTTCTGCACCGGCAGTGGCACTACCCCATTCATAAAAGGCCCGAAGTGCTATAAACCTGCGTTCTGGAATGATTTTACGAGAAGTGACGTTGTATCAAAAACGTCTTGACGTTGGATAGCTTTTGTGATGAGTCTGGGGAAGTTGGGGAAGAGTCGGATTTGGGGTAGAGATTTGCATACTACTACTAGAGGTACTATTCCGTGGGATGAGGCCTGACTCGGACACAGAACGGGCGAGCAACGCGGTGTTGGCATCTGCGTCAGCAAGCCACAGGGACACAATTCGATGCTTTCGCATTTTGATCAAGCAATATACACCGCCTGCAAGCTTCTCCGATGAGAAATCATCATGATTGACTGACGGGCGGCATCCGCTGTATCCGTTTCTCCTCGAGAGCATCCATGTTCCACAGGCTGAGGGCAGGGCGATCAATAAGATCTCCGAATCGCTGACAGAACAGTGAATCAGCATCATTGAAGAGGTTTCTTGAACAAGACATATTGCCAAGTTATTTATAGTCTACTACAATACCTTTCCCTGGCTACGGAACGATAAGAGACATCGGTTGTAGATCTGGGGCGGGTATCGCGTGGCTCAGTAGCAGAGTCGCGGTTGGTCAACTATCCTCTCTGCAATTTAAGGTTATTCAAAGAGTCTAAGCAGGAATAGACTTTATCTCCTGTATTCAGATACAGCTGGATGCGACCTATGCTGTGCAACTTGATATGTGATAGGACTAGTTCATCTTCAAAGGATCTTGCAGCTGTCATCTTACCGCCCGTCTCTCCTCTGCTATTGCCGTTATCTCAAGGGTATGGCCTTGTATTTCGGCAATTGGTCCTTAAGGGCCGGCTTTTGATACACAGATGAACGAGGACTCGACGCCGAAATGCTTTTGCCGACGCAAGGATTCCTCGTTTTATGGGACGAATATCCCACTGTTGGGAAAGTTGCTTTTTGCAAAATACGTAGATAGGCTTGAACACTATCCTGTACTTTCTCAATTTTGGAGCTCAGAGTCTAATGCTTTATAGACTACCTGGACTATCCAGCTTTCATAGTACATCTATCTTTTAGTATTGCAACACCTATGGCGAGTTGAGATCTCGTTTCGAACTCGTGCTATTCTCAGCCAATAGCCAGATATAGGTATGAGATCTGTCCACCTCTATGCTGGACTTTTGCATTGTATCAAATGCTAATGGAAATAGACGGAAATGCTGAGGAGCAGGCAGCCGGGTAAGTACAAATGCAGAATGCTGTATGGCATCTGTCTCTACTCTACAGACAATTGTCGGTCACTTGACTCTTTGTTGACCCGGCTTGGCCATGTGCAAGTGTACGTTGCAATTGTCTGATATGACGATGAATCATCTCCATACTCCTTACGGATGACGCGCACATCAAAGGGCACTTCACCACTCTGAGGATATGATATGTGACTTGGCTGATGCATCGCGACATGCCAAGCTCGGTGAAGCAATCCCTCTGATGGAAGTAGAATTTCGGGCTGCGTATGAGCTCAACGGTGCTTATACCATGAGGTCAATGCGGCCCTTGAGGATATTGTGCTGTTTGGGATACTTCAAGCATAAAGGCAGCAATTACAGTTGGGCAGCATGGCCGAAGCATGAACAAGTTACTCGACCCGAGGCTTTCTGAAGTATCAGGTCGTCAACGAAGTAGATAGAGAGCGAGGACATACTTGCGATCCACGCAGCGGCGACGAATTGCTGACGTACGATCCAGTCCAGTCAGATCTGATTATTGTCAAGGGTCTGTGATGAATAGTCGTCCTGGCACTGCCTTCCCCCTGCTATAAATGTCGTTCTACAGCAAACATCTCTCTATGCACTGTATAGTTGACAGCCCAGTGCTCCGTACAAAATACTATATCTCGTGCTACGGCGTCATTCCTCCTTCATAGGGCATAACCACATCAACCGCCATGGCGAAAGGAATCGCTGCCCTGCCGTTGAGTCAGCCGCTCGCTTACCCGTGTATACGTCTCGGCAACTCAGACCCTTCTTCATTGACGCAGCCCAGGCCAATAGGATAGACATGCCTCAAGCTCTCCAGACGGACAATTGGCCGTTCTCATCTGTACCGTCAATCTCCCAAGACCGCTGTCAAACATTGAAAGCCCTCCAATCGAGACACGCAGCTGGATTAACGAGGGCATACCTAGGCACCAATAAGACATTTCGCAAGAGCCCAACCAAAGCAAGCCCACGATCCGCCTGCCCGCTCCAACCGCGCGGTTTTGCTGTTTTAGGCCCGAAGTGCGAGTGGAACCAGGCATACCATACCGGACGGACGAACGTCTCCCGTGGCTCAATTGCGGCGAACTAAATGACATACTGTAGGGACCCTTCAATCGTTG